AAACGTACGAGCATTAAAATTGGCATTAAAGTGTCACTCACGAAGTCTTGACTCGAGTTCTCGGCGCGTAGGTGTCGAAATTCAGCAACGGTTCAAGGCAGCAATGAAACGCGCTCACTTATCAGCCGCAAAACCGAGTCATTGTGAAGAGGCAAACGTTTTCTCGCTCGGTGTAAAGGTCTCGGAGCTTAGACTGGACCATTAGTCCGTGATTAAGATAACTATGCCTATACACACGAAGTCGTGCCGCGGCGATTTCGCTGTAAATGCGCTGCTGCGCAGCTCATCGTTAATAACGAGCGGCTCGGGGCGCGCGCGCGGCGCTATCTTTTTTATTCCATCATTTCTCGATAGTTTACGATCGCAGCACAGGAGTGCGCGAGTGCCGTGAGCTTTTTTTTATATGAACTTTCGTGTTATTATCGGCTTTATTGCGTTGCGTGATGAGAATTTCGAGAAAATGTTTACTCGAATTGCTCAGGACGTCGTCAACGCTGGCATTGTGTATAAATTCGGGTAAGCTTATTATAATACGCGCGCACGAGCTGCAAGTGAATAGCTTTCGCATTCTCTCGGCTCGCCGCACGTCGAATCGTCGCATTTTCATTTTCTTTTGGCTGCATTTCATCTTTCGAATAAAATATAATTCATGTATTACGGTACGCGACGGCTAATTAGCTTTCTAAACTCTTGAAGCGTCTCCATCAACGTCGTCATCGTCGTTGTCACCTTAAGAGACGATATCATTGCAATTATCGGTGCAATGACTAGCACGAGTATTCCGCATATATGAGCGAGACGCGGGCTAATAATTCTTGGTTTGCTCGAAGCACGAAGCATCGACTACGATGTGGCCATTCATGAACGTTATTATACACGTATACGTATAGCGAAAAACTAACACAACTTTCCACATCGACGCTGGATTATGTGCATTATGTGCAGCAGCCTATGCACATTGGCTGGTTCGATACAGCTTATATCCCTTCACCTGCTCTCGTGCATACATACTGTTAGATACGTATGCAGCGCAGTCGCAGCGTCTATATGTACTTGGGAGTTGGCTCGACGAGTTCTCGTACACAATATACGTATAATACGTGGTATTGACGTAACCATCAAAATCCGCTAATCACCTCCCATATACTTGAGTGCACTTTCGACAAAGGGTGATATCGCAAGTGTGCCTGGCTGTATATGAACGCGCTACTGCTCATACGCGTATGTAGGTATATATGCGCACGCAGTCCCATCTCGCGCGCGCTATCAGCCATTATAATACCATTGGGAGAGAATCGAATAATCGACCCCACGAATGCTGCTCGAGGCCTATATAAGCGTACACATTTGTACGTGTGTAGGCCAATGGCTTGCTGTTGCTTTTCGCGAGCGGCAACGATCGAAAAGTACATTTTCCTCCCAGCTCGTGTTTGCCTACGCATGACGCGAGCCAGGTGCATTTGCATAGCGTGAAAACCGAAACTGCCCTACGTTGAAGCGAGAAAAACCAATGAAACAAGCAAAACCAGTCGTTTTAAACGCACACCTATAAAAAACTTTACACAAACGTCTCTCTCTCTCTTTCTCTCTCTTTCACGGAGAAAAAGATAAGGAGAAACGAGCAATGTACTTGCAGGCACGCGATTGCAAGCCATTATTATCTACGACGTAGCTGCACACGCGTTACAGTCCTCGTATATAGCAATAATATCTATTCTTTCTCTCTCTCTCTCGCTTGCGACGACTAAATGGAACGCTCATCTCTGCACGCGGCAGTATGGAATATACCTAGACCGCACTATTTTTATTTCGGATGCGCGTGCGACTCCCAGTACTCGAATATTTCTTGCCATTTTTTTAATAGTACGCTGCTTTTACCAAGTCGGTAATCCATCGGTAATATAATGAAATACGCTGTATCGCACGATTATTTCATAAGAAAATCAGCTTTGCTTTATCACGCTAAGATACTCTGAAGAATATAAATATTACTACCAAACTCGCCAATCAAATAATTCCGATAATTTGACGCTAAAATTATTTAATACTTCACACTATCGATTGGCTGAATTTCGTACGTACAAACGCAGATCTCTACTAGCAATTACATTATATTTATACTGTAAATTATACGCTACATGCATTACGGTTTTAATAACGAATTAATGACAATCTAGTTATATCTCAATTGCAACTTAAAATTCTTATGCCATTCGTGTGCATCACATCATATAATATATTATAATAATATAATATATCTATTCGGTGGCAATCACTCATAAATTATATGCATTAATTACAATATAAGAGTAATGCGCGTGTGCAATGTATGAGAAAATTAGTGTTGCATCGTCTAAAAAAAAAGAAAGTGTGAATACACTCCACGCAAGCAATTAGAAAGTGCTATTTATCGATCCTAATTTGCCACGAGATGCTCGCGCTAATCGCAAAGAATCTTTAATTTTTTCTTTCGCTGTAAAAACATTCTCTTCTACCGAAATTAATATTGTTTTGTGTCACGTGTACACGCGAGATATGAGAAATTCTTTAAAAAAACGCATTTTTCAAGTATAATCGCGACAACATTTTTTTTCATTTGACGCATGTACTGATCATTGGCGATTGTTTTTGGTGGTCCCGAGAACAAGCGATATTTCAATAGGTTTTCTTATCAGCTACTTTTTTGTTTTAGAAGACGAAAAATCATGTTTTCACGTAAATATGTAGGTTGACTCAATTTCTAAGTCGCTGAAAATGTATCAAAATTTACCTCAAAAAAAAAAAATAATTGGTAAAATTAAAAGGTTATACTCACGAATTTCTATTACTCTGTTCTTTATTGACTGTTCCCGAGTTATTTTAAATGTGGCCATGCACTTCTCAATGGTGAGCAGTTCACTATTATCGACACTCGCTCGTATAACATTGCAATTCGTCTTAAAAAATAAACCGATATAGGACTTCAATTGAAAATTTTCTCAACTTTTCCGTAGTGCAGACAAACTTTCCGATTATTTTCGTTTTTACATGGAAAAATAAAACATGAACCTTTAAGTTCATTTTTTCCGCATCATGTTTTATGAAACATTTAGCTCTAGCTTTACGTGGCGATTTTCTCGCTAAAATTGAATATTTGGAAAAATCTAATACCACCGTCGGAAAGCTGAGGAAATTTCCTATCAAATAGATTTGTTATTTAATTTTTTTAGGTAATTAGGTAATAGTTTTGATACTTATTCAGCGACTTATAAATTGAGTGTATCGTCGTAATTGCCTGAAAACATGAATTCCGTTTAAAATATTACTTGTTCCTAGGACCACAAAAAAAAGTCCCCAATCGTGCATCAAGTGGAAAAAAAATGTTTTCACGATTGTACCTCAGAAAATGCGTTTTTGAAAAGAATTACTCATGTAACGTATACACATGCACGAATGCTGCAAAATTTTAGCATGTGTATGGCGTGATACGTAACGCATCCGACGTGTTGCACGGATTCTTTTTACCTGTACAGCTTCGTGCGTCCTTCAATGATTTGGCCATGTACACAAGTACGGACACGCGGATTCTCTCGATTAGGTAATACCAAGCGCCGATTTCATACATCTACTATAGTTTGCAGTGTAACTTAGACGACAGTGCGCCACTGCATCCTTGAGCCATTGCATAGCTACTGGAACGCAAGCTCTGCAGGAAATACACAAATTCGCATGCGAAAGTACTCGCAATAATTTCTCAATAAGTTTAGTTTTCAATCGATAGTTGCCGATTGTCTCTTCGTAATCCAGACGCTACCATTAGTACGCATAAATACAATGACTTAATCCAAATTTCGAACGATAAATATAAATATTAACTTTAGCTTACGCAGGCAATTATGGCTTCGCGCGCTTTCGCGTCATTACCATCATTCATGAGTATTTAATCTGGATTAGTGAAAAAAAGAACAAAAAGAAGGAAAAAAATGACGACGATGATAATAAACAAAGCGCCTCTAACCAAGGTATTTGTATATAATATGTATAAACGGGTACAAAAGATCGCATATATGTGCGCTGCCCATGAATGCAAGGCATCAATCCGTCAGTTTATTGCCTTATACAAAGTGCAGTTTCACATGCGTATAAATTCAAGTCCAACGTGTTCACGTCTACGTGTACAGTACCATGTTTATGAAAATAAAACTCAATTTTTTTCTTTATCCCTCTATAGCACATTTCTAAAAACGAAATATATGTATATATTGTTTATATTTGTACATATATAAATATTTGCACGAAAAATTCGTGACATTGCTTTTATTTTGTTGTTTCGCAAAGAAAAAAGCATCGCATACATCCTGCTTGTTTCAAACTGCCGAAATAATATGAGTGAGTAACGGAATTTCGATCGTGCATCATCCTACAACGGGTAACATTTTTCAACGCACAATAATTTCGCATGACGTTAATCATCGCTCCTGCCGTATTATACGTATATAGCTCCCAATGGTGGAGAGGGAACAAAGACCTGAACTACAGTCTCGAGCTTGTAATCATTTTTCTTCGTCGTTTATACTAAACAGACGAACACACACACACACACACGAGCTTCGAGCAATAAATGCTTCTTACACGGTATATCAGTAAGCTCATCGAACAGACCGTGCTTCGCACGCCTATTGGCCGTTAGAGGTTCGTAATAATATTACTTACATACAGGCCGCCGCCAAGCCGCTATACATCGCGTACGTGGCCTGCTGTAATTAGAATCAATTGACGGCGCGCAAAGATTTATTATGATTGTCACGTGCACGATCGAAGCGACGGCAGCAGCACGTCAAGCTTCGCTAATTATTGACTTTGGAGCGAACGCAAAAAATTAAAAAAAAACAGTAAGAAAGAAGCTTTAAGATTCGTCCTACCACCAAGCAAGCCTAGTCATATGAAAGAGTTTATTCATGAATTATTGCACTGCAAAAATTACTTGAAGAGCATAATAAAAAGCTACTATATATACTTACTCTGTGGGCGCATCGAACGAAAACTCGATCGAGTGGTGATTTCGAATCTTGAGCCTTGACAGATTTTTCTTTGCACCAAGTTTGACCCATTTCCATACACGTCTGAGCAGCCTGTTGTTAATCTTTTTCTTTCTTTTTTCTTTCTTTACTTTGGGGCAAATTTTTGAAAGTGTTTTCCGCTAACTTTTGATGCACTTAGCCATGATGATCAGCGAGACCTGCAAAAATCAATTTAAAGAATCGGCTCAATAGTCGATCAGATATCTTACATCGGTTACAGCAAAGCAAGCATACGATATGCGGGTATATGTGAAAGTCCATCTTATTTAACAATCGATCAGAAAATACTTAGAGAACATCGATGGAAAGATTAGGTAAAATCGTTACGACAGATTTATTCCAAATTTTTTTTAAATTCAGAAAATCTTGCTTTTAATTTCACGGATCTTAAGGCCTATTTTAAAAATTATTTCAACTTTACTTTAATAAATTGATTATAAAATATTATAAAAGTAATCAATAATCTTGTTCCAAACCCTGCTTATTTTAAACCCATGGAGTACAACTGTTCAAATAAGAATTATTATAACGCGTACGAAACTCTATAATATGCATTACACGCCGAGTTATAATTATTATCCGTCTCTCTGTGTTTTTTTCTAGATACTCTAGATTTTATTCTTAATCATTCAAATCTTACATAATATTCTGATTTGCAGTATTTTTATGTATAGTACCAATGGTATATTGTTTATTTTTTTATTGTACTTATTATATGACAAATTAATTTACCAAACAATGGAACTGTCAAAATTAACTATTATAAGCCTTGAAAAATCCAAATTTATATATATAATTTGTATTCCAATAAATCTCATATATTTTACGTACAAAAGTCCAAATCTTAGTTCACGTATGCTTCAAATGAACGCATATTATAATATCCCCAAATAAAGTTTGTAAAAAACGTATGATTTATTCAATTATGAAAGACGTTATAATTTAACTTTGAACGGAATTTATCTAGTTTTCATAATTTTTCCTCACTGACAAAAATGGTAATAGTTAAAACTTCTTTGATTTTACGATTAAGCCAATTTTATCAGCAGTTATATTTTTGTCTCTCAAAATCAGAGGATATCGGGATATTCAATTTGTATGTATATTGCTATTTGTCGTAAAAAAGACTCGAATGCAGGCAAAAAAATAGACAATGCTTCGGTCAATTTCGAGAAATATAATTCGAAACGGAATCGAGATTTTTTCTCAGTGTGTCCGGTCGTGCACTCGCGTATTTCAAATGGTTACGCTTGGCCGACATTGCGTTACACTGCACGCCTGCACGCGTGTACCTATGTACGTATAATATCATTGAATGGAACGTATCAGTGATGTGTATCGCCGCGTGTATTGGATTTGTAAAATAAAAAATTCAACGTATCGGTCACGTGAGTCATATTGGATAAGGATTTTCTCAAGACTGAAATACGCGTTAGATCAATTAACCGAGTATCATTAAATTGTTGACAAGTCCAAAAAGTAAATTTACCAAATTGCAGAATATTTTATAATAAGACGGAGGAGAAGAGCAGCTAAACTTGATTGTAAAAAGTAAAATTAAATAGCAAAGAAAGGAAGATCTTTACATTCTCTTTGCACGGGAATTCGAAGAAAGTTATTTATCATGGGCGGAGATGAAATAGTTACGGGTTTTTATAAACCCGCGAATTTATATTGCTGCTTTATTTCTGCGAGCCGTATGATCATGACAACGTTCGATCTCTAATGCACGCCTGCGCATGATACACTCACAAACATGAATGCGTCAACTACAAAAGACTCGTAATTCATAAAGATCGACTGAAAAGTCGATTCGTTGGGGATTGCAGTATAACACGCCGCGAGAGCTGTGCGTCCGGATCGTGCGTCGTCTTTGTAAATTGTTATAAACAACAATGTGTCAGCAATGTGTACATCTCACGCTTGCGCGAACACCAATTCGTTTATATGCAGAGCGCAGTGACGATGTAGGTCAGAGATAAAACGTTGCAATTATCGGAAATACTTTGAAAAGACAATTTTGTACATTTCTTATCGGCGTTTCATGTGTTCGTTAAATTCGATATATAACTCGAGTCAATTTGACAGTTATAAGTAACTACTATCAGGAGAGAAAATTATTCGTGTCTATTTTTGCTTGAAATTTACTCGATACGACTCGAAAAACCAACGTTCAATTGCTATTTAATTACATTATATAACTGATCCGGAACCACATAGAAATTGAATAAAAGTCGATCGTTTGGTATAAGCAAGTGACAGGCACAGGCATGTGTATAAAGAGATACGATACTCGTTACTAGTCGTTGACAAAAAGGATTTTTCAAGTTCACTCGTTCGTCGCGAATAAAAGTTTTATCAACGATGTACGAAACAACGAGCATGTCAACGAATGACGAAGCAGAAAATTTATACGTACACGTACACATAGTGCACATGGAAAAAGATGTATAGGATGCGATAGATAGATGCTAAATTGCGCACTGGCAGTCATATAAGCGCTTACGGCGACCAGTGCTACATGCAACAGTAGCAGCAGCTAAGCAGAAACTCGCGACGGATCAACAGGTTAAAATAGCAAAAAATAAGGTCTCGTGCGCCACAACATGCAGCACCTAACCCACATTCATACCCGCATTCCCGATGTAGCGTTCTCCTTTGAACGTGTGCCTGATGAGCACATACACTTAGAGGAGCGAGTGCTCGATTCTCTATACATATCCTTTTTTTGTATCGTTGTTCGGTTGCTTCGCGAGACTCGGTAACATAATCGTCGGTTGAATCGTAAAGGACCGAGTTTAACAAAAAACCGATTGTTCTTTGCTGAGCTTTCTCAGCGGTAGCTCGAGTACGCTCAAAACCTTGACCCTTTGGTCAATTGCGTCCAGTGCACTAAATTGATTGCTAGACAATTATAAAGAAAAAAACGTATCGAGATAAATGCACCGATAGACACGACGATCAACGATATATTATTTTATGTTCTCTGCACATTACATAGCTGAGCAGTAAATAGAGTGAAAGTTTTTGCGCGAATCGACGCGACAGCGCGCATCGGGCAAATAACGCGGCCGAGCTCCGCCGCAGCATGTAAAATACAACATTCGCGCGCGCGCTCGAACCGCGAGAGAAAGTATCTTTATACAAATGACGCGCTTTCGAGCTCTCTGCTGAAACATACGCGCGTGCAAAGGCAGCTCGGGTCCGCGCATACGCTGCGAGACAAAATTCTTCATTTTCTTCCGCGTAACTCTTGACTCGTACGACAAATAACGATATACCTAGGTAAGGAAACGCCACTCGTAATTATGCAGCGATCTCCAGCCTATGGAGTTGCCAAACTGAATACGGTATCTATAGGTGCACCTAAGAGAGCATCATCGAAAAGCCAATTCGTTGTATACAAATGACTCAAGCCAAACAAAAATAGTCGAGCGTCCGAGCTAGACTGCCGTCATCGTCGTTGTCGTAGCTTTTCCGAGGAGTTAGCGAATAATCAAATAAAGCCGTGGGCACGTGTGCTCTGCGAGACGATAACTTGTGCGAGAGCAACGGGGCTCGAGTGGCTTTTCTCTTTCGTCCGCCGATGCATCCGTATTATGTATAATGTGTGCGTGTGTCTGTTTGTACATGCGAGCCAGCAAGAATAAACGAAGCATTGACGAAGAAGAGAACGAGCAAGAGTAGAAAGAGAGGAGAAAAAGAGCAAGATGACGAGGAAGAAAATGGAGAAGAGGAGAAACGAGAGATGCTGGCTACTCGCTGCAAGCAACAGAGACATTGACCATGGCTCTATTACACTGCGGGATTTACCCTCGATCGTGCATTTGCAGACAGATAGAGCATATTATATTCCCATGCTGTATGTGTTCCATGATATAGACGTAAAAACGATTCAAATACCAGCTTGTAAAATCGGAGCAAAGAGACAGTCGCGCTGGATCGGTGAATTCTGCTGATGTTTTGGTCGTCGTGCACACCTTCATAAGTGAACAGACCTTCCTCGGCTGTGAATTTTACACACTCACAGACACTCGCAATACTTGATATTTTCAACACAGAAAGATCAAGTGCGCACAGAAACTCGAGGCACAGAACAGAAAAACTCGCGAGTCAAATGCCTAGCAGTGACTTTACGCAGCATTGTTCGCACAAGAAAACAGTTGTGTACACGATCAGCATGTGACATGCAGAACGACGTACGCGTAAATATTTATAATATCGCCGTCAGAAACGAGACTTTTCTAAACATGCGCGCTTGCGTATAAGGTAGGATCGGCTCGGTTTCTCGGCTTCTCGAGACTCAAAGTACAGCAGTCAGAAGCGGTGTAGCAGCAGCTCGGGCGCGAAACTCGCGCGCGCCGCATTCAACCTACGGACTCGTACTGCTCTGGAGACCGGCTCACCTTTCTTCGTCTACGTCCTCTACTACCTCGTCGTCGATATATTCTTCTTTACTTGTCTACCGCTCTCGGATCGCGCGTGAGCCAGACTCGGCAGCTCTCCATGCACAAATGTACATTCGCGTATAAACACACACACACTCGGGCACATACACTGTTACACATTCGCATGTACAAGAGAGCAGCAGCTTGTGTCGAGACGACACTCGTGAGCGTGTAAACATACACACACACACACACACACAAAGCCCCCACCTTGTGTCAGACTGCGGGTCCCTACTCCAATCGCGGACTGCTGCCGGTCTTATAAATATTATATGCTTACCCATACATCTGTTGCATGCGTAAAGTATACAGCTTGGGTCTTTTTCAGGCGTCTAAACGCTGACTCCCGCGGAGATAGCCTACGAAGCTCTCGGTCGCTTCTGTTTAATAAGAGACAGCTTTTGTTTATAATAATTTGTTTCGTGTCGCGCAGAGATATTTAATTACACAGCCAGATGGTCTGCCATATTTTCAAGTGCAATAACTATTATTTTTTTTCTCGAAATTGAAATAAAGCACAATACCGATCACGTAATCGCAATGATCGATTAAAGTCTTGGACGATTCTTATAAGGCTGTATTACATCACGATTCTTACGGCATATAAAATTCTCCGTGAGAAGGAAACGCCGATCGAGCTCGAAGAGAAAATAAAGAATTAAAATCAAGGGACTCGAAATCGTCGGCAAATCCGGTGTTGTTTTTTCACCTCGTAACGTATAAACTCGCGCACGACATGCGACACGACCCGCAGCAATTGCTCATTATAAAATACGGCGCAGCATACGTACGTCGTGGCTCCGATGCCCGGTAACTCGATCATTGCAACGCTAGCGCGCATTGTGCGCATCCTACCCGGCCAAGTCTATTTTCCTGTCAGCTCTTTTTTCACGATCGCTGCCTTGCATCGCTGAAAAATCCTATCCTATGTATAAACTTGTCTGCTCGCTGAAGTCGCAGATACGATCGGTATGTTATGCGCGCGAATTTCTCGTCCGATTTTGCTACCGGTTTTTGAACTAGTCGCGTGTAAGAGCGCCTCGCCGATTTTCTACATATGCTCGGGAAAAGCCCGTGCGTAAAAACAAAAACATTATGAGTGGATTAACGGTGTGTGCATATTTAAATGAAGCGCTCAATCGTCTCCTGTAATTTATATTCTGCGCTCAAGCATAAGTTAGATGGATTCGACGAGCATGTACAGAACGACATGCTCGTGTAGAAGCCGATCGCACATACGACATAAGATGAAACGACAAGAAGTCGTTACATTTTTCCGCAGACTTGAGTCGAGGTATTTCTTGTACCTTACCTATGTCGATCTCTCGGTGCATCTCGTGGCAAAAAATAGCTACGCGCGAGCCTCGCCAAACGGGTCCTATAATGCGGGATTATCGAGTCGTATCATCCATTGCATTCCACCAGCACTCCAGTCGACCGATGCATACAAAAAGATGAACGATTCGGCAATTTTTTCTGTTTTGTTGTTTCTGCATTCAAAAAATTATCAAAACATTCAATTTGGTTAGGAAAACTTTGGGGTAAGAGTCGAAATGAACCCTATAGCGAGATGGATGAACGCGAGAAATCAATTGGTTAGTTTGGCGCAAATTCGAAGCTGCTTTTGCTGCCGTTGCTGTTGAGGCTCGCGCGCATTACAGCTTGGAAATGCACCGAGCTGACGTTGCTCGCAGCACCTGCGGCACTTTGATACTTGCGACGCGCTGCACCGCCGCGACTGCTCATGTACGTGTAATAATTCATTCTTCCGCTTTCGGAGTTTACGTAAGAGCTCTTTTTTTCTCTCGCCCGCTTGATGCGACACAACGCCACTATTCGTAATAATATCTGCATTTTTTTCACTCGCTTGTACCAGCCACCGGTATATACGTTATAATACGGTATATACGAAGCACGATCTCTATGTTTATGTTTATACGCGCGCCTCTGTATGTATAATTACGGGAGAGCGTCAAGACTCGCGCAGCAAGTACATGTGCGTGCATGTTTTTCTTTAGACAGCGCACACACCGACAAGAGGTCGCAGCTTTCGCTCCGACATTACTCACGCATTGGGACTCGCGCATAAGTCCATATGCCTTCACATCATAAAACTCTTCAATTCTTTTTTCCGGCTTGTATATTATACGTTTATGAGCGTACACGTAAGATTATAATTTATAATAAAAAGATACTTGGATACCGAGTTCTTAAAATTAGGTTTCGAACATATTTCAACAATAAGCAGTAAAAATTTCAGAAGGGTTAATCAAGAGGTTGTTGCTGTAGGGTGACCGCCATTAAAAAAAACGTTAAATCGAAGAAAATGAGTTCAAAGTTTTCTTCTGATGACATAAAGCTACTTGCTTGCTCTCAATTCTGAATTTGACTGACTTGGAATTCGAATTTTCATACCAAATATTAGGAAATGATTCTTAAAAGAACAAGTGATTCGATAATGCGAAAAATCGATTTTCAAAAAGTGGTAAAGCAAAATGCTCCCTTAAGGTGGCTAATTGAAATTTTAAATGAACTTGGAATATTTCTATGAGGTATGAGTTACGTCCATTCGCATTCTATTTTAACATAAGATTAGAAAATCCATGTGATATAACACGTTGAAACCTATTTTTCCTGGCGCTGACAAGACAAAAAAAAGAACACGTTATCCTAAAAAACCTTGTGGCAGGACTGATTTCGAAAATATCAGAAACTAACGTCACGATTACTCTGCATTAAAAGAAAGAGAGAAAAAAGAAAGATGGGAGGAACTGAAGCTACTGCCACTGTATTGATGTGTGTGTATTAACGTGCAGCAAATGTAATTTGCTCGGCTCGCCCGATACAATGTCAAAGAGAGAGAGAAAGAGAGAAAGAAATCAAATCTAGCTTTCAAGGCTTCACTTGCTTTGATGTGTGCGCCAGTGTACAACGTATTGTATACATTTAGATTAGATTTTAGGTGTAAATTATATCATTATAATATACGAATCTTATGGGCTCATCACGTGCGAAAACTGGCAATATATGTATGTCTTGACTTATACATTCTATGTATTCGCAAAGTTAAGATACTTTGTAAGATGTATAATGCGGCAAAACTAGCTCGAGTTCTTGGCTATGAGAGTAGTAAATTTAGCAGAGAGAGTGCTTGCTGCGCGAGCAATCGTCCTCCTGACTTGATTCCCACAGCATTCTACTTCTATAACATGTGCATCTATTGTTTTTCACGGATTTTCATCAAGATACAATTATTGTACTTTTTTATAATCATGAATATATTCAATTTTATAAACTAAATTTCAATTTATTCAATAGACAGACAGTGCACACCTTACATCCATTCAATGATATATTGTATATAAGTAAGCGAAATCAAACCCACTGTATTATGTTTTACTCAATACGAAAGCACAAAAATGTTTTGTGTCAAGTATCAGATAAGACAGATTTGTTTAAAGGTTTAACAAAGAATATCTTTTAATCCACAAAAAATCAAAAGAAAACTCGATGGTTTTATAGAAGATGGACAATTTTCCTCTTTAACGTCTGTGTAAAGAAAATATATTTACAACGTGTCACCGTACACAAATTATTTCTCTCCGATTTCTTAGACGAATAAACGAGAGAGAGAGAGCAAGAACAAAATTTCGAGGCTGTCGATAGAATATATGTGAGTATTATATTATATATATGTTAAATTCTCGATGCGTATTGAAGCTATTTATTATCTCGCGCAGGCGGTCGATCAAGCGAGAGCCGTCGAGCAAATAATGGATATAGGCAGCCTAGCTGAACTACAAAAGCCGCCGAAACGTTACATAGGAACATACGCGCATAAGAAATCCATCGGAGCTATTGGGCGTTTCATCAATGAACCGGAACTGTACGGTGTCCGCGAGCTCTCTGCGTACGGCTGTTTACGGCGCGCAGCGGTCGGTGAGCTCTTGTTCGAGTCCAGCGACCAGCGCACGTACAATACGTATACGCGCAGGTAGGTAGCTCGAGTGTGGGCGGCGCAGCGGCGCACGCAGGGGAAACTCAGTCTTAAAGACGCAATATAATAACACGTCTCTTAGCTGTCGACTCGTCGAAATTTGAGTTACGATGGGCCATCTCGATAGAGAGCAGCAGCAACAGCCGCACCAGTAAGTATTGTGGCTCGTACGCATAAGGCAGCTGCGCCCCCGGTCCGATCATTAAGTAACGAGACCATCGAGAGCAGTCGAGCCCAGAGTTCAGTTCGGAGAGCACATCGCGTATAGACTCTGTCCACCCCGAGCGCAGCTCAGTAATAAAACTACGAGCATCGATCGCGACGAATCTCAGCCGTTCTCTGTGTTCCGTGAACTTTGTGTGTACGTTTAGTGTCCAAACTATATCCAAGTGCAAGAAAAATGGGCAAGTGTTGCTTAGCGGGAATTTTGCTGCTGTTCGTGTCGCTGAGCCACGTGCACGGCATGGATCTGACCTACTTGGGAATGATGAAGGACAGAGACGCGAACATCGAGGTGACTCGCTACGCCCAGCCGATCTGCCTGGTAGTGCCGGAAAGCGTGACCGCCTGCAAACCCGACGATCCCCTCTACCCGATCAAACTCACCGGACGATCCATGTCCAGCAAGGCCAAAGGCCAGACCAAGCTCCTCGTGTCGGACGATCGAATCAAGCTCAGCCTCGGACTGGACCAGCTCGAGCCGTCGAGTCTCGTCTATAAGGACGAGCTCCACGTGACGATGCCACCGCCGCAACGAGCGCAGCGAGCCAACTACCGCGTGATCAAAGGTGGCCGCTCGATCAGCTTCTGGCAGACGCGCAGGCCGATCGTCATCAGTCGAATCGTCGAGTCGCCGGTCACGGCCACTCTGATCGTCGCCGAAAATCAGTGCCTGCCCCTCGACTTGGGCATCGAGGCCTGTCCCGGATACAAACTGCCGACCGAGGCCGACTTGCCACCAGCATCCGACGATAAAACCAACCACGAGGAAGATCTACGCGTCGACCTTGACGTCGACGCGCCGATTCAAAACTACGACGAACTGGCATCTGCCCTTGCTACTGCTTTGGAGCGTGACATCTTCAACAATAACAAAGTAAGGAGCCTCGAATCGCTCTAGCTTCTTACTATACTCCAGCGATGATCGTTCAATTGATCCTACGTAAACAGAACTCGTAATGTTTATTTACTATATAATCAGCGGTATATTTTGTCGATATGTGGCCCAAAGTATCCAATCCGAATACGAGGCCTTTTTTTCCTTACATTCAATGCTATTTGAGAATGGAAAAAATGAAAACGCGTGAAATTTCGTTCATCTCTTTTCTCTTTTCTTCGGCCACGCCACGCCGGCCTCTCTAATTACTTCGATATAATCATCGTCGCAACTAATAGCTTCGTGGAACGCAGCGAGTACACGAGCTCGAATTCAAATACGAAAAAGTAACGATGTTATCGACTCTTTCAGATGAACACTGCTCAGCCCGAACAAACGTTCAACATCATCGGCAGCGTGGTCGACACTTTGTTCGGGCCAACATCCAAAGTACCAGAAGCACCGGCTACCAATGACGAAGAGTCGGACAAGTCCGAGTCGTTCTCGTCGTTCTTCGACGATGCTCTGGTCGACGACAATTACGAAGCCCACGCAATAAACACCGAGGAGACTACGTCGATCCCCGAGGGAGAAAAGAAAGTCATTCCTACGACGACGGAAGCGGTAATTACGGAAACCGAGTCAGGAATTATCGCCGATGACAGCTGGAACGAGGCTCAACTCGACGAATTTTCCATGAAATCGTCCATCGAGGTATCGCCTACTGCCGATGCGACCAACAGCGTCCAATCAAATCCATCGACCGCGTCTACGGTTCTACCGACGACTCATCTACCTTCGCTCGGCCACATTCAGAAGAGAAATGTCTCTGCTGCCGAAGTTGTGCTGCAGGCCGACGAATCGATGGCAACTGAACCGACTCCGAAATCCATAGAAGTGGAGAACGAGCCGAGGTCGAAAGTAACAGCTGTCGACGAAGAGCAAGAGCCCGAATTCAACATCGATACCTTCGTCTCGGAACTGCTGACCAATGCCGACGAGCCCAGCTCGGAATCCCACGACGAGAGCGTCTCGACGAATCTCCAAGACGAGCTCGAACGCAAAGATTCGCCAATGACTGTCGAGGAGGCTATAGAAAATTTCATCAGCGTGCCGGACATGGCAGATGTCGTGAGCGACGAGAGTTCCGCCAAGGAACCAAAGATTGCTTAAACTCGCCATGAATCTTTTTATTATCGTCTGTAAATAACTATTTTTTAATTTGTGATTTTTCATTATAATTTGAAAACAAACTGTATAGATGCATTTACCCTGTTTCGCTCAATGACTTGCCGCCAACTCCGTAATTTATCATAACGACAAGAGCATGCTTACTCTGAACATTATTCTCTCAATTATACGCACCTCGAGGACGTGCGTTTTTACTATTAATTTTGCATAAATAATTTACGAGCGAGTCACAGTCAGGCATCGTACTTGTTAGATATCTTTGTACTTAATATAATACATTTAATTTTAAGATTATTCTGTGTAAGACAATGACTGATGTAATGGAAAAGAATAAATAACAAACTATACGTAAATCAGGTGTACATATCCTTACGGAAACTCTTTATTGATTTGTGATCAATACTTGAGGTTATTTCGAAAGATTTTGCCCATTATAGCCCATTAATAAAAATAATAAAAATATAAATAAGCTGGGCAAAAATTGAAATAACGCACATATCGTCGTGCGCCATTTTCCAATCTTCATATATTAAATGTGTATATTTAATGGAAAATCTTATCTGTCGGCTGTGAAATGACGCATCGAAAATAGAAATCGCCTCGAGGCAAGTTGCATTTCACACGTGTACACATTTATATACATATACGTACGAAGCCTATAGGAATCAGATAGACGAGCGCGCAGCTGTCACTTCGGAGCCAAAAAGCTAGCATAAGCAAAAAGCATATCGACTCTCTCTCTCTCTCTCTGGCTTTGTGCTACGTATACGCGAGACATAATACGAAGCAGAGTCGGTCAAACGCCGATGAAGCCGCCGCTCTCGGGCAAAGGTGGGACGTTGCCGCAGTACACCGAGACGGTGGGGTGGCATGCGAGTGTCATAGAGCACATATGCAGCGACAGCAGCTACGGGTCAGCAATTAATTCTATAGAGGGACGTGCGCGCGGCTGGCCGAGCTCCAAGAGCGAGGCTCGATGCACTAATCGCTCGTGTGCGTTGGCTATATTTGCCGATCTCTATACTTGCCAGTGCGATCGACGAGTCTGCTGGGAGCCGTCGCTGCCCGACAAACCTTATTATCGTTGTCGTTGCTCGCTCGATACTCCAAAGTTTCGCTATCGGACGCCCGCAACGAGCTTTTTTTTGGAATTTCGATCGATTTCGCGGCCGCGAGCCCAACGTAGCACGGCAAAATATTGCTGCGCCGCTGCGAGCACGTAGCTCTGTTGCTCCGTTGCGTCTGTGTGTATGCACGCAACAGCTGCGTTAAATCGAGCTCGTGATTATTCGAACGAGCGTCGGGGCGCGGGCGCAAAATTTTCGAGCCCCGAACCGCTCGATTCCACGTAAAATCGTTCAATCAGCTCCCTCCTGCAAATCGACGCGCGCGTGCCTGTGTTTGTTTACCTACACGAGCGCTTACTTATAACGTTCACACGAGCCACGCATATTAATTCGGGAAAACTCGTTATTTCATCCGCAGTATGCGTATCCCACATACCTGTAAGCCATGCAAAGTTTTAATTTAGTACGCCCCTACGCGCGCGCGCGCCTAGCTAGCCCGATCGAAACTTTAATGCATCATGCGCCTCGCCGAATTACAATCACGAGTGAGAATATCAACAAAATCAACGATGAAATACGTATTTGCGAATCGTGTGCTTGTTACCACTGCTTTTTTCAAAGATAAAGAAATTCAGACGTATCGAAAGCGTATGCAACAACGAGAGTTTGGCAAAGCCAAACAGGCGTACAGGCCGAGCGAGCGAGGAAGCCAGCGAACGAGCGAAAGAAAGAGAAAGATTGACACGCGTAAGCGCATCGAACTCGAGACTTGATTTTGCCAACGTCGACATGTGCTGCATCGAAGCTTCAGTCGAACAGCAGATCTGCGAGCGGAATTGACCGACTGTCCGCCCAATTGTGTCTGCAGTGTGCAGTGTGCGAGCAGCGCATGTCGCATCGTGCCTTCTCTCTTTGCGAGCCATTTCTTTTTACGACTGCCCCGGCTATCGCCGCATACGCGTATAGTGCGACCGACCGATATCTCGAGCATTTTTCCCCCTTTGCGATCGATCGATTTTCTTGATCTACGCCGGAGCTCCAATACGCCTACCTATTAATATCTGCAAAAAAAATGCAACAAGTCGCTAATCAGGTAATGAAATCTTCATCTTCGACTAATTAAATTGTACAAATTATGACGAGGTGCACGATGACAATTGCGATATTTTTGCTCTTTCTGATAATTAGAATATCAGATCGTTATGTTTCTTTCTTGTTGTCACTGAAGAAAAACATTTTATTACGTAAATAAATCAACTCTTTCGCATTTCTCCATTTATAGGTCTCGATGTTTTCCACTCATTTTACAAATATTCATACCGATTCTACGTATTATTTCCCTTACTTATCGCTATCTTTTTTCTTCCAGCAGAATAACGTCACTTTTTTCATGCATGCAAGGCGTTAATCTTTTTTTATCGTCAAGTTAAAGATAACAAAAGTATGTGAGCAAAACTGGCTCACATAAGCACGAAGCTCTGTAACAGTTCATCCCAGCCTCATCTGCGCATACTTTCTTTCTCTAATTATCTAGGAATACAATTAACAACTTTTCTTCCTTTTCCTTTTTGTTCTATTCAAGCGTGACCTACATCTTATCCCAAATTAATTGTACATGCTCAACAGCTTATAGAGTTTATTTTCTAGTGCATCGTTTATTTATTTGTCGTATTGGCTCTGCGATATCCAAGAAGCTTTTAAATTTGCTTCGCTAATCTTTCTTTACTATTATTTCTCTTAGGATAATAACAATTCTCTTAAAGTTCCTCACTTTTAAGATGATCACAACCGCGTCAAGGTTCACCCTTTTTATCATTTTCTAAAATCGATTTATCGTTGCTGCATTTTCGAATTGCCTAATTTTCAAAGAATCACATCTCATAAATTTTTATACAGAAATTCATATTCAGAATGTTGATGGAATTTGGACTACCAAACCATTTCTCTTTTAACTTTTAACAGGCACCCTTCATTGCTACAGCTATGGCACTACTGGTCATTTTACTGATTTACCTAGAGGTATAAAAACAAAGAAGGTATTGCTGTTTAGTTTAATGAGAAACCTCTTTAGTTTTTATACCCACAGGCAAAGCAGTTACGTGGCCAATAGTGACGATTGTGAAATAGGCCTACGGAGCCTTTTTCAAAATTATGATACAAAAAAGAGGTTTAGAACAAAACAGGTTTTCTCAAATTTAAAAACAAATTCTCGTCATTTTGTCAGTTTTGTAAAATTTTAAAATCGCTTGATACGTGTTAAAAGCTATTGTTTAAAGCTGTTGTTTAAAGCTAAAATTAAAAAATAGCCGTATCTATAGAAATAGTTGAAATTTATTTATATAATAGTAAAATATGTTCATACTATACCTGATTGACCAAGACAACTCGTACCTAAGCTCTGGAATCCTCAATTACATTATTTTTTTCACAATACCAAATATTGTGATTGGATTGACTTGCCACGAGATTCTGCTGCGAGTTCTTCATCTCAACAATTTTGACCTATGGGGTTTAAATTTCTTAAGAAAAGTACCCTCTTCTGACATTGCAGAATTTTGAAAATATATTTTTTTCCTCTTCTAAGTGCTTCAAAGTGGCATATAGCGTTGATGAGTTATTGACTTTCTTAAAATTTGTTGTATTTTGACGTGTACATAAAGTTGTACGCAATTTTTCCAAATTCTGCTCCGCTCAAGTGGAAGAAGGTAATTATAAATCTCGTAAGTGAAACGTAGTAATTGTTTTCTCTTTGATGATTATTATTCCACAGGACACGGGATTGACTGAAAGTAAAAGTCAGAAAAATGCTGGGCTCGTTCATTAGAAATAACAAATGACTCAAGTTCACGGACATTGTGTTCTTCGAATAATCACGATTTCTTTGTGCTGTAAAAAAGTATTTCCAAGTTTAGTTTGTATTAAACATTGATTGGCTCCGGAGCTTTTGGAAATTATCAGAGTCTCGCGTGCGAATATGCGCAATCTCGAGCGAGTGCAGCAATGCAGGTGAGCGCAAACAAAGAGATCGACAGCCGCAACAAACATTAATGACATATCTGTCGTGCTTATCGTCTCGATGTGCGCACGTCAATGGCACAGCTGATTAGCCGATGGCTCAGCGAGTGCTTACGCACTCAGTTTGGCACTGATAAGTCACGTTTGCTACTAAGCACACAGCCCATAGAAGTACAATGATCAACTTTATTCAGTAAAAGTTTCGTTTTTTTATACTTTTCATTGCTTCGTAAAAAAGAAATTCAGACGGGCATACAAAAGAGATGTTGGATGTAAAGTTTCTTGGAAAATGATGGTGTCCTCAAGTGCATAAGTATCTGATCATTAATTGATAACTCAATCATTATAGTCGAGGAAATAAGTGCGTTTTTCGTAAAATTGTAATTGAATCGACTCAAATCATTACGGTTTTTCACTGCGAGGACCTTTCTTGCGATTTTATATTAATCTCAAACTAGGTCGCGAGAAAAGCAAAGTTTCTGCCTTATGTATACCGGAACGGAGAGGATATACATGAGTATAAACGTAGCGAAGCGACGGGTGGAGAATATTAGATAAATTTGAGTGCGCTACTTGCGGCGTATACTCAAGCTAAAGGAGACAACAATGCGCGCGCTTATTACTTATGTGGGATGTATGGCAGACTCTCTGCCGCAGCTAACTAAACTTTAGATATCATCATCGAAATTTCTCATTGCTCGATGTATTGTATACGCATAGGTGGGGATAGATTATTGTCACGCTGGTGACGAACGAAAGGGTAGCACAAGAGATTCGCCTATATCACCCAAGACTTTCTCCACGGATCGAGTGCGCTTTAATTTACCGTGACATTAAATTTATTGTTTACGCGTTTCGCGTGTATAGGCATTAATGTTAGCTGAATCGGAGTCGCGATTTAATCGTTCCGAAGAATAACACCACAATGTCACACGATTAAAGCCCTACCTACTCGTTGAATCGGATTCCTGTACTCGTCAGTTGAAAAGACTCATTCATTTGCGTTTTCAGCAACTATGATATTTTATTTGACTATATCGAATTCGAGGATAAAAAGTGAAATTTTTCTTTACTAAATGCGGCTGAGCGTAAACAATGCGTCAGAATTTTAATGCTAAAATCGAATAACGTGAGCTAACTGCGAGTAGCAACTTTTTACGCTTTTTCGCTAATTTATCCTCCCCAACGATGAATAAAGCAATAAAAGGCAATATTCGTTTCCGCAAACGCATCGCACACCTCGTTCCATTCTCTACTTTAAATACTCGCGTATAAATTATATGCTGCATGCGATTAATGCAATTATAACTTTATTAGCATAACAATTATAATTTTTCAAGTATAATTATATCCGTGTGACCTGGAATAGCTTATATAGTAGGAAAAATAAATCTTGACTTTGGATGATCGATCGTATTTTGTATTAAAAGTACTAGAAATAATCATATTTTCATTGTTTTTGGTTTTATTTTGGCCACAGTTTGAAAAAGATGGCTTTGTCGTACTGGAAAATTTCTTCAAACCCGAAGAAGTTGACGAACTCAAGTCGGCCGGAGAAGAATTCACTACAAATTTACCGCCCGAAAAAGACCGCAAAGTCTTCGATACCGTTAATCAGCGACAGGTTCGTCGATTGTCTAATTTCTAATTATAAATAACATAATAAAAGCTGCATTAATCTAAAGAGAGCATTTCATTATTTTAGAGCAAAGATCAATATTTCCTGGAAAGTGCCAATAAAATAAGCTACTTTTTCGAATCAGAGGCATTGGAAAGCGATGGGAAGCTGAAAGTTCATCCAAGAGTCGCTCTCAACAAAGTAAGAATTATTCAAATACTACATAAAATAATTTTCTAATTTTAATTAATACTATTGTAAGGTTGGCCATGCTCTGCACTGGCACCATCCTATTTTCAAGAAGTACACATTTAGTGAAAAAGTCAAGGAAGTTGCTTTTCAATTAGGACTAATTGAACCTGCAGTTTGCCAGTCAATGTATATTTATAAAAATTCTGGAATAGGATCTGAAGGTATATTTAGTCATTTAACGTACGCTTACTTCTTAAATATATATATATATATAAAATAAACTTTAATTTTATTATTGTCTATTTTTTTTTAGTATTAAAGAAAAAAGTTACATTACAGTTTTTACTTGTAAATAGAATTAAATAACCCTGTACACATTTTTTTGAGATAATGATAAGGTACACAAAATTATCTCCGCAGTTATAAAATTAAGTATTCAAACAAAATAGTATATTCTACCCTTAGAGAGCAAAAAACTGGAAAGTCTCAGAACACATGTAATTTATCAGACTTGGTTTCGCCTTAGCTGATAATCACGTGCTCTGAGACTTTCTTTTTTCACAACAAATACAGTTTTTGTGAGTCCCCCAGCCTAAAGTAATATTTTGATTTTGCTTTAAAATGTTACTTTAGGGTGAGAGGGTGGCACGAAAATTAAATTTTTTTGAAACAGTAATAAATTGTTACATCTTTAGTTGAAACTGTACAAACGCTGCACATAATCTAATTTTTTATATCTTATAAAACAATAATTTCCAAATCAACAAGATATAAGACTAAGAACAAAATTGATTGAAAGCGAACATATACTTCCAAAATTATATCTGATCCTTTGCAGTGGTAATGCATCAAGATGCAAGCTACTTATATACAGAACCAGTGAATCTTGTTGGTTTCTGGATTGCGCTGGATGACGCCACAGTCGAGAACGGCTGTTTGCACATAGCCGCTGGTTCGCACAAGAGTGGGGTACACAGACGTTATTTGCGTAACAAGGACCCATTGGCCCAAGAGCTGCTGATTTACGATAAACCACCAGCTTATTATCAGTTGAGCACCTTTCGACCGATAGAAGTGCGCAGAGGATCGTGTGTGCTCATTCACGGCCAGGTGGTGCATTATTCCAAGCCAAACAGAAGCGAGACCTCAAGGCACGCCTACACCTTCCACGTTGTTGAGACTCAGCACGTTAATTACTCGCGCGACAATTGGCTTCAACCACCAAAGGCAGGATTCCCCTTGCTATATATGAACTGATGTCAATAATACAATATTTTGTCTCTCTGTTCCTCAATCTTGTACGTCATAGAGGCTGTGCATTTAACATCATTTTCTCTCTTTTTCTCTTAATCAGAAATTGACAATATGTCAACAATAAAGCTTATTTATTAATATGAAACACTTAGAAATTTTAACTCATTATTTATCTACTACGATCAGTCTCATTTTCAAAGTAATTTTACGTTTATAAAATAAACACTTATTTTCCATAATCATTTATAAGTTTTACACTGTGCATTTGCTATTTGGCAAAAATGAAGTTTGAGAGTTTGCAGTTGATCTCTTCCTTTTTCTAGCTTGTCTTTTTTCAATTTTACGCAATAGTAAACGTCAAGAGGAGTCAATAAGCGAAGATCTTCGATGTTCAAATCCGAAGAAAATTGCAATAAAACTTCAAAGAGAGTCAATATTACTCGATCGTTTATTAACAAACCTTCATTTTCGTAAGCAAGAGCCCTATTTAGGTAATAAAAAAATTAAAAACATATAAAAATCGTGAAAAAAGTTATAAATTTGTATTCTTTCTTACTTTTCAAGAGCTGATAGTAGCTTATTTACGTTGATACCGACATCTTTTTGTTGTTCTACAGCAATTTTTGTGGTAATGAATGGATGCTTTTCTTTGTACTCGAATGATACTTTTATACCATAAAAACTGGAAGCTATACCACTGCGAAAAATTTGTATATTAAGTAACAAATTGTTTCAAATTAATGAATGTATTTAACATTATTTATAAGGTTAATCTCTTACCATGTGTCTCTAGCATAGTCATAAATTTCTTCTAAAATTCTGAAAGCTAAATCAGCCCTAACGTTTTGTTGATTTTCAGCGAGTTCCTCACCAACAGAATTTTTAAATCTGGTTTCATTGAAATTGTTGATGGATTCATGACAACGGTGTTTTAATTCCTGAAATTAAACTTTTCTGTTATTTTAGTTATGTACTACTATAAACTAATAACGAAGTCAAAACATACATCAATTTTTTTTATCATTTGCGGTTTCAAAACAGGATACTTGGAGCTACTTATTGTTTGGAACATATCTTCACATTTGCCCAAAAAAAATTGTACATCTTTCAACTTTCTACCGCCTGTTGGTATTATCTTTAAGCAATCAAACAACTCTTTTAATGTAGATTCAGTTTTTCTGGTAAAAGATTCAGAAACTGCAGCCATCCAATGTTTCAAAGCACATTTTAGAGCATCTATCACGGACCAAGGTGGTCTAATAATTACATGTGATTCCCAACCATCACCAAATAAAATATTCATTTCTTTTGATATTGTCTGAAATTAAAATTATTCATTCATTTCAAAATTTAATTATTATTTTGACGTCATAATTACCTCATCAAGAACTTTCTTCAGCAAAGCTTTGCCCTCTTCCATGATATCTTCTGCTTCTAACAATTCTTTTTGAACGGAATGACAATCATCATTTTGCTCGGTTTCTAAAAAACAATGAAGACTATTTGCTAAGAAATCATTTTCTGGTGATGTCTTTAATTCAATTTTATCTAATGGTTCATCTCTACTCAAAGTTGGTATATTATGCAGTAAAGCTTTGTTACAAAGATTTTTATCATATGATAGAAGAACCTGTGAAATTAAAAGTATCATTTAAATGTACTTCAATTAAATTTTTTAATATGCAATGTCAATAAGATAATTACAACAGATCGAGAATAATCTCTAACTTGTAAGCAGGTCTGAAGAATTCTGTCATCAGGGCAATCAATCTCAAATTTCTGATTATTTCTTTGAACATCTTCTGGTGTTTGTCCTAAAAAACGAGGATGTTTACTAGAAAAATGCTTATTCAACAAATCAACAGCTTTCCTGGCTTGGGATCTGAGCTGATGTGACCTATTTTTATTTTCTTTGATATAATCCAATTCCTTTAATCAAAAATGATTTTAAATTATTAGAACTTGATTAAATTATTTTATAGATTATTTTATAGATGGAAAAAATACTAACCTCTATAACTGTCCATGGTATAACTATAAATGGTCTACCAAATTTCTCAGAGTTTGAATCTAGAATTTCTTCAATAAATGATAAATTAGATAAAAAAACATTGGTATCCACAACTATGTACAAAGAACTTTTTTGTTCCGGACAATTTATGGATTGTAAAGTGTTACTTGGCAGTTCACTTGCATTTTCATTTGGTTTTCCAACAAGTTCAGATCTTACTAAATGAACCTTAATAATAAATATTTTCAATGTTACAATTTTTCTGAATTAATCAAATACAATTATATAATACTTACTTCTGACATAATTTTTTCATCTTCAATTGGTTCCCAATCCATATCTTCCATAAATGATTCATTTTTATGAATTTTCTCAGCAAGTCTCTTCGAGATATCAATTTCTTCTGGATCAATATCTGATTTATAATTTTTAGTTAATTGTAATAATGTATTTTTCTGTATTCGATTCTCTATTGAGCACAATCGAGCATGAGCATTGCTTTTTAATGTAGTTTCTGGTTGATTTAATAACTTACTGATTTCTTCTGCAAATTCACAATCATTATTATTCTCTTGAGGTAATGATAGTCGAGTACGTTTAACATGAGGCGTAGATTCATTATCAGTACTGAGACGTTTTCTAAGATTTTCTAATCTTTCACTTGCACAATTTCTTTTTAATGATTTCTTCAAGGAATCATTATCTGTAAGAATAGTTTCAATTTTTCCTCTTGATTTAATATTTTTTTCTTGGATAAGTTGTTGTTTATTTGATTGATTAATTTTTTTTATTTTAGGAAGTTTGTTAATTTTTGGATCAGTACCATTGATTATAGATGATCTAGGTATAGCTGCTGCTCTTATTTTTGATCCTAAGCTGGATACATCTGAAATTGCACTAGTGTTTGATGCTTGGGAAGATGTAGAGCTCGATCGACATTTTTTCGATGGACAAAGTTTAAGATTTTTGTTTAAATGCGTTTTTTTTGAATTTATTTTTTTAGCCTCTATTCTTTCTCTAACTGCTTTCATGGCAGGGGTATCATTCCCTTTGGTACAGCTAATTGAAGATTTTGATGAATTTTTATTATTTTTATTGTATGGATTGATAACCATTGATGAACTACTCTCATAACAGTCTGAAAATGCACCATCTTCATTACTTGTTGATCCATTTAGCGACTTGTGACCTTCGAATTTGTCCTAAAATGACCTAGTATTAACTTTTACTGTTCTAAACAAATTTTCTTATAAAATTTCATCAGATAATTAAATAAAATAATTTTACGTACCTCGCCACTTTTATCAACTGGAGGAAGCCAGGATGACTTTTTCGTCTTTTTATTATAATAATATGGTTTATCTGGATGTTTCTTGGAAATACGTTCTTCCCAGTTGGGAGGTAATGGTGGTTTCATTGATTCCTCTAAATCATCCGAAAAGGTAGACATTTTTAAGCTTTATCCGTGCTCACTATTGAGAATTCTCAATATCTACTGTGACTTTGAAACCTTCAAATTAGAATAAACAAACGTAAGACAGGTTTTGAAAGGTTGGAAAGGACGATTCTTGAGATCATTATAATGTTTAGCAATTTCCCACGAAAGCAGACATGTGCGCGTTCACGAATTCGTTTCGGTGACAGGCTACTAATCTGGCTTATATAATAATTCTTGTGTGTTGGTAAACCGTAAATGACGTTTTGTTTCCGGATTTACCGAACGTGCGCATGCGCGAGTGATTTTTCACTTTTAAAATTTTAACAAAGAAAGTTGTCAAGATGAACATATAATTAAAAATTAATGTTCTCATCAACGAAGGAAATTTATGTGAAATGATAGATTTAAAATTAATTTTTTTATTGTAAACAATGTATTTTACATATATTACTCCCAGCATGTAGTGTGATAGACATCGAAGAGTAAAGCTGAGGTGTAATCTTCGTCAATACATCAGTGATCAATTATCGCTTGGAATATACAATAATATATCTTTTGCGATGTATTACATAATCTATAATAATAATAATAATAATAATAATAATAATAATAATAATTTTTATATTATCATTATTACAACTGCAGTCGATAGAAAACACGCGACCTTCTGACGCATGTTTTTTCATAAAATATTAATTCTTTGTAGCATATACAGGCTATCAATTTAGTAAATCTACGTAAGAAATGTCGTGATTTATGTACAAAATTCGCACTACTCGTTGCATTATTATGTAATATTTTTATTATTACCATAATCGTGATATCGATAATATAAATTATTATATATATAATATATATTCATGATTAAAGTTAGTCCCACTTTTCTTTTCAAACCCTGCGCTTGTGAAGATTGAACGTTACATTTAGAGTTTATTCAATCTGATAATACTTTGTGGAAAACAAATCGATTTACAAGTTGATTGCTACGTAAAATTCTCCATCGTTGCGTATCTGTTATTTTCTGTACATAATTATAATTGTCTTATGTGAAAGATAGGTATGTTTCTTCTCCTCTATCCCTTTCTTCTAGTAAATTGTCACACGATTATATAGATTCGCATTGTTTCGAGCAATCAGCATAAATTTTCTAATTTGGTATGTACATTTTGAAATTTATGATTTTCTCAAAAATTTTTCATTTAATGATGACAAGTTTTAAAATTAAAAAATTAATTACGATCTACGGGCTAACTTATGTGATAATTATAACGCATTAAAATCATACATTGTGACCAAATTGGACAGACCGAGTCGTACCTTATTAAATTAAAAATACACATTGCTCAATGGTAATTATTAAATGCAATTATAGCACAATTACATACCATCATGTTATGCTTATTAGGATTTCATTCAAGCATTTAACATTTTAATCTAAATTTAAACTGTGAAAAATTCAATATCTAAATCAAAAGGCATTGTACAGCCTTGCCAGCAAAGTATACATAAAACATTTTGATTCTAAATATTTTTCATGTTAATGTTTCAGACTTCCGAGATGTTACGCCAAACAAATAAATCCTTTTCTTTTTTTTTAAAATCATAATTGAATATACAGCTAAATATTTGTATACCAAATTTTTGTGTAAAAGTCATGTTTTATATTGTTCTTTCATTGATACAAAAACTAATGAAGAAGTCTTAAGATTGTCGTGTAGCTAGCTAAGTAGCTTTAAAACATTCAGATTTCGGAGTAAAGCGATTGAAATCATCAAGATATTCTTTTGTTAGTTTCCTACTTACAAATTACATATTATAAATGTAATAAGCATAGTGATTATTAATATTAATATTGTAATTATAAGATATTACACTTTTTACATAATAACAACGGATAATTCAAATTAAAACGGAGTTACTCAAAAATTATTTAAATATATTCAGATTATACGTCATTTTTATATTCAGGAACGCTATAGTATGGTACTAATGTTATTTATAAATCCCAGTTTTTTTAATGCATTATTTTCATTTACAATATACAACTTTATTAAATGTCATTCGTACTCTCATCTGCTTTATAGTATGATGATGATGATAATTATATTAAAAATCATATCATCGGATACTCACATCATTCATTTACTCAAGCCTTTGCAATGCACCTTTTCCACTCAAATGAATGTTCGTACAAACCAAATTCTACTTTCATAAGGAACAATATACATAAAAGCGCACTGCTCTCCTGACTGATAGACAAATTAGAATTATCACAGAATCTTGAAATATAACGCTGTATACAATAGGCTCGTTAAAATTTCATTGCATTTTGTTTTTATTATATTTGTAAAAACATACTACACTCAATCTGTATTTTTTTTACTTTAGTTTTGGTTTTTCCTTTTTTTTCTTTTTGATAACATACATATGTCACGTATGTGTATAATTATCAAATTTTTTTAAAACTTGTAACATAATACACGATTTTTGTTACTGGCAGGCTAAGAAATTTATGTTTTAAAAGAATACTGTTTTAACGTACGTGATAAAAATCACATAACGGCTTTTAATGAGCAACATAATATCTTGCACTATGTATCAAAAAATGTCCATAACATTATAGTTGAATAAGCTATTTTATGATAATAATTTGAACACGGTCAGATCATTCACAAGTAACTTTCGAATAAGTTACAACAAAAAATTCTAAAAAGTTATATATTTCAATATGTGTCTATCGATATTATTCGATAATCTATACTTTACATATTTGCTGATTCAAAGTTACATTGAATAGTCAATAACACGTTACTAAAACTCTGATTGAAAAAAATCGTAAAAAATTGTTTTCTAAATTATCCCTATAATATACAATAGAAAACTTCAATGGAGATATTTATACTTCCAAAAATTTTATAAATAGTAGTATAAATGTAGCTTTATAGCCTGAATTAACGATCGCTTATAAAAGTTTTTAATAAATTGCTATAAAGCTAGTTTTCAAAATATAGCTTTTTTGGAAAATAATCATAACAAAAAGAATGAGTATAATCAGAATTAGGAGTATTATGGTCATGTATCTAGTATGACTCGGTCTTCCGTTTTACGATAAAACATTCACACACAATGATTGCACTTGGTTGTCTATAATCAATACAAATAACTATTATTAAACGATTCAGGAACGCACTTGGGCCTAAGAAACTACACTAAAATGCCTCTTTATGAAACTGAATTAGTTACAGTGCATGGAATTATTCACTGCTATGTTTGAAATACTTTCACTGATTTCGACAGTTCCAATTATCACAAACAAAACATATCTTCAAGTTTTACTAGAAGACGAAGACTGAATTATTGAGCCGGTGGTTGAGGCTCAGTAGGCACACCAGGATTTGAATAAGCTGGCAAAAACGAATAATTTGGATAAACAGGTGAAGCTGGAAAGGGTGAATAGTAATTCGTTGGATGTCCTGGTGCTGAAGCTGGTGGAGGAGGCGCGTAACCTCGATACGGATCAGGCGCTGGTGGAGGTGAAAAGGCTGAATATACGTTATACGCTGGACTACCGTATCCAGGATAGCCGACTGGAGCTGTTGAAACGAACAATCATTTTTATTATTCTCTGGTTTTGAACAACAATGTTTAATTTATGGAAAAAATTATTGTTAAATGATGTAAGTGCAGACGTTTTATCACTAACCAGGTGGTGGATAAGATGTTGAGCTTCCAGGTGCAGGTGCCGATGAATAATGCTGCGAGTACGGATCGTACGACGGCGGTGCATATGGTGCTGGAGGATAAGCACTTCTCACACTAGAAGGATGACTAAAAGCGGTCGGAGTTGGCTGCTCTTCCTTGGCAGCAGTTTTTGACTTAGAAAGTGATTTATTGTCGACTCCAGTTGCAGTGTTACTTTTGTTACTTGTCACTTTTTTTTGAGGTAGTGCACTGCTGACTCTGGGATAATTTGGTGGTTCAGCGCCGGGATTTGCTACCTCGTCAACGGGTTTACTAGCCGGTGCCGAGTAAGCTGAATAGCCGTAAGGATCATTAATTGGAGGTCTAGCACCATAATCAAAATACCTCGGATAAGGAGCATAAGGGTAAGCAGGATGCGCAGGAGTTTGTGGAGGTGTTGGCAAAGCCATATCAGATTCTGCAGCTTTGGCCCTTACAGGCATTGTTGTTGTGGCTGACGGAGATGTCAAGCTCGTTTGAGAAATAGAACTATTGACATTCTCGTGAGGCTTTACTATACGAACATCAGAAGTGACTCTCGGTGAGTTGCCGGTACCTCTTTGAATCATCTGTCGCGGAAGATTACGTTGGGATGGCGTTAGATGCGATTGGTGCTGTGGATTAGTTTGATGTAGAGACGATTGACGAGGAAGAAGGTGTCGAGAAGAATCATCCATGTGAATATCATCTTTACTGTTTGTGTGCTTATTTCTTGGGTGAGATTGAGACAAAGGTCGATGATAGGGATCAAACTTTTTTTGTTCCATATCTTGAACATGTCTCATAGCCGATGGCGGTCTGCCCAAATTGAAATTGGCTACCGGTCTTCCTTGCATCATTGGTCTACCTTCCATGATGGGCCTTTGAATATTTGAATCTGTGTCAGAATTGCTACGGCGACTACTTGATGGACTGTAATCCATGGAATTAGAACCGGTATCGTGCATGTCATCTAAATGAATTTCTTCTACTCTTGGACGCATTTTTTGGCTATCGCAAGAGTTCGAATTTTCGCCAATTGAACCAGTTTCGCTTACGTTATCCAGATGTTTTGGTTTATTAATTCTTGACAAGCTTATTTGATTTGTTTGGACTGGATTGACGTAAGATTTCGCAGCTGTTGTAGCTTTCGTTCTTTTATATACTTCTTTTTCTCCGTAAGGACGGTAATTCACTCCAGTTCTCATAAGAAGTGGTCGTGTCGGTGCTTGTTGTGGTTGGTTATTACTTGTATTTTTCGGAATAATAGATATTGCTGAATTGTTGCGCAGAGGAAATCCAATTTCTTCTTTGTTACTAGTATTTCTGTTCCCCTCAGTGACAACACCTTAATTTTTTAAAATTTTTAAAACCAATATTAATATATTAATGTTTTATTTATTTTAACTTGGTATTTGATTGCGTCATTACCTTTTTTAGCTCCCACTGGTTCATCGTCTTTCTTTTGTTGGTTCATTTTCAAAGCAGTTCTTATAGCTATGATTTTACCAGATTCTAATTGCATGTAAATGCCTTTAGGACTTTTTAGAACCATAACTCTTTGGCCTGCTTTGAGAACTATGCTGCCTTTGTCCGGAGAATTCGTAGGTATGACGACATCTAATGGTAGAGTCATTTCTTGCGCACTCATACCCTGTCTCTGCCAAACTTCAGCAGGTATCCATTTGCTACCACTGGAATTTCGCGTACTCAAACCATCAGATCCACGTTGCTGCATTGGTCTAACAGAAGCTACGGGTTTGCCAATAGGGTTGGCAGCGTCACGAATCTGGCGAATTTGTAAACTGCTAGCTGGCACAGTCACTAAAAACAATTATTATTTCAAAAATATTTCAAAAAAATAAAATAAAATCTTCATCAGAAATCGAATAAAAATATTCATTACCTCTGGGGGCTGTATTTCCAGGTATATAATTGTAACTTGGTTTAGCAGTATTCGCAGCCATCTTTTCAAGTTCGTAGCCTCTTCTAGCCAGCCTCTTTTCCGCTTGACTCAGTTTTTTATCTTTGCGATCGATTAAAAGACTCTCATGATTAAACGGCTCCTTTGTTAGTAGAGCCGAAAATTTTTCTAATATCAGACCTACCACACTGTCATGATATTTATCTTTCAAATCGGAGAAATCTTGCACTTCGCTATCTTCTTCCCATTCCCAAGAAAGAGTGGTAGCTTCTTTGAGTGACAAATGAGCGTCAGGATTACATTGGTCAACAACACGATCGGACATTCCTTGTTTGCTTATTTGACGGTCGTAGATTTTCCTCTCTAAACAATTATCTGTTACTAGTCTGTATACAAAACAACTTTTTTGTTGACCATAACGGTACACTCGGCAAACTGCTTGAGTATCGTGACAAGGATTCCATGAAGCATCAAATACAATTGCTCTATTGGCTCCAACGAGATTAATACCTAAAGATCCAGCACGGGTTGAAACGAGAAATAGATGAACTTTTTTATTGGCATTAAACTCGTTGATGAGTTTTTCACGTTCAAGTGCACTAGTCGAGCCATCCAAACGAAAGTAATTAACATTCCTAGCCCAAGATTCTTTCTGTCCTTCGACATTTTCAAAATCGTTGTTAGCCAAAAAATCTTCAATAAGATTCAATGTAAAAAGAGATTGTGAAAAAGTCAATACGCGATCTCCTAATCGTATAGCTTCTTCAAGAATTACGAAGAAAATTTTCATTTTGGCCGAGGCTTCAATTAAGCCTGGAACATAATTTTTCATCAACTCATAAGCCCAGTCATATGGTATCCCAGGATCTCCATCTTTCAAACTGTTCATTAAACTGCTACCGATCTTTTCCTTTTCTTCATCTCTTGACGCGGTCTCGTCATCTTCATCTGCTTTCTCTTTATCAGTATTTTTCATATCTTTATCCTTCAAGTCTGCTGTTGTTTTTTCATCTTTATTAGAAGTCTCGGTTAATACTTGTTCGGCACTTGACTGAGAATCAATGGAAGGTTTCAAATTCGGTTGTTGTTGAAGCGAACCAGAATTCGTAGTCATTTGAGTAGAGTTAACTCCATTAGATGGAGCAGTACTTGGGATAGATTGATTGAGTTGGGCAGGTTTTGTGTCAATCGTCGAATTATCACTGTAATTTTGGTACTGATTTGATTGACTAACTTGACTTGAAGTGGTTGATAATTGTTGGTTCATTGGGTAGTTACTTGTCCCAACAGCATTATTCTGATAATTATTTTGACTGTTTTGATTTTGATAATAAGATTGATTAGTGTTTTGATAATTTTGTTGCCAATATTGATTTTGGCCAGGTGTAGAGGATTGTTGTTCTGGTGGAGGAGGCTGTTGCTGTGACTGTGAGTCAAATTGAGCTTGGTTGTTTGATGGTAACTGAGTATTTTGTGGTAAATAATTTTGCGAAGGATAAGTGTCTTGTTGCTGAGTTTCAGTTTTTACATGAGAACCTTGAGAATAGTTTATTTGCTGATTTTGCGTAGAGTCTGGTGGTTGATTTTGTTGATAACTGGGGCCTCCTTGAGATGTAGGGTATGTTTGTGGCTGTGTATGAGAATATATAGAATTTTGGGTACTATAAACTTGTTGTTGATACGTTGGTTGCTGCTGCTGATTTTGAGGCGTTACTTGGGGAGGTTGTTGATAAGAGGTTTGCGGTGTTTGTTGCTGTTGTTGCTGATGAGGTACTTGAGATTGAGATTGGTTGTTAGTATAACTTGATATTTGCGGCTGGTTGCCCGAAGTTTGAGATCCATAATTTTGCACTGAATTTCGTGAAATACTATCATACTGATTTTGATAAGAGTGTTGAGCAGGTATATGCTGTTGCTGATGATTTGTATATCCGATTGCTGAAGATGAGGTAGCAGGAGGTGCATTAGATTGATTTTCTGGGCAGTAGCCTTGGTTTTGTACTCCGGAAACACTTGAATTATTCTGTGCTGAATATGATGAATGAGGTTGTATATTATTATTTGGCATTGTCTGTTGATAGTTAGAAGAATTAATAGATGAGGGTTGATTATTAGGATATCCTGCATTTTGTGTACTCGACGCATTTTGAGAATTATTTGAATAATTATTAATTCCACTTTGGTTTGAATCTGTCCCGGTATTACTGTAGTTTGTATTTTGTTGATTGGTCTGCGAATAAGTGTTGTAATTCAATTGATTTTGTGGATAAGACGTTTGCTGAACAGGCATTTGACCATCTGAATATGAGTAGTTTGTCCCAGATATTGTACTTGAAGCTCCAGCAATTGGTTTGGCAGACGGGTCAGGACCCGTAGTCGAGAGTCCATACTGATTTGAATATTGTTGTTGTTGTTGAGATTGGTGACCTGAATACGGTGTTTGAGGCGGTTGTGTTGAATACTGCTGCTGCGGTTCAGTGTATTGCTGCTGATGCTGGTTTGACTGGCTATGTTGACCAGAATACTGTTGCTGTTGCTGGTGTGGCTGGCTTTGTTGACCAGAGTACTGTTGCTGAGATTGCTGAAGTGGTTGATACTGTTGCTGAATTTGTTGACCAGTATACTGTTGCGGTTGTTTTTGTTGTTGCTGTTGCTGTTCAGAGTAAGGTTCTTGATTAGAATATGGCTCTTGTGTATGTTGTTGACTCTGATCATTCTGAGAGTAATTTGCATTTTGTGGGTAAGCCTGATTGCTCCCAGGCATAGGGTACTTTTGCTGTTGCTGATTTTGATTATTGTAGTAATTATATTCATTGTTTTGATAATTTTGATATGTAGATTGAGGTTGTTGCTGCTGCTGATAACTTGTTTGAGCATTAAAACCAGTAGAATTACTGGTTTCTGCTTGTGAGGGTGGGCCCATATTTTGAAAAGATTTTGGTTTATCAGGAGATTTCGAATTTTCATTAATTGATGAAGGTAAAACACTAGCAGCTGGCTTAGGTTTTGCTTTCCTTCCTCTTTTACCTTCACCTTTGGGAGCCCTTGGTTTAGCCGCTCGCTTAACACCGACTGTTGAAGTTTTATCACTAATTGTTTCTTCAAGATCAAGATCGTCTTCTTCTTTTTCTTGTCTTTTCTTTAAAAAGTGATAAAGTACATCTGGATGATTCCAAATTTTGCAACAGACAGCAAAAGCTTTCAGCGGATTTGGTACAGCTCGAGTTTTCACCACTTGATTCATGAAAGTGTCATAAAGTTTACGTTGATGTGGAGTCATTCTCACTAAAAGAATGTATTCTTCCTTACGCGGTAAGGACTGTTGTAACACAGTATGTGAGCGTCGTTGAACAAAACCAGCCAGAAGATCATGAAGAACGTGGGCGCGATAACGCATCAGTCTTATATCTTGAGGAGTTGAATCGATGCACTGTCCATTTTGAATGGGACGTTCAAACATGTTGCAAAATTCACTCTTAGAGCCTGAAAATAAAATAATAGAATATAATTATTGAATAACTAAATTTTAAACTTATAAAAAATAATAGCATACCTAAATAATTTGGCCTCACAAAGTCCACCATGCACCAGTACTCTAGTAAATTATTTTGAAGAGGATAACCAGTTAACACAATACGTCGCTTTGTACGCATTTGTTTAAGAGCCAAACTAATACTAGCGTGTGAGTTTTTAATTCTGTGTCCTTCATCACAAATAACCAAGTCAGGGCCAGGGCTTACCAAAGCTGAATGCATTTCATCAAGCAATGGTTTATTTTTGTCATCCTCTTCCGCGTCAAGTGATGGATCTCTGATGGGTTGCCCGCGTTTGCGTTTTGCTTTGTTAGCTTTTTTTAAAGAAAGTTGACGATAAAGCTCGTATCCTATGAGGAGTACACCGCCAATTTTTTGCCATTCTCGAATAACACGAGCTCTTGCTGCCATCGTTTTGTGAGAGTCGTTAAGTATATGCAAATGGAAATGACGAGGACGTACTTCCAATCCTTCAGGTACATCAACACTGAATTGCGTTTTAACTTTTTCTCCATTTTTAGATTCACTCGCAGTTTTTTCTTTAGCGGATTCATCAGATTTGTCATCCAACTCTTTTGATTCCAATTGACTTTTATCATTTTGAGAAAATTCAGTTTTTTGTCCTGCAGATATTGGCATGTTATATTTTCCACTATCCTGAGCTGGCAAAGGTATTTCTTTAGATTGTTCATTATTATAGTTTGGTTGTGTTATGCCCGAATTCGTTCCGTAATTGGAATAAGTAGAATTCATATTATGAGGAGCACTTGAATCCATGCCTACATAATTGGTTGGTGGATGTACATTAGATGGTGGATAATGACTATAAGGGGGTATATTATATGCTTCTGAATAATGAGAATTATATTCATGTTTTATCGGATTATATGATGGCATTGCACCAGTATAGTTAGTCCCAAATCGTGAATCATAGATGGGTGCGCCATAAGGCGGTGCTATGCCTGGATTAAAACCAGGTTGAGATCCATAAGAATTACTTCCAATTGGTTTACTTTCTGGAGGTAGTTGCTGATGTAAATTTGAATTCATAGTGCTTTGAGATTGATCAGATTTTTCATTTTCTTGATTTTCTTCTTTGACAACCTCTTTTTTATCGGCCTATAAATTTTTTAAAAACATAATTTTTGAGCATCAGATGTTGTTCTTTGACTCTTTCAATTATAATTAAATAAAATTATACCTTTGGAGCATTAGGATCTTCATATGGCAACCACATGTTAAATTCAGCCAACCAATTTTGTAACGTGTTGATAGGCATTATACAAAGTACAGTCTTAGCATCAGTGCAACGGAAAAATATATCACAAAATGTTGCAACTTGTAATGTTTTTCCTAAACCCATACTATGAGCCAATATACATCCAAAACCTGAGCTTGACTTGAATCTATCAATACTTTCAACAATATTATCGTACAAAAAACGTATTCCACCAATTTGATGAGGTTTAATAATTTTTGCTACTTGTGGTGCCAAAAATACATCTGGTTCGTTTTCAGGATGACCTACATTAACTGTAACAAACACATTAGATGGTAACTTACATGTAATTTGAAATTTTGAAATAACACAACATTTTGAAATTTTAAATACCTAAAACTCTGCCTTGTTCATCAGGTACATTGTAACGATCATTAGTATGCATGCCCGAATTGGAAGGATCTTCATCATCAACTTCTTCTTCTTCTTCATCGCTAAGTACAATGCAGTCATCATCACTGTTTTCGCTTGAACTAGATATTGTAACAACATCTTTGCCTTTTTGTTTCCCAGGCACTTTAGATGCTCCGGTGTCAAGAGGAACATCAGATTGTGAAGTTTTGATTTCTCGTGAAATAACTTCATCTGCTTCAGCACCATCCGATAGTTCAGAATCAGTATAATATTCTAAATGTTCTACTTCTTCTTCAATATCATCTTTTTTTGAAACTACTGGTAATATACTGACAGATGGTGTCATCATGCGAATGCGTTGCTGAAGTTGATTTGCAGAAGAACAAGTTGGGGAACGTGAGGTTTTTGAGCCTTGTTTACTACTTTTATGGTGCTGAGAAGTTCCACTTTGAGAAATTGAAACTGCTTGTCCACTTGGAGGATTGATTTTCAACTGTACTGAGCTTGGTAATCTTACCTAAAATTTGAAGCAATGATTCAAATATCATGAAGCTAGTATTAAAATAAAATGAATCAAATATTACCTCTCTTATAATCCTTTGTTGTTCTTGAACACGCCGCAAACGTTCCATTTCTTGACGTTGAGCAGCCAAGGTAGATTCATCAAGTTGAGTTTCATCCATCACTTCACGAATATTTTTCCTCATATTGGCTTGTTTTTTATCAGCTTTTGATTCTAAATCGTTGTTTTCGTTATTATCATCTTTTTCTTTTTTTTGTTTCTTTCTTCCTTTAGTTTTGTTTTCTTCATGCTCCACATGATGTTTTCCTACTTCAAGTATATTTTCTTCATCCACATCAACCATTGACTTTTCATCTTCTTCATCATCATCGCCATCTATTTTACCAAGAAGATCTGCTTCAGACACTTCTTGCCCTTCTATAGGTGCACCTACAAAAATAATATTATAATCATGTATTACTAATGAATGAAATAATGCTCAAAGCAACAACTAATGAATGTTATGCAAAACACATTAAATACATACCTTCTAATGGTAATGAGTCCAAAATATTTACAGGGTTTATCTCAATGTCATCTTCTTCATTTTCTCCAGTACCTCTTAATTCAAGGGGGTGCATTTGATCTCTTGGAGCTTCCATTCTTAATCTGATTTGTGAATCAATAGTTTCATCTAGATCCATGTCGTTTGGTGAACCTTCAGCTTTAATCTCTTCAATTCGTGAATTGGTATTTTCAGTCTTGCTTTTTTTTTCTTTTTCATTAACTTCACTGCTAGAGTCTTGAGAACATTCATTATTGCTGGCCAAGTGATCAGACATGATTTCTTGAAGTTGCTCGACAATTTCTGTATTCTGCACAGTTGAGTCTGGAGCCTTTTCTTTGGCGGATGGCTCTACGGTGACATTTTCAAAGTTATTAGAACAATAAGGATTATATTTATTTGACATAACTTTTGGTGTGTCCAAGTAAGTTCATTGTGTGATAAAAAAATGATTCAATTCTTATTGGATCATTTTGAGGCATCTTCACAAAGTAATTTTCTCAAAGTAATTAATGAACAATGCTAGCAATTCTAATTAGTATTTTCTTCTATGCATTGCATCGTCGTAAATTAGACTTAAATATCAAATTTTGTCAAATGACTTCGAAATAAACTACTGGCATAGTAAAGTAAACAAATCAAACCAACCTCAACATGTCAATGTTCCAGTTTAAGTGCTTGTTATTTTTGTATAGAGCTTTCGAAGCTGTTAAAATTGCTCAGCATAAAAATGGAGCATCAAGTATTTTGGCAACAATGACATACACAGGCACGTCAAAGTCTAAGTGTCAAACTAAAAACTTGTGCGACGTACAATCAATGCGAGATCCAATGATTTGGTTATTTTGTGGCCCTAGGAAGGTACCTGGAAACGATACAAGTGTAATGTTGCTGAATAGCATAAAATAGGCGATCGTGCGATTTCAGTTCCCACGCACAGCCGCGAGCGATTGTCTACACTATTTCTCGACACGATGCGAGACGAATCAACTGCAGCTTGTCGTTGAGCGCAAGGAATAGTTGAGCTCTATGGTACATGTCATTCACAATGTAGATAGCCCAGTAGAGGTAGACGTGGACATCGGACGACAACAATAGTCACACACGCACCCGCACGCGACAACACCCTTGATTACAAAGTGCAAACGACGTTGGAGCAACTTTTGGCGACCGTCTTTTTACTGCTCTTTGCAACTCCAGTGTGTACAGTGTTCACTGTACTGTACTACTACTCCTACTCACTAATACAAGCATTAAGGCGCACCAACACAAGTACACACGCGCGCCGCCGCCGGGGTAAAACAGATCTGTGCGCGCTTCTATTCGCATGTATAGGTATAATATAAGGGGCATATATAATTAAGGCCCCTATCAAGCAGCAGCTCATGAGAATCCTGCGTTTCTTTCATTTTTCTATAATAAACATACCATGATCTGCGACACTCACACACGCGCACACAGGTAAAAGTAAGACGGAGTCAAGCTCGTCTCAAACCTTATGCATACCTACGTATGAAAGTGTCGAGAAGAATCCGCGTGAGTCCCTTAGGCCTCTTTTCTTCTTAGGTGCAGCCAATTATTTTTCGAATCACAGGATAAAAGATGAAAATTGCTTCTTATCTTTTAAACACTTCGTAAAATCGAAATGATTTATGTGGTATACAATTTTATGCATAAAAAGCTTCATCGTACAGATATCGTTGTCCTTTCTTTTTCTCTAACATACATGAGCAGTTGTGTATAGGTGTATGTGCATACATAGCGAGTACACGCGATTTAATATATATAGTATATACATGGTAACATGGGTATTTTCTATTTTGCGGCCATTTTGTCTGGGAGAGGTAGTTCGCGCAGGTGAGCAGCACATAACTGTAGCGCTCACCACCCGGTATGATATGTATATAAATATTCTTTGATGGTAATTACGAAAAAGATTGAATATAATCAAGAAATAACAGTTAAAAATTTTAAAAAATTGAACGCATTTTTGTTCTACTATTTATAAAATGAAATAATAGAACGTAGACTTGGATTTATATTCATAGAGCTTTATTTAAAAACAGAAATACATGAAAATTCACTATTCAAAACATTGTATTTTTATAGACTATTAGTTTCAATATTCGTTTCTTTCAAGATATTCACTTAGATTAACTCAATATTCATATAAAGTAGTGAACTGCAAACCATGTACACAACTTAGAGTAATGAAAAAACTTATCCAAAAATTTCTTTTAACAGCAAGGTACAGTCCAAGTAAAATCAGCAGTTGGCTCTGCAAATTTATGGCGCACCAAAAATGTAGCAACAGCTTCGGCGACCTTATCTGGTGCATCCTCATGAATAGCATGTCCACAAGCTGTTAGCACTTGAAGTTGAAACTTACCCTGCATTTGACCAACAGTTAGTTCTTTATCAAGTCTATCTACTCCAGCTAGCAAAAGCATTTTTGGAGCTTCTAATTCCAAAAAAGCTGATGATAGTCCATGAAACCACTCATTCCAATATTTTTCAGTTTGAGCAAGATTTATTCTCCATGTGTATTTTACTGAACTTGATTCTTCTGTGGTAGACGATATACTTAATTCTCCTTCCACTATTGTACCTAAGGGTGCTGGAAGTGCACTAGTTGCAGAATTTGATTCATCGCTAGGATCAGGTTTCGGATCATGCTCTAGATCATCAGCACCTAAAGTATTATTTTCAATATTTTTAATTTGGCCAGGCACAGAAACTTTGGCAGAATTAACGTTGCGAATTTGACCACTACGAACACACCATTCTACAGCTTTTGAAATGGATGAAAATTGAGCTGGTCGAGATCTTAAAAATCCCTGCATTGATCTTAAGGATTCTATTGCTGTTCCTTCTACAACATCAATTACTATGACTCCGATTACGTTAGGAATAAGTGGAGCTGCTCTTACAGCTACAGCACCACCTAAACTATGGCCAATCATTATAATAGGTCGATTTTCAGATATAGCTTCTAAAATATGAACTACATCATTTGCCAAAGTATTAATTGATAAATCATCGTCTTTTTTAGTTTTTGAACTGCCATGCCCTCGAAGATCTATGGCCATAATTTGGCATGTAACTAATGCAGTTACAGCTTTTGTAAACTGGGCCCAAGTTAACCCACTGTACCCACCACCATGTATTAAAACAAGGAGTGGTCCTTCATTTCCTTGATGATAAGCATAAAATACATCTTCAGCTATAGCTATAGATTTTCTATCTTGAAAATATTGCGACCAATGAACAGGTTCATAGTCTCTTTTATAATGTCCTTTGTGTTGCATTAACCTTGAAGAGAGAATCGCTGGATTAGGCAAATTTTTTGCTCTTGATTTAACAACTTCTTTTTGTAGAGAAGACATTTTTGAGTGACTTTTAGAGTTACATATAAAATAACAATAAAAAATATTGAAAAAATATATTCACAAACAATTTTTATACTTTACTGTATAAAAAAATGATGAATTATTAATTGAAAAAAGATTTCTCAAACACTTTTAACACCACAATTTAATTAGTTTTCTGATAAGTTCAGTTCTTTCAGTCAAAGTTTAACGAAACTAATTAAGTTCAAAAGCCTATCTCAAGCACTTCAATTAGCAGTCTCACAAGCGTCGATCCAGTCATTGTAAACATCAAGAGGCTCAGAGAGCATATTTATTGTTGTTTGGAAATCTTCTAAGCAGACTCTGCAGGTAATTCTCGCTGTACTTCTTGGCTTATCCCTGAAATGTATTAAAAATTAATTCGTAACCACGGGCAATTTAACCTAACAAGTTATTACTAACAATTGAAAGTTGTCGATAAGTTTTATAAAGATGTTCGAAAGTGCAAAATCCTAGTCTTAAACGAAAGAAAAAAAAGAATCAACTTTTTAAGATTTTTGCGAAGCTTATTATTGGCAGCTGATTTTCTTAAGAGCAAGTTTCTATAGAGGGAGCGAACTGACCACGTGAGAAAGTATTTTACGAGGTATATTCAAAGTATTTATTGAAAAATGCGTGAAAAAAATTAAGTACCGACATTTAGAATAAGTAAAACAAAGAGAAAATACTTTACATTTTAACTTCGCAGGACTTCTCATGATTGCAAAATGGACAATTGAATTGCGTATCTAAAGGCTCAATGGCCTTACGTTTTGGTGGTGGCTTCCTTTTACTCTTTCTTCGGCCCATTTGTCAATTATAGTATAAAAAAAATGTTACGATATCCAAGCAAAACAAATTGCGTCGTATTTAAAGAAAAAATTTGATTAAAAATAAGTTTAAAAAGTACAATATCAGCAGTACACAAAGTCAAATCACTTTACTATCAAACGCTTGACTGCGTCTTGCATGGTATGTCACAGCTTACAGCGACTCTCATTATAAATACCAACTTTGAAACTCAAAGCGTTGTCAGAATTTTTGTCAGTATTCAGATCCATATTGCCATCGCGTACAGCGCACCCTAGTGGACTTGAAAATAACTCAATGTCACTCACAACTACAAGTCACAGTCGTAAGCACGTAGAATAGGGTAAAGTCAGCCATACTCTTCGTTTAATTCCCAATTTCTCAGTCGATCCTCTAGACTCTAATTCTTATGTAAATAATATTGAAAGCGCTGTGGTATCGTGTAATTTCTCACAGGGATCTGAGCGAGACGTAAAGAAAATTTACCATGATTACAGCTACAAACTTCGGAATAACAACATTTAATAGCTTATCTTTGTGAACCGGCACACAATTTAAAATGTACAAGTAAAGATCGATTCTCAATGAAATCGAAATGCGAATATTAGTAAATTTTTTTAGATCATTTATCACCCTTTTTTAAAAGTCCAAGCTTGCCAATTCTCCTAAATTCATGATTATTGCAAATATCAAACTTATTCCTTGCTCAATGTACAGTAACTTGAACGAAAAAGTGCAAGAGAGCTTTTTTGTTGGAAATTGTCCAAATTTTCGGAAACAATCGCTCTTAAGCACTCAAGAGGCTTGCTTCGATTAAAAGAAACACAAAACTTAAAATCTAATCGAGTTCTATACGGACTTTTATCTCCAAAGAATCGAAAATCGTGTCCGCATTTATGAATTCTTATTAGAACACGTAAAAAAAGTTTTTTTTGTTTATTTAATCAAGTATCACAGTGAAACATTCTATTTTCATATAAAGTTCGAATACAAGTATCAAAACCAATGTTTATTAAATGTGAAACTGTCTACATTTTGAACGAAACCCTCGAACCATACTTCCCATTTATTTACATATTTTTGTTTATTTTTTTATACTTCCAAATAACACTTATGAAAATCATGTAATTTATGTCGTATACAGAAAATTAATTAATTGTATTAAATATATCAGTTCATGCAATTTAATGTACAACAGCTAATTTAAAAATTACTTTATTAGTTTAAAAGTTTACCTAATTTATAGGTACTAAATCCAATTCATAATCACTCTCCTCATCTGATTTGGAAAAAAACGGCTGAAAACAAGACATTAGAGCATTTTTGGAGCAGCTCTTTTTCATAAAAACAATACCGATAGTTTGGTCGTCAACCATGTTCATAGCTGTTCTGATGAATCCTAAAAAGTGTGATACTTTTATAAATATCGCTGGCAATGACTGACCCTTCGAGCATATAGGGCCTCGGCTTAAAATTCCAATCACTTCATTATCTAACTCTAAAGGACTTCCACTGTCTCCCTTAAAAAAAAAAATAAAGTAATGGTCACCACAAATGGGTACCGAATAATTAATGTTTACGGAATTTACTTACAGGACCAACATTTTGCTTTACGTACGTGCAAATGTCATACTTTGGAAGGTCGACTTTTGCGCAAAGTAATTGTTTCGACATTGGGCAATTGATGTCGCTGAAAATTGTGACAATTTTCATGGGTAAAAAATAGCGCATTTCAGGCAATATAGGTAACTCAACGGATTTATTCATTGACTTATTCTGGAATTTCGTGTAGCCTACCGCACCAAATCCAGATATCGTAGCGCGCTTATTTTTGAATGACTCTATTTTTGCATCTGTCGGTAATGAAATAACTTTTATGAATACGTTGCCTAAAACATCCAATGGAGTTTCAAGCTAAAACAAATGGAACAAATTATCTTAATGCAAAATCAGGATGGACGAAAAAGTTGTTACGACCAGTTGTCACATCACCTTAAGGAGAGCGATATCCTGCGGATAAGGGTCTTTTATATACTTTTCTTTAACGACGACGGCTTGTACAAATACTGCTTCGCCATGATTGGAATACAATTTATTTGTCCCAGCTACTACTCTCAATTGTCGATCCGCAACATTTATGGATTCTTCATCAGATTCAACAATGAAACAATGTGCTGCACTCAAAACAAAATATTCCGAAATTATAGCACCACCACAAATGTGTCGAAATTTCCCAAAAGCTTCATCTCTCAACTGGATAGACACTTGATATCGGAACATATTATCTTTGTCAATATTGTTACGAGACACTTCCATACACGTAACTGAAATTTTACAATGATTTAATTTTTTTGTAAATGATTTTCTGTTTAAAAAAAAATGAAGTTACCTTCTTTCATCACGAATAAAATTGAATAAGTGATAATGAGCATTTTTGTTACCTTTAACATATTGTCAAGTAATGATGCAAATGATATGTAAAAAAATCTGGTCATACAATGAATGTTTAAAAAAATCGTGATACCCTAAACTCATTACACATTTTTAATTTTGTGAAATGAAATGTAAAAAAATTTATGTTTTACGCTATAAAAGTAATTTTTCTTTGTTTTTCAATATTTTAAAAATTGTAAGGATAAATAATTATGCATTGATAATCGTTTTCAACATGGTAATTATTGATAATCGGATTTAATTCTCTTTTTAAGGTTTCTTAGATTTCCCTATTCAATTGAACCGCAAACAAGAAAATACGGGACTACCACCGCATTTGACGATGCCTCTTTTTTCATTCGCCATGGCTTGTCGAATAAAATCCAAAAAAGTTGAAACTTTTATGAAAAATCCTGGATCTTCAGGGGTCATATTTTGATTAGCTCTGCTAAGAACGCCAATAATAGCGTTTTCGTATACTAAGGGGCCACCGCTATCACCCTGTTAGCATAAACGTTACAAGTAATGATGCGTAATTGTAGGATTGGAAAAAATTTATATTGTAATTTAATACCGGACAAACACGTTGATGCATTGGACAAGGGAATACGTTTGCATTTCCCGCGACACACAAAATTTTATTTGATCTGCATACAATATTTCTTGGCGCATCAATGATTTTCACGTCAATAAAACGTCTCCAGGGATCAACTTTCGGAATGAGAACTTCTTTTCCATTTGCGTCTATTTCACGTTTGTAGCCATTCAAACCAAATCCAGTTACCCTAGCAAGACAATTTTTGTATGATTCCGTTCTGCCCGTCGGTAGATCGATCTTACTTAAGTCTTTTGAATTTCGTTTAATATTCAAAGAATTTTTTAACTGCATAAAAACTATATTAATGATTATTCAAGCATATTTAAGAATTTTAAGAGTGGATAAAAAATGGATACTTCGATCACAGCTATGTCGACATGTAGTTTTTTCGGATATGTACGATCTATTACAACGGAGTTTATAGATCGAACTATTCCCTCTGCATTCACATTACTCGTTCCGGCTTTTATCTGGTAATTGTCTAGATCAGCTTTGTAATCCTCTCGAACGAAACAATGAGCAGCTGTTAAAATATGAAAATTGCTTATGATAGCCCCACCACACACGTGGTAAAAATACCCATCCTCTTTACTTCTTTTCTGGATGGAAATTTGGTACTTATATTTGTTTTGATAGTCATACGTTCCTCCTTCTATTCGTAATTTTTTCGAGCTGACTGCAAAAAAATCACAAGTTTGCTAGTGAGAGCATTTAAGTAGTTAAACAATTTTTACCTTCATAGAAAAATAAAATAATGCTGAAAAAATGGACAATCTTGAAAGTTGCAATCATGATTCGTATTATGAAAGCAAAACTACCTCGTTCTGCTTCTTTTGAATGTTTATTTGTAGAAAGAAATGCAAGCATTTGAAGTATAAAATTTTTTTACAGCTTATAAAACTTGTTACGTGTTTGCTTTATTTAATACTTAGATAATGACCAATTTTTTAAAGTCATCTCATAATATTAATTCCAGCTAAATAAATTTAAAAAGTCGTCATATTTAATAAATTAATGGAGATGAGGTATTCCATGAAATTATTTACATGCTGGAAGAAAAAAATTTTTCTATCAAATGCCTAAGAGAACACATCGAATTAATTACCAAAAAAAATTCATGTGATGTATAACAATAAAAGTCGGAACTTCTTTTCAAAATATAAATATTCTTTTTACATAAGGTCTATTTCTTTGTGTAATATTTTGTTTTATTAAAAAAATAATTTTTCTAATGTTCATTACCTTTTTTCGTGTTTCTTTCTTTCCCGAAAAAATTGAGAAATATTTCAATTAAAGTGAACATTTTTAAAAATTTTAAACTTTTGATTTAGATTTTTCTTAAATTTGTAGATAAAAAAGTCAGAACAGAATTTTAAGATTCATTATGAGAAAAAGTTTTTTTGTACTTATATTTCTTTAATCGTCTACATATAAACCAATGTTTGTTAAATAATTATACATGAAATTGCCTGCAGTATTAAATACTTCGTACCATACGAATGCATAAACTCTCCGCTAAAAAATTACCTTATATGCAAAGGCATCTTGCATCATAACTGGTGTAATTTCACGAATTGAAAATAAAATATTTCTAAACTAAGTAACCGATAACAAACAAAAAGGCTTTTCCCCACTAGTCGATGCATAAAATGTGTTATTTACCGACTTGTAATGCAGGAATAAATCGGCATTTATTCCCATCTCAGGACAAATCAAACTATTGCACTCGATCTTCTGAGCTGCTTTAGTTTCTTGGGGTGTGCTATACAGTCGCCATGGAACAGCATAGAATTTGCACTTTTTTTGCGTCGCTTGGTGAATTGTTTCGGTGAATATTTCCAAAGCTCTATTGTGTTGACAAAGACCGTTTTTAGCAGCTACAATAAAAAAGTTTTAAATTGTTTTTATTTTTTTTTTTTTATTTTTGAAGATTCGATTTATAATGCAATATGAATTATATAATTACCGTGAGTCAATATTTGCATATAGTTTATATAAGATTTGAATTTTGGTTTTAGGTTTGCTGCACAGTTTGGTTGATTGAAACCCCCATTAACGTAAAAATCAACATGTCCTAAAATACGTTGAGATTATACCATAAAGTTTTAATTTGATAATTGTTATGATGAAACAAAAATTGCATCACTACCTATCGGTTCTATTAATCCAAGTCCATGATTTTTTTTCATTGCCCCATCGGTATGTATAACATCGACAAAAGCAGCATCAGTTTTAGTTAGTCTTAAATCCATGTCCTGATCCTCAAAACATGGTTCAGCTGGATCCAGAGCTGTGATTCGTTGAATTGTAAATTTTTCTTTTCTTTTCAATAATCTACCTATTTGACCAGCAACATGAGCACCCAAACTAAACCCCACTAAGTGCACCGGAGCCCAATCTTTTGGTTTTACGTTGTAAGCAATATCCCAATACTGAATAAGTTGTTTGAAAAGTCTATAAGCATGGAAGCGTTATAAATAGTTCTAAATATTACATTGACCTTGCATGAAAACTTACAATTTGATGCGTGAAGCCACGTATTCAGTATGCACTACAGACTCGTGATACGCAAAAATGTCAGAAACAGCTTTCTCCCACCCAACTAAAATAACGTTCCTATTTTTCTGGAAAAAAATTAATTTTGAATCAAAAATGTTGATTTTATAAGTGCACTTCAAAGAGATTATTTCATGAGATCGTTCCTTGATTGTCTCTCCTCAGATTCTTGCCCACTCACTTAACCCATTAACCCGTCTAATACCAAGAGACCCTATTTTCGACTTATTTTTCCACGTGTTATTTTTTCATGAAACCATAGTCAAATTAATGTAAACATTTTTCAAATCTAGTGTCAGATTTAAGATATATGCAACCGTTTTAAAAATTTTTTATAAAATTGCCATATACAATATTTTTCAAAATTATTCAAAAAATTCAGAAAAATTCACACGTGTTTTTTGATTCATTCTAAACACTTTTTGTTCTATAACATTTTCTTGTGAAGTCCATTCTTACCGAGTAAAAACATACCAAAGCTTTTTTTTACATTTTCGGCTACAATCAGCTATTTTGGTGGCTGCCATCTTGAATTTGGATGAACCAATGCTGCTAACTTTTAGTTTAGGCCTATATGCCACCAGATCCAGAGTTTCAAGCCGATCCAAATGCGTAATCGTGGTGAAAAAACCGACCATTTTGAGAAAAATGTTCAAAAACTACTTTTTTTTGTTTAAACAAATGTATTTTTCAAACGGTTGCATATATCGTACATCTGACGCCAGATTTGAAAAGGGCGATAAAAATCCCATAAAATATGGTATTTTCACATTGATTTGACTATGGTTTATTGAAAAAATAACGCGTGGAAAAATAAGTCGAAAATAGGGTCCCGGACTTAATGAGTTAAAAGAACACACAATACTCTTAAAAGAACGAGACCTGTCGAAGATTTACCTGTGAAAGAAGTTGATTTCTTAAGAGTCTATATTTTGCTTCTTGCGGATGGTTTAAGAAACCATGAATAACAACAGCAGTTGGTCGGCGTGGATCAAAATTTATCGTACTTGGATCATAATTCATCCAAAGACGAACTTCTTGATTTTTAACTTGCCTCGTAGAAAAATAAGCTGTTACTTCGAATGATTCGCGCTTAACTTCTTCCTTCGGCCAACATTTCAAACTTTTTGATAGTTTCACGCTTTCAGTAAGAGAAAATAAAAAAAGAAACAACACTGAAACTAAACTGAATCGTTTTTTTCTCATCACGAAATATTGATAGACTTGATTTCAATAATCAAGTTTTACTAGAGATCCAAAGTAAAGTAGAAACCGGTTACGTGTGCACGAAATTCATCAGCGCCACAAAACTGTATTCAAAAATAATTAAATTTTTTTTACAATTGAGTTCAACTCAGTGATTCATTAAACCATACAATTTAAAAACTTCCATTATTACTCGTAAAACAAATACAGTTGATTGGATAATTTTGATAGATAAGCTTCGAGCTGCGTGATTTAGATTTGCTTTCTCGTGTCTTTCATGGTTGAGCATGTGACGTTTTAATTTTTAACTAAATAAGAATATGATCAATTCTCTATAAAATCGAATGGCCAAGCATTTTGTCTTTTTTCTTCATGACATACCTGTCACCCGATTTTCATTTTATTTTCAAACCATCTATCACTCTTTATCAGAAACCAGAAGTCGACGTTTTTCTTAAATTCATGTTCATTTCCCTAAATCAACTTTAAGTGATTTTTGAAAAATGTGCTGAAACATCTTTTTACCGGAAATTGTAAGAATTTTTCGAAAAAACAATCACTGCATGTGGATCTGAGAATATTGGGAACCTGTTTCTATAGAGAGAAACATAAAAGTCAAAATCAAATCAAAATCGATCAAGACTTTTATTACAAAAAAATTCACAGAACTTTATGACGTGAACTAATACCTCCTACATTTTTAAAGACCGCTCTAATAGAACCCGAGAACATTAAAAAACTTGGAAAAAACATCGATAAAATTGCTATTTTTACTATTTTCCACCTACTCGTTTTTTCAATGAGAAAAACATTTTTTTGTCTAATCGATTTTATGGAGAATCGGTCATGTATAAAAAATAAAAATGGCAAAAATATTATCATTTGCTTTAATATTTTTTTATTGCCTTTACGTCAATCATTATGATTTCTCAAACGTAATGGTTTGAGTAACAGTCACGATTATGAAGCAGTGAATTTACAATTCATGTATTCCAGACGGTTTTTCATAGTTAACTTTTTTCATGGACTCCTGAATAAATCTCAAGAAATAGGAAACTCTAGTCAAAAAAGCTGGTTTTTCACGAAGGGTGGTCATTTTATCTGACTGCCCGATAATGCCTATGACTTTATGATCATATATCAATGGTCCACCACTGTCACCCTGAAATAGCGTTAAATTGATTTGAAAAGTTCGTGAAGAGCTCTTTTTATTTACTTACTTCAGCAATTTCTTGCACAACTTTGTTGTATTTATTAGCTCCGACGCAAATGTACTTAGGATTATTTTTATTACAGTCCACAACAGGTACATATATGTATTGGCGAATCCCAGCAAATTTCGGTATTTTTGATATATGATTATTTTCGTCGACGACTGTTTCATACTTAAAAATACCAAAACCAGATGCTACTGTTAATTTTCCATCGTAATTCTCTGTCTTAGTGTCTGGTAAAAGCGCTTTCGATATACTTTTATCTTGTTCAGAGTTCAATTTCTCTTCCAACTTAAACGTGGAAAATGATATAATTCATAAAAAGTACTCAGACATGAATACAAATAGATAGAATAAAAAGATTTTACCTGTATTACCGCCAAGTCATTATTCCAGGGTTGATAGCTGAATCTTTTCTTAATGAATATATTTTTAATGACATAACGTTTGCCTCTTCCATCTAATCTATTCGATCCAACATAAACTACAATATTTCTAAGTTTACGTTTAGTTCCATCTCGCAATATGATACAATGAGCTGCCGTTAATATATGATGATCACTTATGATTACACCACCACATCGAGATCTAAATTTTGAGTCCTTATTTCTTCGTATTAATAACGCTACTTGATATGAATGGGCATTTGTATTATCTGATTCACCACCAACTATTGCATCAACTAAAAATTCAAATTTGATACTGCTTTGATTGTTTATTTCATACACTGAAAATCCAAAAGTATAAAATTTGCTGTGATATAGTACAACTTGCGCAGTTTATAATATTGAAAAGTGTTTCAAGCACAGAATCGCCCCAGCGCAGGAAGGTATCTATTTCAAATCTGTAGCAAGAAGGATACTTACTCGCGCGCAGAAGTAAAAAGGTATCTTATTCAAACGAAGGTGGCAAGAAAGTTTTGATGCGCTGAATTTAGGTTGGCAATGCAGCCGTAAATGATAAAATTTTGTTTCAACATTAAACATTTAACATTTAATTCAAAGTTATGTACAGCCGATAACTCCTACTTTCCTCTCAAAACATACAAACTTCTCCATATGTGGCAAATTGTGTCAAAATCGCAGTGAGATTGATTTGTTTGCTCGCATTACAAATGGATGAAAATCATTACACTAGCTCCCTTGTTTTTTCTCTTTTTTGCTTCAATACAAAAAAAAATTTCATTATTTACGGCGTCGTTACCAACCTAAATTCAGCGAGCAAAAACTTTCTTGCCACTACGTTTGAATAAATAAGCTACCTTGTTGCTTCTACGTTTGAGTTAGATACCTTTTTGCTTCTGCGCGCGAGTAAGTATCCTTCTTGCTACAGATTTGAAATAGATACCTTCCTGCGCTGGGGCGATTCTGTGCTTGAAACACTTTTCAATATTATAAACTGCGCAAGTTGTACTATATCACAGCAAATTTTATACTTTTGGGTTTTCAGTCTATAATATGTTTTAATAACTCTACCTTTATAATTTAGTAAAATGAAATAAAAAATCTGTGCAATAAAAATAACTAATGATAAATTCATGTTGTAAAGTACTGGTATTGTAAAAATACTTTCTTCAGAACCAGTTCAACAATATTCAAAGACCGAAGCTTTCAAATTAAACAAGGTATCTTTCGGCACTTTTCATTAATTTGAAAATGCACATAATTCAAAAACTCTCAATTTTTGAAATATTTTAACTAATTTAAAAAAATATCGATCTTGTCATTCTTGTATTAAGTTATTTATAACATCGTGACTTCTCCATTGAAAGACGTCATTTGAAAGCAAAATGTAGTAAAATATAAAGAGAAAATAATTTTATTGTTTAAAATATATGCTACAATATACTTCTTAACCATTCTGAGTACACAATAAGTTTGATTTTTAGCTGTTATTATTCTGATATATTTTCTAAGGTTCATCTCAAATAAAAAATGTACAAATAGAAATATCACGTTTTGATGTTCAATGTTGATTTATCTTAAATTATATTTATTTTGAGAGAGCTCAATAAAATTTATTTTTCTCTCAGCGATTTTGCTTAGCTTGAAAAATTCGGATTGTATATTCATATAAATTTCAACTTTTTGAATAAAAGTAGGTACGATCGAAAGAACAAAAGGATAGTTTAAATTTCAATCAAAACCTTGACGACTTTGGTAACTAAATAGACCACCTTAAAAGACCCTCCAATGTTGCTCTGTATAATATAAATACCTCCTTGAAATCGGACAGAAACACCTCTCAATAGCGAGAACGGAACTGTTAACGGACACTTTTTTCGTAGATTTTAATCATTTTCATGGACACTGGTTGATCAGATATAGAGAAAAATACTCAAAAATTTTGAAAAATAATCAAAAGTGTAAAAGTATCAATTTTATATGTTATTGATCATTAGCACTTATTTGTAATGATAGCCATAAAGCGATCGGAGATGTTCAATCAATAACAACAGGCTAATAACAATCAGCCTGTCGAAGATTGGTAGAAGATTGGTCGAAGGTGATTTTTGCAATTCGCCGATCCGATCTGGGTTTGATAATTTCTGATTATCGTGGCTGGACCAATGGTAGAAATTATTTATAATACGTTTTATTTTTTATTAAAAATAATATCTTTTTTCATTTTAGTCGCCGTTGAACCGTCCGCCATTAAAGTTCTAATTGAAACATTTATACAGCATTATTAAGAATTCTTTAGAAATTCATTCAAAGTTTCATTTGATCAAATTGTCTATATTTACTGAGAAAAGAAATGAATGTTGGGGGACGATAATTTTGAAAAAAAAACAAGAGATTAACATTTTTTAAGTCAAATTTTTCTATTTTTCTCATTGAAAATAAAAAATGTTGATACACCTAAGTTTAATATCAGTATAAATGTATTTTGATACTTTTTTACGCTAGTTTAAATTGATAATTGTCTTGTAATGCCCTAAAAGATTACATGTAATTCGTTCCAAATGTACATTTTTCTAAAATCAAAGAAATAGAATAAATCGTCCTTAGGTTTTGTAATTCTTGGTGTATTTTCTTTCGTTATATTGTTATTTAATAATTAAAACAATGTATGCCACTTGAAAAAACATTTCAGTCGTAAAATAGTTCTCTTTCAACCAACTCAATAAGATTCATTTCTTTTGTTATTTATCTTGGCTCATAAAATTTGAACTAATAATTTTTATAAAAATCGAATACCGACGTAATGTGAGTAACGAGTACTCATTGCCTCTTTAATGAAATTCAAAAAGTAAGAAACTCGCGTCATAAATGCAGGTCTGACTGAAAGTTTGGCTTTTTTATCGGACACGCCGACTACTCCGACGACGGCATTGCCCACAACGAGAGGCCCGCCGCTATCACCCTGTAATAATGTCGAACGATCGATTAAGGAAGCAAAAATAAATGTAAAACAGTTCTGAGCCTTACATCTGCTATATGTTGTCTCGTGTTCATGTTTTCATCCATTGATCCAACGCATATAAATTTTGGATTCCGTTTTTTGCAGTCAACAACCTTGACGTTAATTACATGCCTGATAATCGGGAAAACCGGACGCTCGATAACCATTCCTGTAGCCTCATCTTGATGCTGCTGATATTTGTAAACTCCAAAACCCGCGACGTAACCTGTCTCGTTTTCTAGCAAAAGTTCAGTTGGTTCAGGCAGTGCCATTTTCTCGAGAAACAAATCGTTGTCGACGCTCAGCGATTCCTCCAACTGCGTGAGTTTCATTCAAGTTCAGTAAAACTTTGCACGTTATGAAAGAAAGTTAGTTTGTCTGTACCGTAATGACTGCTATATCATTATTCCAGGGATCGTAACTGAACCTCTTTTTAATAATAATGTACCGAATAGACACATAACGACCAGGAGTATCCAATCGATTAGAGCCAACAAAAACGCGCATGTCGGAGATTCGGCGGAGCTGACTTTCGCGCGAAACAAAGCAATGAGCCGCGGTCAGGATGTGATAATCACCGATTATTGTACCGCTGCAGCGATGTTTGAAAACACTTGTGGCATCTCTCCTTCTTTGAATGGAAACCGAGTATTTGTGAATGTTGTACTCGTCGGCGAATCCACCGACTACTCTCATTTGCCGGTTTTTTCCCAATCCGGATTCAATAAAATCTTTTGATCTTTTTGCCTCTTGTCGAGTTAACAGCTGTTTTAAACTCAAATGCTTAGGAATTTTCAGCCCTGCGAGTATTATTTACTTATTATGAAAATAATATTAATGTAAAATATTTCCATGTGAATATTTTATGAAAATTGGCTTACTTTGACAATTGATAAAAACATTCTCTGCAAATAACGATAAAATAACAAAAAGGCATATTTTAAAAAACATGATGGTTTGACACAATTGTAAATTGAACAGTAATGAGAAAACGATTTTTAGCGCACTTGCAAAATTTGAAGTATTCGAGATTAAGAAAATTAAAATTTCTTTAAATATTCAGCAAAGCCATTCCATTACTAAGAACGTGACAATAAATTTATGTGCAAATGTGTAATTAATGTCTTTCAGTGACAATACGTATACCTTCATTATGACGTCAAATATGCACTAAAAAAAATATCCTAATATAATTAAAATCAAATAACACCAAAGTAAAAAATAGTATTTTTTAGCTGAGAGATTTATAATTTGTTTAAAGTAAATTACAACATTTCCGGTGGGTGGATAAGATCAAGGGCCCGTGAGCAATTCTTATAGTAACAACCCGAATCAGTGACGGCCGCAGCAAGAACCAGATGATCTCATCTTTGGGGATGATGCTCGTTTAATAGTAGGAGGAAAAGAGCAGCCGTCAGTTGGCATTTTGGACATGCAGCAGGCATCGACGCAGCCACGATCATTCACGCATACCCCTGGACATGGACCACGAGGACAGCCCAAAGGTGGACACCTAACGTTGCAAACTTCCGGTTCCATTTGCCTGTGAGATGTCGAAACAGTCTGTATATGCAGCTTAAAAGTAGACTTTTCTTGTGAACTTAATTTTGAGCTCAAGCTAATCGATACTATGTATAAGCAAGTGCAAAATCGAAAAATTAAAGATGATTTTCAATGAACTCACACCGACCGCAACCTGCACATCAGCTCCTTAAGCTCAGTCATGTAATTGCGATGTTTTTCTTGATTTTTATGACTCATTTTGTTTATTTTTTGGTTATTTTTAAGTTTTAATGCTTATAAAACGTTTATCATGAGATTATTGCAAGAACTTGGAATTTAAAGTCGTTTGGTTAATTTATAGTCGGTAAGTCCAGAAGTGAATGTCTGTGAAGTTGAAAGCGCATTTCGCTTTATGAACGAAAACAAATTCCTATCGATGCATATAACTTTATTCTTTTAATTTTGAATGGATAAACAATGGTGCGATACTGAACATGCAATTTTTGAAAAATAAGTTTACACAATTTTAATGAGTACAAAAATGTTAAGTTTTCTTAGAACGTCTTATTATAGTACTTTATGCAATTTACATATTTATGACATAACTTGCAATGTATTATTGAACTGAAAAAAAAAAATTTTTTTTTAGTAATTAAAGTCGAACGATTCTAATTTTTCGCGCGCCGCACATTTCTGTTTTGTTTTCGATACATCGATATTCGATACTCGTTTGCGAGACTTTTAGCCAAATATAATCAATTGAATGAAGCGTTGACGTAACGAAATCATTTAGTTAGCGGCCGGCACAACACAATATTTACTTGTTGTACAATACTAGTACAACTCAAAAACATAGAATATAGCCACACGCGACCGGCGAGGTCAAAGAGATCTGCGGTTGAACATCTTGCTATTCAGAATTTTCTAGCAAACTCTTCGAGCCTGAACTTTTGTGCCTCGTATTGGTCTATATATATTAATAATTTAGTTACCGTACTGACGTGCCGAGAGACGCATCTTTACGTAGCTAGTTACCCTTCACGAGAGAAGCTTAGGGAAATTTCTGGAATAACGCTTACTAACTTTCAATAATCAAAGTGAGTTTTTGAATTGTTTCTTCACGATTGAAGAGCACTTTTGAGTTTATACAATACATGTATTTTTTTTATATAGAAAATTATATGTACATTTGTTCAAATATAAAATTACTTACATGTAATTTACAAATAATTTTTCGTCTTTCACAATATAATTGTAAAATAAATTCAAAAATACTTTGATTATCAGCAATCAGATCAGAGAACACTTTTTTCTCATGTTAGTAAAGTTTTAAAATGTAAAACAATTTTAATTTTTCATTTGCTCTGAGAAAATAAGAATATAGTTGTTTTTAAATTTCATTTTTGCTTACTTCATATGATATTTTTAATTTATAATAATGATTTGAATCAATGCCAATTTATATTATAGCAAAATGGCAGTAGATATTACTCCATCCAAAGATGGAGGAGTACTTAAGGAGATTTTGAGAGAAGGAACTTCAGATAAAACTCCACAAGTTGGTGCTCATGTCATTGTTCATTATGTCGGAACACTTTTGGATGGGACAAAGTTTGATTCAAGTCGAGATCGGAATGAAAAATTTCAGTTTGATTTAGGGCTAGGACAAGTCATTAAAGGCTGGGATATTGGTATTGCTTCCATGAAAAAAGGTGAATTAGCTGTTTTAACTTGTGCTCCTAATTATGCATATGGTGCTTCAGGAAGTCCACCAAAAATACCCCCTAATTCAACTTTAAAATTTGAGGTCAGTGAATTTTAAAACTTGAATTTATGAAAATTATTGACAATGAATATTGTATTTTTAAAGGTTGAGTTGTTTGACTGGATTGGTGAAGATCTAAGTCCTGATAAGAGTAATGGCATTACAAGAGAACAAATTACAGCTGGTACAGGATATGCAAATCCAAAAGAGGATGGATTAGTTGATGGTATTTATGATAATTTAAATTAAAACTAACATTAGACAAAAAAATTAAATTATATCAAAATAATTTTTTTATAGTTCATTTGACTGGACTCTACAATGGTCAGCAGTTTGAAGATAGAGATGTAAAATTCACATTAGGCGAAGGTGAATCAGAAGGTGTGATACGTGGTGTGGAAATAGCTCTTGAAAAATTTAAAAAGGGAGAAAAATCCAAAGTTTTCATCAAGAGTAAATATGCTTTTGGTACCAGTGGCAAACCTGAATTCAATATTCCACCAAATGCTGATGTAGAATATATTGTTGAACTCAAGAATTTTGAAAAAGCACTAGAATTGTGGTCAATGGAAGGGCCACAAAAAGTTGAACAAGCTCTTCTATTCAAAGACAAGGGTACTACATATTTCAAAAATCAGAAATATGAACTAGCTATCAGAATGTACAAAAAAGTTGTAGAATGTGTAAATGAGGATATCGATTTTAAAGAAGATGAACTTGCCATAAAACGAGTAAATCTTTTGCTTTCTGCCAATTTAAATCTTGCTTTGTGTTTTTTGAAAGTAAAATCACCTTTGGAAGCAAAAGAAGCCAGTGAGAAAGCTATTGAATTAGATCCCCGCAATGAAAAAGCTTTGTTTAGAAAAGGTCAAGCACTTATGGATCTAATTGATTATGAAGAAGCTGTAAAGATTTTTCAAAAAGTTCTTGAAATTGAACCAAAAAATACTGTTGCTATGAAAAATATTCAAATCTGTCAGGAGAAAATCAAGAATAATTTAGCTAGAGAGAAGAAACTATATGCCAATATGTTTGAGAAATTTGCTAAACAAGACCAACAGGTTGGTAGATAAGCTATCTAAAAAATGGATGTGTAGACAAGGTCAAATGAAAATTTCATATTTAAAAGCAGGAGATTATCAGCCTAATACAGTTTTAACTATATAAAAACATTTTATTTACATTGTAGAATCTGTATTACTCAACTTTTATTCTCTATTAAACTCATAATTAATTGCTATGGAAAATTATTATTATAAATTACACAAAAATAGAAAAAAATATTTGTTATACAATTTAATTTGTTGAAACTCTAAATACTTTTTTAATCGTTATCATGAAAAGAATAAGTCAGACTTTATATTTCCATGGATTTGTTAAACTTTAATACTAAAAATTTCATTCTGTGGATAATTGATGTCTCAGTACTGTAAATAATAAATCATATGAAAATGATTGAAATAAAAAATTTTGTTCATACTTTCATTTTTATCTATTTCTATCTCATTTCAAGTTCTCTCTAAATTTTCCTTAGAATCATTTCTGATATAAATATAAGTTATGAATATTTTAAAAATTATCAAGTGATTGTTGGCAGAGACTCGAAGAAGAAGAAAGAAAGAAGCCTAATATTATGCATGGAACTTTGGGGGAATGGGGTCAAGAAGAGCGCCCGGGTGGACGAGATGCAACCGCATTTGAAAAAGAAAATCCGAACATACTCATGCTCAATGCTAATGGTAGTGGAGAGTTCAAAAACATGTAATTTACCTATGTATTCAATGCAAAATGCCTGTGTACTAAAAATTTGTAGTTTTGTTCAAAACAACCACTCTGCCAAGTTGAATAGTCAGATATAATTGTTGTCTTAAACATGTGTAACTACTTTAACATTCGAAATTTGAATGAAGAAATTCTTATTTTTTTTTAAATAAAGTTCTGAACTTACATAAAAATAATATTTTACCTATGACTTAATCTTAAACTGTGATGGAATAAAATTTTTATTCATTGGATTTGGAATAAAACCATTTAACTAATTATTAGTTTCGTTGTTTCCATTTCCATAAATTAAATTTTCCATAGTTTTTGTATCACTTACTCACATGAATCATTCAAAATAAAATGAGAATTGGCAAGACTGCTTTTCTAAAGCCGCTGCTGCTTATGTTATAGTTGTTCCTTATCACTCTTACTATCTTTTCGATAATTTATGAAAAACTGCACTGGGTTTTAAAATTTTCAGTAAAAAAAGTAGAAAAAATGTAAAGATATTAAATTAATAATGCTTTCATGTAGGTTGCATTTCGATTGTAGCCGTTAAAATTCATTCAGCTGCTTAAAGGTGGTACTATATTTGAATTTTATCAAAGATGGTTGCTTGACATTTCAGACCATAACACAACAAACGGAGCGCTCCGTTTGTGAACATTTTCAATTGAATGGATACTTTTCATTCCTTTTATTCATTGTTTCTAGTTGTAACAAATTGATATTAAGATTATAATTTGTTACTATTAATTTCAGTTTTTATCCAGTGATATTGTTTATAATTTCTTTATAAAACGCTTCTGCTTCGAAAATATATAAGTTAACAAGTTCATTTTACAAGTTTTATTGTAAAATGTTTTGAGAAAAAAGTTAAAGGTTTCCATGAAAAGAGACTTTTGTGTAAAATGCAATGATTTGTGTTTAGCACTTGATTTATTTGATAAAGGATGAAGGTTATATATAGTTATTTGAAATGCATTTATTATAATAGTACTATTATACACATGGTACATGATTGTTAAATTACTTAATTACAAATTAGAAAAATTTTAATAATTCAATCAATTAGATAAATAAAATATATAAAAATGAGTTCCATCAATGATAAATACAGTATTGCAGGGCGATACCGTACTGTTAGAAAACATTTAGATACTCTTGGATATAAACAAGCTCTGTCGTTAGATTCACTTCCTTTGATAGAGCTTCTTCTAGTTGATCTTGCTGAAACTAGAGAAACTATGAAACATTATCAAGCAATAGCTCAAAATAAAATAGATGTAAGTAATATAATCTAAAATATCCAATTTGTCTCAGAAAAAAACATTCATTAATCCTCAATCTTAGATTATATTTTTTTTCATTATTGTCTTTATTCATTTATTTAATTTAACCTTATTTCATTATTAATATTTATTTATTTATGTTTTTAAATGACTAGGCATGCGGTGATATTCATTCGGAGATAGACCCTTATAAGTGTAACAATTCAAAATTAGTACAAGAATGCAATCAACTCCATTTAGAGTTGATAGAAGCAAAAGAAGAAAATCAAAAGCTTTCTAATGATTTCAAAAAGAAAATCAGACGATTAGAATGTGAATTAAGTGATTTGCAGGCATCATTTGTAAAAAATCTGCAGAGAATAAAACAGTTAGAAACTGAATCTGCAGAGAAAAGTAAAAAAATTTTAGAACTTACTGGAAAATGTTGCAAACCGAGTGTTAGTAATGCTAATTTAGGTAAGAAATCAAAACTTGACATTTGAACTTATATTTCAGAAAATTAAGCCGTAATTTCAAATTAATATGAATTTGCAAATTATTTTACAGCTGATAGAAAAAAATCAGCTTATCCATTGAGACGGCCAGTTTTACATGCAGATCCTCTTCCACCATCGCCTAAAAAAAGCATCAATTCTTCATGCACCACATTTACTTCAAATAAAGTTGAACCTTACATGGTAGATTTTGTAAGTATGGCTGATAGAAGAATTAATGATATGACAAAACAGGTATCAGATTTGAAGGAAGAGCTATATGATAACTCTGAAATTATTGAATCTTTGAAATCCAAGGTAATAATTTATTTGTTCACTTTATCTAGTTAAGCAGAGAAAATATGACATATGAATGTTCAAAAGTATAGATATAATTTTAAGTATAGATTAGATTCTATTTTTTTAGCATTCTTCTAAGTAACATTGATTTATGAAATTAAAATTAAATCCTATAAATGTTTTTTTAGTTATCTTGTAAAGAAAAAGAAATAACCCGTTTGAGAAAAGTACTTGAAGAAGGTAGACCCTACACGTCAGACAGTAAAAAAGATCATTGCTACTTGGAAAGTGAAAAATCTAGTCGGTACAATAAAGAGCAGCTACTGTCAGAAAAAATGCATTTGGAACATCAACTTAAAGAATCTCTAGAAAAACAGCATGAAGCTATGACTAAAGCACTTAAAATGGCCAAAAGAAACGAAGAGTTGGAAAATCAACTAAGATGTGCAGATCGTATGGCTTTGAATGCTGAAGCTGATTGTAACTCGACTGTAAAAGAAAATAATAAAAGAGTTTGTAAACTACAGGTTTGAATCAATTAACATTTTTTTTCTCACTCATAATTAATAACATACTAACATCTCCCATACTTTTTAGAAAAAGTTAGAAGACCTAATGACTCAGGTACATACTTTAAAAAGTGAATTGACCATTCAGAGTCGTGAAGCTCAAGAACTGAGAGCGGATCTAGAAGCTTGTCGATTAGAAAAAACCAATGTTCAAAGAATCTTAGAAAACACTTTGGAAGAAAAGAAGCAGATGACGGATAAATTTAACCAGTTAACTATGACAGGTATTATTGGATTTTCAAAAATAATTTTTTATATTTATCTTTCACACAATTGATTTAAAAAATGTAAATATGCAAATGTGCAATGAAAAATATGTAAGACGAAAATAACTATTACGTGATTTATAAATAAAAAGAAAACAATCCTCAATTTTGAAATTCAGGTAAAAATTATCCGGTTAATACAAAATCTGCATCTAAAATTAAAACCTGTGCATCAAAAAAAAAAGAAGAGAAAGCTGAAGCAAATTCAAAAAAACAAATGAATAAAAAGTCAAGTTGTGGTACCTAAAGACCATTTGTATTACGTTATCATATTAATGACCAAAATAAATTTTCTTTCTTTATAGCTGATAGACTGTCATCTGGATCAAGATGCTACAAAGAAGTAAATCAAAACAATATGCCAAGAGAATGCATGTGTCGGAGGGAAACTGAAGATGGATCTAACGATAAGCTTATTCATGAAAAAAATATTATAATTGATTCGGTGAGCTAATTAATGTTAATTAATATGTTCTTACGATTTTTGGAAATGTTTTATAAATTAAAGTATTTTATATTTAGTTGCAAACTACAATAGAAAAGGTAGAATCGGAACGTGATCATTATAAATGCGAATATTTCAAATTTAAAGAATTATTTAAAAAGGACGCGGATAAAGATGACGTGAGTTTTTACTGCCTGAATGATATATGGATCAAAATTTATTTTATTTGTAAATTTTATTAATATTGATTATTAATTCAAACGGAAAAGAACGATTTGTGGTCTCAGGTTTGTGAACTGCGGGCACAAGTAAGCGAGAAAGAACACACAATATCCAAATTAACGCGAGAGAAACGAGAATTAGTAAACGAGAAGTTTGGCCTTAAAAGCAAGATTCATACATTAGAAAATCAGCAAAATCGAAATATATCGCCTACCAGAACATGTTTCTGCGATTCTATAGCTCATGGAGAAAAGCTGAGTACTAGTTCAAACAGTAAAGTTAGTGAATTGTTAAAAATTGTTCAAACTTTCCCACATAGATATTGTAAATTAGTTTTTCAATTTTTCAGTTAGAAAGAGTTGAACGGGAAAGAGATATCGCAAAAGCTGACGTTGAAAGGCTAATACAAGAACGAGATTCTTTGCGTGAAAGATTGCAGGTGATATTACGTGACGTTTCTTGAAGAATTTTAGTAACATTTTGGAGTAATATAGTTATCAATCGTTAATTGCTTCGTGAATTTTTTTATAATTATTAACAAATTTATATCAAGTATTAGTTATTAAAATTCCAACTAAATATTAATTGTAAAAATGTGCCTGACTAATTTTATTTTAGTTAATGTTTGGTGTAACTTATTATTGTTCAATCAAGTAAAAATTAGAATAGTACTTTAACATTCACTCAAAAATGTCTAAACCATGTTAATGATTTTCTTTGTTTCGGAAAAATGATCTTACCTGTGCCATACCTACGTGTGATTCTGCAATGCTACTAATTTTTACATGTCTTCAACCATCTGTCTATCATTCAATCATTGGGAAACTTCTGACCATGCATGCGACCTATGAAATTATGATACAAAAATAAACGATCTCCGTTGCAGATAGCAAGCGCATCTCAGATGTCGGAAATACGTCGAATGTGCACAAAATTAACCGACACTGAGACTAGACTTGAAAATTGCGAGCGCGAAAGACGTGAACTTTTGATTGCTCAGGGTGGAAGAAAGGCCGCACTTCAAGGGATGGATGAAAAATTCGACGATTTAAAAGAGGAATTAAAAAGAACCAAACAAGAGCTAACTGAACAGCGAACGCAATATTTCCAATTAAGGTAAAAAGTAGTAAAAAAAATTGTTTTAACGGTTTCTGAAGTTCCAACTTAACGTCTGGACAATTACAAAATAAAGATGTCGAAAAAAAAGTATTCATAGAAAATCTCGAAAAACGGTGTTTGAAAATGTGCATATTTACTTTGATTTATGTATCTTCTTATTGTCTGATGATCATCCAAACTTTTTAGAACTCTGCAAGACCAAACGGATCAAGCTTTGAGTGACATTCAGGGTCAGCTGGCACAAACCGAGGGTGAACTCAGTACTGCAATAGAACGTTGTAAAAGTTTTGAACGGCAACATCAGCAGCGCGACAATAAAATGAAAGAATTGCAACAAGAAATATCGACGCACAGATCACGTATGGCACAAATCGATCGCGATAAAGATCAACTTTTGGTAAGTAATTAATTTGGTTGCTCTATTTAATTTAAAAAATAATGCAATATAATCGTATTGCAATTCAGATGGAGCTGGATGAAAAGACGGAGAAAATAGCTGCTCTGGAAAGAGAAATAGTTTTTAAAGAAACACAGGTCAACAGTTTAGAACAGCAGATCCGAGATGTTTCACACAACAAACAGTAAGCTAACATTTATTTTATTTAACTTATACTTGTGACGTTGATTATCAAATCGCAACATTTTCCGTTTGAATTTATTAGTAACTTGAAGAACTCTGAGTAAAATTGTTTAATAGTTGTTTATTTACATTGGCGTAAAAAACCTCGATGTAAACATATTTTACACTTACATTTTCTCTATCAATTCTCATAAATACAAAGTTAACACTAATTTATAAATAAGTATTTACAATTTCATAAATAGATGAAATTAAATATTTAAATATTATCACACTGTAACTTTAAACATGCATCTTATTATCACTTATTTTTCGTAAAAATGATAAACATATGCATATGTTAGATGTACATGGAAGTTCCTATTGAGGGAAAATTCGTGCACAACATTTTTGATTCTTGTATATGAAAATGACAATTTTTCAGGGGAAAACTAGGGTTGTTTGGAGTTTCGTTTACCAATTTTTGAATTTCGTATAGGAATTTTCCCTGAATAGTCAGACTCATTATATTAACAAAAACAAACTTATTCACTGTTATAAGTATTTGAAGGCGAAGTATTTGAACCTTACACAAATAAGCTAAATGACGAAATGAGTACATTTAGTAGCATAAGTACATTTTGAACGTTCCTAAGTAAATTATAAGTGTCACAATCTGCAAACATTTATAACTTAGTATTGTATAAATAGAATGGCGTCAGTATTTTTCAAAGAGTGCAATTTAGCACGAGCTAAATTCATGTGTTCAAGACTCGGAACTTGTCAATTGTTTTATATTTACACTTAATCCAAAAGGATATATCACAGCTTTTAGTTTGGAGCACTAGAGCTTAATGTGAAATTGTTCGTTGAGAAATCTCGCAATACCGACGCTCGGGGCTTGACACTTGCCGACCGTCAAGAGGTTATTGCTCTCGATCTCGTTGGTTCTCGTGTAACCGGGTTTGCACTCGCACCTAGCTTTAGGCCCGTTACCGACGAGCTCTTGGCCAGACCAGTCAGTCTTGGCTCGTCTTCGAGAAATCAGCCACTCGCCGTCGCCGCAAGGTCCTCGAGTATAGAGCTTGTGGCAGACCTTGTCGATGAGCACCATGCCCGGTGTCTCGTCGCATTTACCCTCGAGCTGGCTCAGGCCTTCCTGGCACTTGCCGGCGTTCTTCATTGCACTGGTGCAGCCGCACACTCCGTTGTAGCTTATACCGTCGATCGACGGCCTGGCGCTGTAATCGTAGAGGACGACCTGGCCGTTGGGGCAGGGTCCGCGCGAGCCGATCTTGTAGCAGGTGCCCTCGAGCGGAAAGTAAAGCCGGCCGCGCTTGCACGGGATCGGCACGCAGCTGGTCGAGTTGAGCAGCATGGAGCCGGCTGGGCACGGGCCCTGCGTGTACGTTCGATAGCAGAGTCCGTCCTCGTACGGCACGTTGTCGGCTTTGCACTGGCAGCTGGCGTGGATCACCTTTTTATGAGTGCTTTTTGTCCCGTTGCTGCTCTTTATCGCTGTAAAGCGATGACCTGCCGAGCAAGGACCTTGTCCGCCTGCAATTCAGGTCAACTTATGTAAAGCCCAACGAACAAGATAATCTATCGATTTTCGTGATTTTATCTTACCGAGCTCGTAGCACATATTGGTCGGCTTGTGGTACTGCGTCATCTTTTCGTTGCATCCGCATTTACCTCCGGGCAGAAACAATTCCCCGGGCTCCTGGCAAGGTCCTCTCGTGTAGAACTCGTAACAACCGCCGCTGAGAACGGAGTAGTACTTTCCCATTTCACCGTCTCGCGAGCACGAACAGGCGCCCAGTCCATCCTTGTCTACGCTCATCAGCTCACCCTTGGCGCACGGTCCGCGTGAAAATTTCCGATAACACTGGCTGTCGCGCGGATAGAATACATCACCTGTATTGCTGCAAGTCTCAGGATCGCGACACGTACCCCAGCGTTTTTTGGAGCTGCTGAAGCATACCAATACATGTAGCACACAACAATATAAGGAAATTTTCATTAATGAAGATGAGATTGAATGATATCGTCTCGTTTTGGCAGCTTTATAAACGCTTATTTTGTTTATTGTCGAACAATCCGAGGTATCGTTTGGAAACAAAATTGTACGTGTAGATCAAAATGTGCAATCATCTTTGTCTCGCGTAATCGACATAATCCAATCTTAGCATTGTTTCATTGCTTAACTCGTGTTGGAAATTTCGTATTTAGTTTGTCGTATGTGGTCCACCGCGTTTTTTTGGAAATCAGCTTTTTTCGAGATGCTTATTTCATTGGCAAAAAAAGGATAATTCTTTGGTGAACTATTTCCAGGTGGAAAACGAGGCTGAAAATCGTGCTTACTTGCGTATATATAACTCAATACTTGAGATAATTGAAATTGTGCAAGAGCGATGAATTTTTGACCTACTTCGTTCTTGTGATGTTCATGACATTATGCAAGCCGTAAAATAAGGAATTAAGAAGTTTCAAGTATGTTCGCTCAGAAGAAATATAATTTCACGCGTGCAGCACATGCAAAAATTTTACTCTTACTTTTTATTTACGTAAACACGAGCGCGTGCACGCAAAGCGATGTAAATTTTTTCGGATGTAATTCAATGATATTATCGGTGTTGTTGTTGTTGTTGTTGTTGTTGTTGTTGTTGTTGTTGTTGCAAAGACTCAATAACGAGCCACTCGAAAAAAAAAATTAATTAGATCCAGTTGTCGACATAAAAATCAGCAAATATCGAAAACGTATGGTTTGTAAACGTTCTAACGTGCTCATTTTTCTAAGTATGCTAATTATTCAAACTTGCAAGAAAATCCAACAGGTAACGAAGGTGCTTAGATCTTTGTTAAAGCGTCAATAATAACACGTTTGCATATAAAACAGCAGCGAGAAACTTGGGGCAGTTTTTACGCTTCAACACTTCTGCTTCGAGTTTTGCACATGTGATTTTTGCGCGCTCGTTCAACGAATTTTTAGTTTCGCAAAGTCCGCTCATTGAATGCAAAGTAGTCGCTTCAGCGCGAACAATACGTCCTTGTCCTTTACTGCGCTTATCTTTCAATAAACTGGTTTAGCCAATCTGTTTACGTATAAATTTATACATGACAATAGTTGTTTCTCAGTTTGGAGTGATTTGGGGCAACCTCTCTTGCCACTTTACGACGTAAAAGCGAAATTTCCGGATTCGAAATCGATACACGGTACGCACTGTATACAAACCTCTGCTTGGCGCTTGGCTCCGGTATGGGGGCGAAAAACTGGCCCTTCGAGCAGGAAGCCCGCGTGAAGATCCGATGACAGAGAGCATCTCGCGGTGATTGGGCCGTGCCCGGCGGGCAGCGACACTCGGCCTTCATCATTCCGCCGCTGCCCACGGCCGAGGGGCTCAGCTCCATCGTTTCCGGGCACGGGGCGCCAATCTGGAAGATTCTGTAACATTTGCCGTCGGCTGGCCAGTACAGCAGCTGCCAACCCCGGGGTTGCGAGGCGCACGGATTGTTAGCTGGATCCGCCCAAGGTGGTGGCACGATTGCCCCCTCGATCAGTGCCAATGACATCAATAGTAACAGCACCGAGGACGGACTAATTTCGGCTGCGGTGGCAAGCTTACACCGCCAAGTTCTGTGGAAAAAAAAGTAAACTCATTTTCTTTCTCTCTCTCTCGCTCTCGCTCGATCATTTAGAATTGATTTCTTTCAATTTATAACGCTTTGTTTACGCTCATATAGGGAAAGAAAATCAAGAATTTTCTCTTCGGCCGATCACCTATTTGCTCATATTACTTTTCATATTTCATATAAGAGAGTTTTCAAGATTCTGCGGAACAAAGAGGAGGCGATTGATAGCGTTCAAACAGCAGGAAATGCAATTATATACAGAATTTTCAATGGACATTTAATTCAAGTACCATATTGACCATGCTTTATGTATAATATATGGCATTATGTATTGTCTATAAGGTAGTCAAAATATAAATTAATGCTCAAATGCGAGCATAAAAAAAGGTTCAACTCAAAATATATAAACAAGCTTGACAAATAAAAGAACGTCAAGTTGTTCAGAGCAATTATATCGTTTAAGGGGGGAAAGGTACCTTAAACCTACATTTATGAAAAATTTATTAATTATGAAGAAAAAAATTTTTTTTGGAATATACAGAGAAAACTCTGTTTTCTTCACTCTTTTTTCAAAGTTTTTCTCTCTGGAATATGAAAATTGAGGTCCCAGTCACCATAGAACCCTCCTCGATGAAGCAAGCCCACAGTCCTGACAGGTACCCCTGTGCCGTAGGATCCAGCTAGAACCGATGGTTCAATCATGGTCCTTGGGGTCTCATTTTGATCAGTAGATGTGTGGTTACAAACGCAAGCACTTTCAGATTTTTTAATTAGTTATACACAATTTGCCAGCCACATATGCACATTTATTCATTAATACTATATAATAAAATACAATTATGCTAGGGATGTAGCCTGAAAAAAGTGCAAATTTTGTCCAATACCTTTGAAAGTGCTTGCGTTTGTAGCCATTCACATGTAGAACAACCCCTGAAAGTTTCAGCTCAATTGCTCAAACGGTTCTCATTAAAAGTTACGGCATGCAAGCAATTTTGAGATAAAACGTAACTGCCCAAGAGTTGAAAAAAACCAAAATACATCAATATATGTCATAATGATACTCTCATGTCACTGAGGCTGCTTAAAACTTTTTGGACGATAAAGAACAGTAATTCAATTTGAATTTTCAACATATTGGACCCACAAGGACAATGTTTAATTATCCCAGACAGCCACACAAAGCCAAATGCGCCAATTTCATTACTACATTTTATAAGTTGTACTAAAATGTTAGTATACGCTAATATGGGTTTTATGTGGAAACTGGTAACTAAGTTGATTATGTCCAAATCAACTTTTCACACAAATATACACAATCTCACATTAGAACTTGAACCCAGTCTTCTACCTATTCACTAACATTCATAAAACATTTATCACTAGATACTTGGAAATAAATCACTACAAGTTGATCAATTATCACTAATCTTGTTCATCACATGCAACATACAATAATATATATGATACAGTCATATACACATACATAAAGTACAGTGACATACATATACACTGATGTATATATGTCAATTTACATATGTACTTCTGTATTTCTTGAATTAGAACTGCTAAAAATGTCACATTTTTATAACAAGCTATTGAAACTTCTTCATAGCTTTATTATGAAACACTATGTTGAGTTGCAAAGATATAATTGCACTCTACATATACTTTTTTCACTTTAAAAAAAATGTAATTTTTAGCCATTGGAAAATCAAGAAGCAGTCAGCAGACTGTTGTTGACATTTGATCAGGGCTCGTGCACGAAACCGAGAGAGACAGAAGATATGCCGAAACCCACGTGCTGCGAGTGGTGGCGTTACTGTACACCTATAGCCATGTAAACAAACAAATTTCTGCTGGATGTACTCTAACCAAAGAATAAAACGAGTATCAATAGATGGCGCTACGGACTTATGAAAGTCTCGAGATTCATGAAAGATTGGCCACGATATATCTTTGAGTCGTTTCATTCATTTTTTCTAAATAATCGTTAAAGTATCGGTACTAAATAACCTGTACGTCACGGTACAGTTAACATTTTAAAATTCCGATCACGGCACTGGAAAGCCAAGGAAAAATCCTATCAAAAAAGTCAATGAAAAAAAATTTTTTTTTTTAGATTTTAGGTGCCTTTCCCCCCTTAAGTGTTAAGTGATTATACTATACACTTTCACTACTTATAAATTTATCTCTAATGTCAATGACATTGTCCCGAGCTTTTGAGTAGATTAAACTGGGACGTTTCTAATGTGCGCGTATCCAGAGTGCAGCTTCATTTCTTAGCGCTCAAAGCATTAGCTTTAATAAACAGTAGCGAAATACAGTAACAATTGTAATTTTCGTCAACTCTTCCCTCAACATATTAACGCTATCTGAAACATACTTGTATATCTACTGGTCGAATTGTAACGTATATCTACGCGCTATATGAATATGATTATGAATTCATAGAAAACTAGGTGGAAGATAATTATCGTTAATACATTTAATATTTATTACATCATTTTAATATGATCATATACATGCTCATACACACACACACATTCATATTTTGCCTCATAGTGTATCAAACTTTATTATTATTGCGACACGCTGTTACATTATACGCGCAACGAGCCAAGTCGAAAATCTTACATCATATTGTAAATTCTTCGCACGGTAAAATCATTTTAACAGACTTCTTTTTTGATTATAAATGTCTAATTTGTGCCCGCGCGAGAGCAGCGACTTTAAAAAAATATATTTAAAAGCACAAGTTGATAGATCAACTGCATCTCGTTATAACGAACATCACAGATCGCCGAGCATCCGTGCATGTGATGTGTATATGAATGTATGCGCAAGAAAACCTTGAAAACCCACATCTGAATATGCACGTCTATAATACACCTAAATCATCATTTTTATGATTTCGTTTCATTATATTTACGTACTTTAAAAACACGAGCCTTACAGTAATCTTTCATAAAAGCTGTTGTTTCTCCGAGAAAAATTTTACGGCGTACGCGTCTGTGTTCGCGACACCGCATGATACAAAGGCGTCACACAAGGTCTTTATCGTAACTCAAAAAGTGATCCTTAGTACAGGGTAGTATACATATTACGCACACATGATCGATACATTTTCATATGTGTGTGAGCGAAGCGCAGACATTCTACGAAGGTCAGCCAGGCATGTATGCGATAGCCAAGAGTGAAAGTGATATAGCATATTTGAAACAGTAGTGTACCTTCAGAAGTTTTTTACAAAAGGGCAATTCTTGTCCGCGACTTTGAATATTTTTCAAGTCTTTACAAATATCTCATTTCTAATTTATAATCAAATTAATCTTGAAAAACGTAGTCATTGCCGAAAGTACTATATCAATTCGTGACAACCATCGAGTTGTGGTAATTCAAAAGTAAAATTTTTCAGATATTAATTGGACAGCTCAAGTAATTTTACGTATAGCTAAGAAAAGCTCCGTTCATTATTTGAATTTTCGACGGATAGATATAGACGACATGTCGACTTTCAGCGATTCCCATGCGCATGTACGCGCGCACATATATCGAAAAAAATATTAAGCAATTTAATTTTATATAATATGCATCTAGTTTGGGTCTACCCTAATGAGAAGAGTCAACGTACGACAAGAGCGGCTGTAACAGACAAAATCTCTAATTACAACTGAACTCTCGTGCGGAAAATAACGAGACTTTGGAAAAGAAGACGAAGAAAGCGAGTGCACCGAATCAGATGTCTATCCACGGCAACCTGTACGGTAGCTTTATTAAAAAATATGTGTCGCTATTTAAATTCAAACCCCGATTATCGTAAGTTTTCAATGTTGTGAGATACTCAGTCCATAAAAAATTGTGTAATTGGCTTTCCTATGTACGTTTATGTGGAGGTCGTTTTTGGCAATTAAATTTTATGACCAAACGATTAACGTGACTTATTAAAACTCAACAAATATCGAATGTACAATAATCAAGAAGTTCAAAAGTCCGTCTCACTATTAGAAAATTAATCAATTTTTAAAATATCGCTAAAAGTAAACACATCGAAGGGCGCAAGACATAATGATATAAAATCGTTTTCCAATGCGAAATTCATTTATTCGCAACAGCACTAAAAGCGGCGCATCGACACTTCTTCGTAAGTAGATCCTTTACAATTTTCTCTTCCTTTGTTACGTAAGTTTCTCGCTTCATTTTCAGTATTTCTCATCCAAAGAAAGTTCGCATACTAGTGTGCGCGAACTATTATTCACGCGCGTACTTTTTTACTAACTTTTATAGAAAACGTAATGCTTTCGCTGTGTGCGCGCGTGTGTGTGTATGTTGTACAAGTATGTGTGTCATCAAGTGTGAATTTTCCGAGCTCCTTACAAATGAGAGCATTGTGTTGTAAATTTCGATGACGAAATAGTGCCCGAATTAATTTTTTTCTTCCACTTACTCATTTTTTTTTTTATTAACGAAGTTTTTTTCGACACGTGAGAAGATTTGTTGAGACGAATAAACACGACAATGTACTTGTTTTGAAGCTAATGATTTCCAGAGACGCTTATTACAATATATTTGAATTTCGTAACCCTTATCGATAAATAAGGCTCGCAAAATTTCTATAGTAATGACCAAAATGAAATTGTAATTATTGATCAGTAATGCGTTAAAAGCCGTTACGGCTAATAGTTTAGTACTTTATGCAAAATCTTGGAGTTAAAAATTTCATTCAAGTTTCATGAATTTCCAATCAATGTTACAAACGCACAATTATCCTCTGTATAAGTTAAGACACATTATTCGACGTTGCAAGTCATTTGACACTTTATGGCCCAACATATTTTCGTAACAAAAGCCCGATTTTTTCAACTATCGGGGTATGCAAATCACATAATTAGTCGATACAATACGACCGATATTGTGTAATCGAAAACTTGTATTTCTAAAATCAGCTCAATCCAGCATTTATAACTAAAATTGTAGCGCAAATCTTGTACTTAGTGATTTAGTATTTTGGAAATTTGGACGCTGCAGTTTATGCAAAATCAATATCATGTATTATCTGTATAAGAGCATCTTCAGTTGTATTAAATTGTATTCAAGTGATGTTTTTTACAGTTTATTTCCACAAAGCACGCTCGTGTGAAATGTTGAATCTTTAATATGGCATTTATAATACATACTAATCATAATTTATTACAATACGATACTTCACCAATCGACACGTCATTAATCTCAATTTTACATGATCTTATCGTGAATGTAGTTTACGGGAATGCTCAAGAAAACCAATTTCATCTAAAATACATGTTACGCCGAATAAAATTTGACAGTTAAAAAGTCACAAACTTACGTGTTTTTTCTCATTCTAAAAAATTTCAATTGATATTTAGTCAATAAAATCACACAGCATTAGAAGTAAAAAACAATCCATCACACCAATCACTTGGAAAATTTATTGGTAAAATCAAGCGAACATTATTACTCGTTCCTGTTTACTCTGAGAACGCGAAAAGTTTTTGTCTCCACATACAGATGTTGTTCTGAAAATGCGACCGTACTACGCGAGTCACGACGAACGACTGGGCCGGCACGCGTGCATTGTTACTTAACCGAGACTTGAGCGCGCGCTCGAAATTGAATCCCATACACCTCCCAGACCGCCGTAGTCGTCGCCGAACGATTGAAAGAACCTTCACTTTTATATGTGTATATATACGCTCACATTAACACTTGCTCCGTGCAGATTCAAATTCTAACAGATCCAGTCTCGACATCCTCGACTAGCATCTAAGGCTTATCTTCGATTCTCGTGTGGTGGGAGTATACGACATGAAGCGCGTCGGTGGTGGAAGTAAGCTTTTTTTACATAGAATTCTTTGCAGCGTTCGTTACGCGCAGTTAGCGCAATATTTTTGCTACGTACTTACGGATAAAAAAATGTGGGGATTGCAAGCAAAACCTCTGACTAATTGCGAGCGTCGTGATAATTTGTAATTAAAATGATGTAAAATATATGGCTACAAGTGTATCGAGGGGAAATCGAGAGAGTAGAAAATTTTGCAATCGACAATTTCGTGCCTAACACTTTGCCAATGAATTCTTGGGACTACTTGACTCCTCTCCTACAACATCTGGTACTAAATCGTATACTTTTCAATTATACGCATTACGAAACTTTTCTGATTAGATGACTGTCACCCAAGGCGCTTGCGAATATGTTTTTCAGCTAAGAAATATCGAGCATTTCAATAGGAATCGTTTAAATCCACTTCAAAGAGTCAATGACTTATGTAAAAATCTTGTAAACTCTGATAAGTGATTTTGAATGTATTATAAAATTTGACATTTTATAATATTTTAAGAATTAAATAGTAAACATCTTTATAAATTATTTAGTCACATGATTTTTTTTATTGCTTTATTCTACTTCACTTCATCTCATCTGAGAAGAGAGTATTTACATAATAAATGTATATGAAAAAGCGAATTCATATCTGATTTTAATAATTAGCCATTATTAAGGAAGTATTTTTTCCATTCTCTTTCATGTACTTTTGATGAGCCAACATCGTCAGAGGGTAGTGAACTTTTTTCAAATTCAGCCATAAGACAAAAACTGAAAACGATTAAATGATACATTTTCTAATCGCCTTACATCGATATATTGTCAATAACAACAATCTGTTTTATTGAACGCTTAGAAAGTTTATAAATATTTTTTTTATTGAAAAATAGAAGAGATCAAAATGAAGTGGAAGTCATTGATATAGACTTGCATAATTTTCTCCATTCACAATCAGAGTAACACTCAAGCGCCCTTGGTGGACGGGTTGATTGTTCATCGTTAACAACCCCTTCATCATTGTCGTCATTGTCATCTCAGAATACTTACGAGAATTTTACTTACTTTAAAGAAAAATTACGATCGAATCACGAATGATCATACATTACTTACACAAAAGAACGTTGTTAGACTTAGAGGAGTGGAATATACGCGCGTGGTATAAATCGCATAAAAATTTCATCAGGTTTTTAGCTGAGTGGGTGTTTCTATTGTCGGCTGATTAGCATTAGGCGCAGCCACTTTGAATCGCGAGTATATACGTACTATGCTTCAAATCGAAGATCATATCCCGAGCGGTTATTTTTACGAGTCGATGGTGGATGCTGTATTTACTATACGTATAACCCGTTCACTCAAGAATCGTATTGATTATAATCTGCACAGCACGTTATTTTTCAAAAGCTGTTTGACCCGCGATGAATTAGACTATCGTCATCTTGGTACGCGCGTCCATAATAGGCAAAAGTTTAAAATCATTACGCTCGCAAAGCTTCTTCATGTTAAAGCCAATTGCAAAAATATCTTCTACCCAAAACACTAGGCAAACAAAAAGTTGTATAATGTTATGATACGATACTAAAGATCAACACGCTGAAAGGCCGTTTTCCGCAATTCATTTTCTTAGCACCTTGTTTGTGACAAATTTCAAGTAATGAAAGATTAGGGTGTTCTTCGAATATCTGTTAATTTTCGAACAAAGATGCTCGCGTAAAGCAGACTGATTTTTCACACACAGAAGGGCAAAAAACATCAACTTTCGAAATTTTTCAGTTGGCTGTAAATTATACCTGCAGACGAAAATTCCAAGTTATCGAATTTTAGCGCTTTCGTGCCAAGCCTGATGTCGACTTGTATTATATATGCTTAGACCTTACTTTCTTAGATTTGACTTGAACTTTTGAGACGCACGTAATAGGCAAGTTGTCTCGCTGCTATACGCTCTAAGTTTGCGGGGGTCTATCCTCGTTCGAAAGTTGATCGTCGAAAATACGTTTGCACTTGCGCGAGCCTGGCATTATATTTCATATCTGCGATTCATCATCAGAAAGTTCCATCTATTATCTCGTAATATTAGGCTTTTAATGGTCTGATTAAAGTACTCCAACCGAAATCGTAGCAAACTCATACTCGTTGCGGTTCGACCCCACGACACTCCAAGATCATCGAGAGATTTTTACTTTATCGAGTTTTTTGCAGAGGAGCCTTCTTATATTCTTGATCCTCACTCTCGTGCCACACTGGTAAGTTAATCCCTCCACTCGCGCGCGAATTACGCAACGCGCTACACGTTTGTGCACGATGCACGAAATGTAGACCTAATACACATCGATCTGTGGACTATATTATGGAATAACACTATAGTTTTAAAAGGACTCAAACCTATTTTTACGTAGTTATGTAATTCATGATGTACTAATTTATTTGGTGGGGATCGAGCCTGCGATGAAATCAAATTTATATTTTCGTCTGCTGGAATAGATATTTTTTACTGCATAAAACTCGTTTTTTGCATTCGACACTAGAAATAAATCATTACATTTTGTTTGATGATAAAAAATTTAATTTGAATTCCAAAACTATCCGACTCATTAATCTCTCATTTAAATTGTTTGGTTCTACTCTCTTTTTTCCTTGATTTCTCTCCGCCTCTATCTCTATCTTTCTGTCTTTTCTCTCTCTCTCTCTTTTTTTTGTTTACCATTATTTGAAGTTTTAATTTTAAAAGAAAATATCTCTGTACGACCTTCAGTTTAACGTGTCCATCTACGGTCATTCAACTCATTATTGTCATAATTTTGATTACATCAAAATCACTTCGTCTTAACTCCATGTGCACACTTATTATTTCTATGGCCTTCGAAGGAAGAAAGTCAAGATGTTTACGAAGTTTACGCGTATGTTTTTGTACAGACGCAGACGTATCGAATGAGATCGAAACGTAACTTTTTGATGCCATTTTTGCCGCAGATTCGATAAAAAGGCATTCTTTCTTACGTCGCTTTAATTTGGATGGACGTAAATATTTTATACATCTCGTTCGCAATACCTAATGGACGTTATATAGTAGCTGTAAGGCACACGAAATTTTGCAAACTTTTACAATTTCAAGCTGTAAATAACAAAATCATTATGCATTGAGGAATACGATGTTTTTTTTACATTTTGTTGAGATTTTTTGCGAGCGGATGCACTTTGTGTCGAATATAAAATTATGTCACCCTACAGATACTCAATGCAATTCATGCTCGATGTATCGTAACATGGCGTTATGTGCTGCCTACCCTGTCAAATTCATCTCCTACATTTGATGCCGATCTAGCAATTTTGCAATTTTGTAATTTTGCAATTTTCGATTGTTTCATGTTACGTGTCGAACTGTAACGAAAAATTTTCTAATACCATTTCCGAATTAAACGAAAAAGGATTAAATCCATAATGGTTTGCAATGGATTCGATGAAGGACGATATTATTTGTAATTAATATAAAATATTAAAAATAAATGACTTTCAAGCTAGAATTTTTTCGTCTTTCACGTCAAATTCATTCGCACTGGAAACATAATTAGTTCGACTACGTGCTAACTAGTGAAACTCTACTTTAGTCATTGACTTATTGTTCACGTAATTGTTTTTTTTTTTTTTTTTTTGCAAAGATAAACGTAATTCTGAACTTTAACATTTTTTGAGGTCGTGTATGTTTGTAGTTGCTCCGACAATTTTTCTATTAACCATAAAGCAAACAACTATTTGGTAAAAGTCAATAGTTCGATTTAACAATAAAAAAATATTATTAGTATTGATTACAGCTAAACTTACTTTGTAACGTAGAAAGTGAAAATTATTTGTGGAGTGCCCAATGCATGTATGTAATAACACAAAACTATTTTTACTTTGCTCTTTGTTTAAAGTCATTTTATAAAAAAATAATGGTGCAATATTATAAGTCATTCGAAAAATTATTCATAATTATCAATTAATCAGTTTAATAAAGACAATTAGTCTCTCGGTTGAGTGTAGTGTATTAACTCGTAATTCGTTTTTGACGCAATTGTGTGCACTTGTACTCAACTCCGCACTGGCTCGCTAAAACCGCAAAATTTCTAATAGTCCAATGAAATACAGTTTACATTTGCTTTACCAAATTTTCTTATTATGTTACTTCGTCATGTCGATGGACGTTTATGTGTATTATACGGCTTTTTTTGTCGAAATGAAGCACCGCCACCGTCACCGCCGCGATGCAACTTTCCATTATCCTTGAAAAGAGTGTGTCACCGCAATTCGAACACGCCCTTGAGAGTCAATCCGGGTCTATATAAACATATAGGTATACATAAAATGAAGTCCGAACGCACTTTTTCTTGGCGTTCGCGAGAATTTCTTGTCTTTTCATTTTTGAGAATAAAAGCCTGAAATGGAGCCGAGCAGAAAGAAAGAGAGGAGCTCGCGGGCGCGCGTGCAGCCACACGACGAGAGCGAATCCTTGTAACCGTTTCTAACGACGGAATGTTAAATGCGGTTTTCTGCACACGTACGATCGACTCGACGGCTAGTCATTGCTGTATGACTATATAATACGCTTTTGGGGCTATACCAATGACGCACCGAAAATACTCCCCGGTAATTTGAACAATTTTTCAAACGTTCATTTTTTAGAAGCAGTGAGCGCTTTTAAATTGCACAAATTTGTCGCTGCCGCAATGCGCCTGACTGAATTTAATTGTCGTTTATTAAGACAATTGCATAAATGTAAAAGTACTCGACAAGTAGAAAACCAACTAAATTCGCGCAAGGTTGTGTGCTTGGAAACAAAGCATTTTTGCAACTAGTGATCTTACCTTACCTCTCGAAATTGAATGCCTAAGACTCATATTTGATAACTAACACTATCATTCAACATAAAGAAAAACAGTATACAGTTAAAAATTGATGATTATCGATTGGAAATGATTCAAAAGTTCCAGACAAAGAAGCACTAATTAAAGAGTTATTTTAAACAAAAAATTGACTCGTAAATTTTGCAAATGGTCCGATCTCATTTTGTTTCGCAGCATGTAACTTTGACAGAATATAATCCTTATAAAGTCATAGCTCTCACTCTCGCAGAGTATAGCGCATCTGATTGCACGGAAGTTTAGCTGTATATACTTTGTAGACAAGACTTCTTACACACACTCTCACTCTCGCGCTTTATAAGATACGGAAACGTAATTCTCGGGCAAAGCGTCAGTCACCTGTTGGCGCGTTTGTACGTGTCTATGTGTGCGCACACTTTGATGAACACGATATTAGCTCCTATGGAAAAAGAAAACTTGGACTCACGATGAGAGAAGTTTGTCGTGCTTTTTTGCTATTATGGATCGCGAGGCGCGTGCGTGATATACAGCTCGCGATTTGTAAATTTTACAGATTACGATAGTCTCGCTTTGAAAACAGCCATACCTTATGAATTAAATCTAAATCATAATTTAGCGTATATCTTTAGCGTGCCTACTTTTGGCTGAAAATCAACAAGTAAAAATAAAAAAATCTCGAACTAATTATCAACACTTTATTATAAAGTACGTACGTAGCGTCCCGACCAATTGTGTCAAGCTACTTGAAATTAAACGATGCTAGAATATTGCATCTGAATCGGCGTAGCTTGGCGCACTCGAATGATGTAGAGCCTCTCGGACGAATATAAGTAGAACGGCTCATACGCAGGACAATAATAAAATTCGACGGCTCCCAGCCTAACAAGTATTACGTTAAAAAGTTGCGTGTCGCGTAAATCACCGTCGACGTCATACGTGTTTGCAGTCGCTCGCTTGGCTCGTGCCAGGATGATAAATAACTCGTACCAAGTGCCGCTGTATCTTCGCTCGGCGTTCGCTTTCGAGCATCGCCGTTTTTTATTCTTCTCCTTTTCATCGCGGCAATCGAAAGTCCCCGCAGGGCGCGCTAAATGCGCGGAAAATTTCTCCTAGTCCGGCAAAAAAGCATCCGAGCATCAATTTTCTATTAAAATCTTTCTCTACGGCGTACACGTGCGACGGCCCCGCATCTCTTATGCGCTCGCTGCTATATGACGAAAAAAAAATACAATTTTTATTTATCATCTCGCATAAGCCTCGCATCATAATGCACGGCAAAAACACCTTTTATGTACGATCTATAAATGCATGACTTTACAGCCTCGAGCGGTACTGCATTCGTCGATACATAAACGCTTTAACGTTCGGGAAAAAAATGAACAAAGTTGTATAACGCTTCGCTAGCGTGCACGCGCGCGCATCGATAAAAAATATATCTTTTTTCGTTCATCCATGTAAATTTAGCCAAAGCGCGGTATGTTATGCGATTCAACTTTCCTCGAAATACTCTTAATTAATCCAACTAGCATGTCTATAAGTACCCACGACTAATGCAGCAGATGATACACTAAAAAAGCCTTATTGGTGTTTTTAGCGTTGCATATTATAAATAGTTGGTACTGATATAAAAAGCCAAATTGAATGTGTTTGGTTGTCGCAGGCTTGAAAGCGAATCGCGATTAATATCTCCGCTAGATCCTAATGATATATCCGGATGATTTTTTCTTCAGTTCTTGGATCGCTTTATGCTAGAATCGTGTATTACTTGTCAATTTACAATTTTTTATGTTTTTTTATTACTGGAGTAAAAGCATATCTGGAGATAAGATATTGACGCGTTCGAAGGAATAACTTGAAGTTATCGAATCATATAAGTCTATAGTACCTGGCAATTATCCTGTAGTATTATGCGTAATATACGGAACAAAAGCAAACACTAGATGAATCTATCCTCTTTTAGTGCGCGCACGGGCTCAATCGCGCATATATGTAAGAAATAATAACAACGAAGTACGTGTGTGTGTGTGTGTGTGTGTGTGTGTGTGTGTGTGTGTGTGTGTGTGTGTGTGTGTGTAAGCATACAATGCCACTCCACATTGAACTAGAAAAGCAGTCGGCTGCATTTCACTTTCGTTATGTACATGCACACACGTGCAGATGCTGCACATGTACATGGGCTAATGTACGCTGCAGTCTGATAAATCCTATAGACATACGTATGTGTGTGCATGCACACGGCGCTGCACTATTCGCGCCCGGGTGAAAGTGCGTACGCCACAGCTCGCGCGAATACAATAATAATGGGAGCGGATTATAATCGATGCAACCGCGCGAGTGCGAGCAAAGCAAATCCCTTTGCGCCGTATCTTGAGTTTCGCAAATTACGTAAGGATCGTTTCATCGCGTAAGATGAGAATGAAAAAAAAGAGAGAACGACTAGGCCGCACATACACATTGTTGTTTTTTATACACAATGTACAAGCATAGCATTCAAGACAAAAATAAACGAATAATTTGTAGGACTAATATTGATCGATATAGTTTTAATTAGTACGTAGTATATGTATGTTATGAGTTATAAATTACTCTCAGCTGAACGTGAAGAATGATGATTAATTCGCTGGGTCACTCTACTGCGTGCGTTTCTCAACTTCATTATTCGAATTATCAATTTCATCAACGAAATAAAGATAATATTATCGTCTTACTTTTTCATAGTTTAAAGTATGATGTGTACTTGCTTCAATACATGAGACAAATTGCCAACATTGTTTTGACGGACAGGATTATTGGTTGTGAAGACAATTGCCTCACTTCTTCGACGTAAGGACTATGAAATTCATATATTGTATCGCAATTGTTGTCTCTACTTCCGACGAAATAATTCTTCTCAACTCAAGAATGTTGACAGAAAGTTTATTATTAAACAAACGATAAATATTGGCCCACTCAAAGTATCAAGATTATGTTTTTGAGTAGCAGTAATAAACAGCTGTAATATGCTAAGCGATTGAATGCGTTGATATATTATATACGTATGAGAATAAATATTGTATACCTATGCGCTTAGGTATGCGATTACGATGCTATACTTTTTTTTGTTACACTTCTACTTACGCAACTCCTTTCTTACAACTCGATACGTATTCGTGCAGCGCGGGCAAAACCTTTCTAACTCGCGAGAGTTTGGAAACTCGAGATACCTTCCTGCTTCCGCGCGACTAATCGATCCAGCCTAGTGTTTTATACGCAGATAAAAGAATTACGAACAGGACATGATTAAACCGAGTGTTTTATGATAGAAACACAAGTACGATGAGTTTTTATTATTTTTTATGCACAAGCTGAAAGCAGAAGTTCGGATACGTTTAGTTGCGTACAATTTAGTTGCTCGCGCGCTTCTCTCTTTAAGTTTTCATTGTGCCGCTGAAGCCGCAAAATAAATCGTTCCTTGAGTGTGGGTCAGTATGAAAAAAAAAAATAATAATAATAATAAATAAAAATACAAACAAACTCTTTGTCATTCGTGCACTCTCGCACGTCTCGTGTCATTTGGCCAACAAGAGAGCATCTTTGACTGCGGTTTCTTGGTAAAAAAAAGCTTGTAACGCGTTATTGCGTTGTGCAACGACGATGGCGACGACCTATGTCATTCGCCTAGATGACGCGATGATTTGCACGCTCTTATCACATAAATCGCGCATATTGCCGCGACTTTATGTACAATGAACTTCTCGTCTCGCTGCAAGTTCCGAAGGTGCTGTATATATAACTTCCGTATTTTATCCATCGGCTGTGAAAATCGATAGTCACGAAATAATGACAGATTGATGTCGATGATTGGGCTGACTTTCCTCCATACGACGTATCGATTTTTGACGCTACTTTATGTAAGCACCTGCAGCGAGTCTAAGTTATTACATCATTTATTCCATACAGGCTTGATTTTCTGACTGACGTCCTTTTCATTGGTCAAAATTTTCATCACGATTTTCGTGCGTAACGCCGTGGAAAATTCGATCGCACGAAATCGCTCCATTATGCAAAAGATTATCGAAAATCAAAAGAATCTTGAGCACATGTACACTCTTAATTCGACAAAAGTGACATGCGATAGTGGAGAGAAATGCAGGAGCTCGGAGATTTGTTTCTTTTCGCTAACGCGTTTTCCTCACTCGATAATATACCAACTCATTACATACTTGGCTCGCTTTAAATATTTTCAATGCTGCAATTTTGTTCTCGCTAAAATTTCAGACTCTGCTTGGAGCAGGCCAACGAGATGGAGCATCACACGCGAAGCCTGAAATTGGAGCTGGAAAATTTGCAGCGGCAAGTGCAATCGGTGAGCCTCGAGCGCGACACCACCATGCAAGAGGCTCACCGGTTGGCCGACGATTTGGCGTCGATATCTTGCGAGCTGCGCACGACTCGTAGCGAGCTCGAGGCCTCCAAAGCCGAGGTCCAAGATCTCAAGCGACAGTTGCAGACCTACGTGAGCGAGGTCAGACGGGCCGAAGAACTCATCGGTCAGAAGGTACGTACGGCCAGCAACCAGCTTATACAAGTACGAGCAATTTTTTGTTTATTTTTTAACTCGCTTGCTTCGTCGTTGTTTTGTTGGCCCGGATCACCTACGTCTACAGGAGAACGAGCGTACGGAGATGCTCAATCACTTTCGAAGTCTGAGCCTCGAAGCCAGCGCTTTGGAGAACAACAATCACAGTTTGGAAACCGAAGCCGCTGAGGCCCGTAGCGCTTTGCAATCGGCACGAGATCTTGTGACTGATCTCGAGAGGCAACTCTCCGACAAAGATGTTCTCGTTCGCGGTTACGAAAATCAGGTATGAAGCGTTACAAAAACAAATTGTCAGACGACTCGCTTCGAACGCTCCTTTTTGTTTAATCATGATCAAATAGTGACCCGCGTTGCCTATCTAAAAACAAAACAAAAAACGATAACATCTAACCTTTCCTCGTCCCCATCTATTCATAACCTGTCCAATTGTTTTCACTTTTTTACAACAAAAATTTATGAGTAAATAAAAGACCGTTGATGATTCGTCACGGCAGATTATCGAACTAACCCAGAGTGTGGCCAGTTTGGAAATTCAAGTGCAGCAATTAGAAGATCAGAGGCTGCATCTCCAAGACGAGCTTCGTACCGTACGAACCTTGTGTGTGACGCTCGAACAGCAGAAGGATTCCCTCGACAAAAAGCTCGACGAGGCCATTGAACGCAAAACTGAGGTATTTTACTGTGATGATTATCGCGTCCTTTGACAATAATGAAATTTACAAAAGAACTTGTAAAAATCAATTCGACAGTAAAAAATTTAATCGTAGTATTACAAAGATAAATATACTTTTATTAAAAATAAATTCATTCGAAAATTAAATCATTCTTATTTTCAAATACTCACAAAAAATATAATCAGATAGAGATTTGTTTACTTCGAGATTGATTCAGGTACACTTTATGTAGAGATTGTTTCAAATACACTTTATGAATTGAAACGTCAATGTTACGGAAACGTTGTGCATTCAATAGATTTACTACATTTTTGTATGCGACGAAAATTCAACATCTTGCTTCATTTCGCTGAAGCTTACCGTGAATATCTTCCTGATGGTTTTGAATTATTGTCCCGCTAGAATAACGCCATTAATTTATAGTTGTTTTTAATGACGATTGTTTTTCATAATTTTTAAGTTTATAGATTTATCTAAGTAACTTTTGTTACAACTGGACACTTGAATATTGGTCATGAACTTATTCATTCCAAGTTGACTATAACTTTGATTATTCAAGAATGGTTTTTGCTTACGTTTAACTAATTTAGAAGAACAAAACAACAATAACGATTTGTATTATTCATTATAGTTGGAACTACAGCTGGATCGCTATCGATCGGAACAAGATATATTTCACGATCAAATGAATAAAGACCATATGATGATCGATCGTCTGGAAAAGTTGCTGGAAGAATCGCGCAAGGAAACCGCCACGGCTCAGTGTAATCAACGAGAATTACAGAGCGAAATAACCAGATTGAAATACAAGATATCGGACATGCAGAGCAAACTGTGAGTTTTTGTCTCTTTCTTTTTCTTCTCGTCCGAGATTATAAAAAAAATGCCTTTTCCCACGTGTAGGAGCGCCGAGACGAGCGAACTGCGAAAGTATCAGACTCAAGCCAGCGAATACGGTAAGCAGATAAGCGAACTTCGACGACAGGTTACCAACGAGCGATACGAGAGAGCTAAGTTACAAGACAACCACAGTAGGTAAATGGTCTATTTGATTCACAACTTATGTACTTACAATTTCTTTTAAATTCAATTCGCGCACCTGATCGTTTATTGTTCTAAGTTAGAGACGGTGATTTTCAAAAAATACTGTTATTACTCTGTAAAGTAATGTTATCGTAGCGTGTCTTAGTAATAACGGGCGTGAAGCAGACTGCCAGAGTCGTCAACCGAAAAGTACAACAAGTGCTACAAAGTACCGTTGTAACACTGCATGTAATTGCGAGCCGTTGGAATCGATAAGGCGATGCGAGAGTCAAAATACGGACAGGTATGAATGATATGAAATTCATGTACAGCAAATCGCGATGAACGATGTGTAAGCGGAGCAAGTGCAACTATAAAAATTTACTCTGCATACGTAATAAAGTAGAGACTTTCATGCGGGCAAATAGATCGGTATCGAGTTATTTCGTGCTCTTTATCTTGACTGTTGATTTGCGTGCGCACTCTCATTGCGTTCTTTTTTTTCTGTAACAGTAGTGAATTATTTTTATAACATCTGTAATAAATTTTTAACTCTGTTGCGATGCTTACTCTGCTTGCAGGTCACGAAATTCATCACCCGACAGTTACAATGTCGATCTCAACGTTATCATATAAACAAAACTCTCTAACAACTTTCACAGACGCAGCAGCAGTTCTAATAGCAGAAGCAAAGATGGCAAACTCGTGAAAATTCGCGTAACCGAGTTGTCGGACGATACGGGTCGACTGCGTTCCAAAACTTTCGTGCCTCGAAAATATGGCAACGAGTTGACGCAACAATCAACCTGCTGCTGTTGTTCCTGCACGTCTGCTTTGGCAAAAGTTGACAACAGTCGCTTTAAAACTCGTAATGATCTGTCGCCTCGATGGATCATCGAGACGTTGGATCTTTTAAATAAAGTAATTCTTAAAAGAAAAAGGGCTAGGCTGAAGAACTGCAGTTCAATCTCCATTGTTGAGAATCAAGATAAGATGGTTCAGACGTCCATGAAGTATTGTCCGAAAGAAAAAAAGCCACAATCGCGAGAATCTAATTGTTCCATTTCGATGCAGACTTGTGTGAACGATGCTACACAAAATGACTTAGACATGTCCAAACCGCATTTGTTAACAGTACTGAGTGAAATTCAATTTTATGCCGAAAGAATCAAAGGTTATTTCGAACGTATAAATGAAAATTGCAACGAAGATGCTTTAGAAGAATGTAACAAGTCCAAAGTTCGAATGCGTGAAAATTCATCTAATAGGTCGATTAATGATCCACTAACTCAGACGATCGAAAAAGTTGAACCACTGTTATTGAAAAAACGAAACATTTCTTCGAGACATAAATCAATAGTACCCAGCACTTCAACTCCACGGAGCAGTCAAATCAATTGCGAAAGTAATTTAAACTTTTCAAATCGTAATTTGAAAAAAGACAATTTTACGGGATTAAACAAAAATATACCATGTTACGAAAACAGTGACTCAGATTCAACAGATTATTTACAATTACCTGGTCGACTTAAAAGTATTAACAGTTTAGTATTTGAAGATTTGCCTGTCGTTAATAGTAGTGAATTGGAACAAATTCAAGAAAAAATCGAGCTGCTTCGAAGGGATTTGGCCATGGATTATGCAGATAGTTTCGAAGAATCTGATTGTGAAGCAAATGCAAATAATAAATTTTTATAAATAATTAGTCAATATTAACGCGATAGAAACGTGTACCAAAATATTATTTAAATTGATTAGATAAAGTCATAAAATTTAATGGGCATGCTATTTGTACGTACGAAATTGTTGACACATTTCTTCAAAATGAATTTTTTGTTACTCTAACATACATATTTGTGCACCCCAAAATTTCCAAGTTGAAAATTCTGTGCGAGTTATAGACAGTGTATTTTTTCTGAAATAATCGTCAATTATACTGTACTCTTTAGAAAATGCTATTTGAATTATACTTTTACTTGTAAATTTATAAGTTTTAACTTTATTGATGGTTTTTTAATAAACGAAAAATTTGGTAAATTAGAGAAATACATTAATGTCTTTATTTAATATAAAGTGAATACAATTAATCATTTTGCCATGTCTTTTTTTCAAAGCACAGTTTTTTATTTGTAACATTACAGAAATAAAAAGTAACTTTGATATCGTCGGATGAAGTCAATCACCGGCAGAGGCTTTTTCATGTTAGTGAATCCATGAAATTTAATTCATGCAATCAAGAAGAACTATGAAACAATTTCAAAGAATTACTAAAAAAAATTAAGGTATCCCGAAATTTTTTTTTTATATTCTACACTTTCATTTTTGCATATAAAATACATGATTGAGATCCGCGAAAAATTCGTGGTTGATCTTCGCTCTTCAATTGAGTAAGTCTTAATTTATATTTTTACAATTGTTTTTTTAAAAACATTTAAATTTTCATTAACTACTTAAGTAGAATGACATTTTATTTTTGTACAATACAAAGTAATTATAGTTATCAGTTACCATTTGTTTTTTCACAATTTTATAAATAAGCTATAATTTACTGCGTTGACTTCTGAGAAAAATGTACACATTTGTAATGTTTTTAGTAACTAACATTGATAGTATTTACAAGTTTGTAAATCTTTTTTGCAAAATGTTAAATGTTAGTTTATTCCCTATAATAATGAAGTCTTTAAATATATTTCTTTTTACAAGGTTATTTATTACATGCTTTATTTCACGCAATTCACACGATTCAATTCGCAATACTCTATCAAGAACTAAAAAAATAAAACTGATAATTACATAAATGCAATGTGTCATTTTCGTGTAAACTCTAGAAAAAATGATCGAAAAGTCCTAATTAAACCTATATTATCTGATTATTCTCGAATGTACTTGTCAAAATTTGTAGCTGATTAAATACATTAAACACATCATCTTATGACGTTGCAAAATAAATCAAAAATGTAAAGATATTTACATATCCGTTAGGAATACGTTCAAGCTAGAGCTCAATTACTATCTAAATAACATGGAAGATGGATATAGAAAATGAATTACTTCTCTTCTTACGGATTTCATGTTGAATCGCACTTATTCATAATATAAAATAATAAAACAAAAAAGAGAAGCATCTTACATGTAAGATTGTAGAATGCAATTTTTCAAGCCAAATTCTACACTTTCTAAAAAAACATAGAATAAAAAAAGATCATATATTTAATTCTTTTTCCTGTGACCGCAAATGAAAAAAGAATTAAACGAATGAATTACAAAAAAACGCAATTCGTACAAATGAAGTAACATTAATTGTAATTACTTATCTACAACACTTCATAGCGAAATATCTTCAATTATCCACTATGTTTTTTTTAATATTTGTCTTTATCCATTTTATACACATGTAATCTTTATCTGTTGCATTTCACTGAGAAAATAAATAAGAGGTATCTTGGTTATTTCATCTTTCGTTTTCTACTAAAAGTGTCCGAGTACAATCACCAGGCGAATTTCTGTCTATACTAAACAACATCCCTTTAACATAAAGACATGCATTTCGTCTTCTCTATTTATTGATTTTTATGAGTTCTTTCGTGTTATGTTATTGGCAAATCAATTTGCCAATTATAAGTTCATAGGCCTTTACTTTTCAGTGCGTTTTGGATTTCCTTAAAAATTTTACATATTCAAACTTATGGAGCCTTTGGACATTCAGATTTTAATCACAAATACATTGAATTTAAATATATTCTTGATGTATTCAATTGTCATTTTAAATTGTGTAAATTTCTAATATCTTAAAGAAAGTGTATCTTTAGCTCTCATTTATCTTCGTTACATTGTTATAATTAATAACTGTTCAAGCTTTTTTAAATTTTATTGAGTCTGAATTTTTTACTGTGGTCACCTGTGACCACTGCTGCTCTGATCATTCAAATCGTATAAAACTTGGGCAATAGTTCTAGAAGATTCCACTTTGCTAAGTGCTACGCCAGCTAAATGAGGTTCGTATGCTCTTAGATGTCTGAAAAATAGTAAATTTAATAAGTAGTCAGATTTTATACCGAAAGTCCAATTAAATATTATTTACGAACCTTCTACCGTGTGCAGAATATATGACTAGGTTTCGCAGAATAAGGGCTGCTGTTAAACGAATACTTTTTGTGACGGGTCCTTCATTGTCATCCTGTAATATATTAAGTATTTCTATACAAATTTCTGAATTTTAAACGTAATTTGAATACATATAATTGAAATTTGCGAACATGAAAATTCTATATTATTTTTAAACATTGTTAAGGAGATACTAGTTAGAGTAAACATTAAAATTTTCAAACATGTTTTTTAAGATTTTTACTGAATATTTTCATAAAGAGCAACGTCGATCTTTAAAAAAGAATAAAACAAGTGACTGCACATAGCTTTTTACAGACACTTTCGATTAAAATCTCAAATAAGTATTTGAAAATTTGTATTACCCTTGATTTTTATATTCGATTAAATTCAGTGGCAGTTTAAGTGAAAGTGTTGGATAAGAAGTTGCTGTGGATAAATGAGGATTGTAAGGTGCAGAAGTGCAAATGCTGCGTGATATAAAGTAAGTGATGTTGAAGCGTATGTAATAGCGTCTACAAAGCGTAATAGGCATGAAACATGCGCTTCAAGAAAAGTAACTCATCAAACCTAAAATATTCCATGCAAAGATAAATGGGAATAATTATATTTTTTTTGTATCTAAATAAAATATCCAAATCACTCCTAACAAATTTTAAAATAAATTGAATAAATTGAATAAAAATTATTTCATAATTTGAATGAAATATTATTTCTACCAAAATTAAAATTTAATCATAATTGGTCCAATAACATTTCATAGATGTATGGACAAAACAGAAAAAGCAAAACCACACGTAGCGCGTATATTTCTAATCTAATACACAAGACGACAACGTAAATTTATTTAAAAACGATTAGAAAGTTTTTTTTTCAAGTCGTCGTTACCTGTTCCGGCGAAGGATTTTGTCCGGGTCTGGGGGAAGAGGAGCTAGTAGTGGCTGCAGCTGGCTTCGACGGCCTTTGCTGCTTTGCCAAAAGGAGAACAAGAAAGTTCGTTTTTAGGTTATCAGAAAAATTTGCGTACAATACATTATAGAAAGATAGTATACATTATTAAAAGATTATTTTAATTTCAATTCTAAAATGCGAGAGAAAGATATTTTAAAATAGAAATCTCTCAATGAAAATTTGAAGATCAACTATTTAGAGCAAGTAAGATATCAAAATTGTCTTTGATAGAAAGATGGATAATGATTTTAAAATTTACCAATAATTCCTTAGGATTTACGAATTCCAACGCATGCCTTTTGATGGCATGTATAGCAGCGTTTGGTGCGTAACCAGAATTGACAGGCGGCGTTAGCGGTGCCGTAGTCGTCGAAACTTCCGTCTTACCTGACAATGTTAATTGCTTTCTTCTAGCAAGCATTATCTATTAAATTATAAAATATTAGCAAGTTTACCAGAAAAGGTTTTAAAGAGGAAATTTTAACTGAATTCTAATTTTACCTCGTCGCAACAGTGTCGATCGTACAAATGTGTCATTAGAGAAAATCTTCGGCGTTTTAAAGCATCGCAACTAGCCCACTGACAGATAGTTTCATCGTTACCACTGGGACAGTGAGCTTCACACACGTGCATATAAACTTGTTTAGGTGTCTTGAATTGCCTATAAAAATAAATAGTAATGTTAGTTACATAATAATTAATATAAAATTAGGATTTACATTAAACACTTACTTCAAGCAGCCTCTCCATTCACAAAGAAATTTGTTAGGATCAATTTTAATAGTGATGGTTTTTGGTGTATTGCTAGGTGGAGTAGGAGTTTGACCTCTTGCATTATTGTTGCTAGTTGAATTCGCGTTCGTCGTCGTTGTCGTCGTCGTCGTCGTCGTTGTCGTCACCGTCGCTGCTGTCGCTGCTGTCGCCGTTGTCGTCGTCGTTGAAGAAGTCGTCGAAGATAAATTATTCTGTGGAACACTTTTTTCCGATTTACTAGGTGTTTTTTCGGTTTCTTCTTTTTTTATTTCTTTTGGAATTTGTTGAATTTTCGTGGCATTGACAACAGTTGTTTGCTGTTGTAAAGGTGTAGTAGGTCTCGACGTTGGTGGTGTCGGTATCGGAGCAGGTGTAGGAGTAACAACACGCACGGGCATGGGACTGGAAGGTTGTTGCGTTGTCATTTGTACCGGTAATGAATTAGTCTTAACTTGTTGCTGGACCATTTGAGTAACTTGCTGAACTACGTTTGGGCTGTTAACGACAATAGTTCCAGCAGATGAAACTAACGGCGATTGTATATTAGCCACAGTCGAGCCTTGTATAGCTGCTCGAGGTACCTGAGTAACAACAATTTGCTGACCCTGTGGCGTCACAGCAACCATTTTTTGGGCCTGCGCCGGTGACGATGTTTGCGGTTGTAAAATAATGATAGTTTTAGTATTTGTACCTTGTTGCTGAGCTACCAATACAGTTTGAGGCTGTCCTTGTAACAATGCTGTCTGGGGCTGTGCTAAAACATAATTTTGACCACCACCACCAGATATCACGTAATGCGTCTGACCCACAGCACTTTGTGGTACTTGAAGTACTTGCTGCTGTTGCGATTGAGAATTTTGTGTACGGACATTTGCAAGTGCACTGGCAGGAACTGCTACAATTTGATTGTTACCTGTGCCTATATTTTGTTGAACAACAATTTGTCGAGGGACGATTAAACCCTGTTGTTGAAGCTGCTGTTGAAGTTGTTCACGAGTTATACCGATTTTTTGTGCTGCAGTATGAACTTGAACTTGTTGCTGTAACTGCTGAGATTGTTCAGATGCTGCAGCTTGAATTACATTAACTGAACCAACTGCTGAGGTAACTTTTGCAACACTTTTAGGCGGTTCTTCTTTAATTTCCTGTTTAATTTCAGTTTTGATTTCTGGTTTAATTTCTGGTTTAGCGGTAGGCTCTTCTATTAAATCTGCCTCGTCTTCAATTATATCAGCAGCAAGTGCAGCATATAAATTGGCCGCAGTAGATGATACAGTTACCTTTTCTTCTTCGGCATCTTCAGCTTTAATAGTACTTTCAGGAGATGATGTACCATTAGCATACTTTGATTTTTTACAATTATTCAAACCCTTAGGTTCCGAACAATCTGCTGACAATGCACGTTTCATAACCAAACGAGGAGCAGATTCAGCATTATCCTCAATGACTTCTCTTTTAATTTTAACATCGGATTCTCTAAGGGCCTGTAAAATCAATTAATTTGTTTAGAAATAGTTTGTATTTTAAATACAATGTAATATAATAATATAGCAAAATATCAATCATAGTGTGATTAAAGTAGAAAAAAGTATTGGTATCATTTTGTTTACATACCCGTACCTTCTTTATATGATTCTCTACGAGATCTTTAGTTCCAATAGTTCCGTTGGGTATAAGTTCTTTTTCTGATTTTCTTTCCAACAAATCAGCAAGCATTACACTTTGAGCAGATTTATCTTTAAACCCTGCACAATTGGAATCTTTGGACGAACCATCTTCTTGAGCATCTATATCTAAATTACTTGGAGCACCATTAAGAAGTATACCTTCAAATGAAGTGAGAGAATTTTCTTCCTGAGTGCCTACTCCTGAACAATCACGACTTCCACCGATACCACTAGAGGATGCTAGAGAATTATTTGTCGAATCAGAATCTTCTATGACTGGTGTATTTTGGATTTTGTTCGCATTAATGTTTGCACTTGATTGACGTAGAATAATATGATTAGAATCCGTCGAAGAAACAAACAATTGAGGTGATTGATTACCGTTATCAACCTCCATAGCTTCAATCTGAAACGCACGAAATATATCAATATTGAAATCATCAAAATTAGTTCAAAATATATAGGTATGATAAAAGTTAATAATTAAAATTACTTTTTCTCCATTGTTTGACACCATTAATTTAGCTCCATTTAATCTCTGAACTTTTTTTACTGCAACCACTGTCTTATTGGGTTTTACACTAATTATTTTCAATGGTGTAGTACCAATAGTTTGGACTTGCTGAAGCTGTTGCTGTCTCTGTTTCAATTGCTGTTGCTGTTGCTGTCGTTGGGCCACCTATTACATTTGTTCATTCCAATTATTTTTTCATAAATAATATTGATTTAATAATACTTTGATATTAAATAACTCCATAATAAACCATGCTCTGTTAGTTAATACTAGAATGGTTATCAGTGCCTTTTGTTAAGGGATAGAAGGAAAAAAAAATAGTTTTAAATTGAGGGGATTCCAAAGCTTTTGGTATCTCCTTATAAAAACAATATACAACAAAACAATTATAAAAACAAAAATTAATCTAGGCATGCCAAAAAATCTAGACTACTTAAAACACACATAAAAAAAATCGAAATTAAAAGAATAATAACGGTATGATTGATAGTTCTCACGCTGCAAATATCCTTGAGATGCAGTAACAGCTTTTTCATAATTTAAAAATATGAGTTTAATTAACTAAGAATAATGATAATATCAATAATAATAATAATAATAATAATAATAATAATAATAATAATAATAATAATGATAATAATAATAATAATAGTGTGTAATTTGTGTGTGAAATAGAAAGGATTTAAATAAAATAATAATAATAAAAAATTAAAAGTCAATAAACCATTCCACAATTGAAAGAGGTTAACACTGATTTGAAATTAACTGATAAAATTCAAAATTAATCAAAAAACTATAGATAGCTTTTGACCTAATAACTTTTAAAATTACTACACTAGTCTATATTAGAATACAAAACAAAATCAGCAGGTCACTAAGTACCTGGCCGGCAGTTAGTAGCTGGTTGGCACTGATGCTGGCTGTTGTTGTAGTATTGGAAGATTGCACACACTCATTTCCAACTGTTACCTTAGTTGCCAACAGGCTTTTTATTATGCTCGATGATGTTGCGTTACCACTTCTGATTGGGTCTTCTTTCAAAATTACTTGAACAGTTTGTGGTTGTTGTGGTTGAGTTGATGAAACAACTGGTTGTTGAGTACCACTTGCAAGTAGTGCATGACTGAGATGTGGGTGAGCTACAGAAACCTGAATTAAAAAAAGAGCTGTTTGTGATTTGATTTAATTTGATTTGATTCGATTGTTTTACTACTGTGAGCATTACAATAGATACAGTTTTGAATAGTTTATCCAATTCTAGAAATTTAATGCAATTCTAGAGGATTTTCAGGAATATTATTACCATAATTATCAGAATGTAATTTGAAATTAAATTCTATACTTTTTTTCGCAATGTATAAATTTTTTTTTAAACTATATAGATATGATTAAAACATTGTTTCAGTCAGAAGTATGAATTAAGATTTTTGATTCAGGGTGAAATTCAATTTTATATTAATTAAATTTGACCATTGATATGATAGATTTAGTTGACGTTCAAAATGAACGTTTTTGACAATTTGTATGAATAGCAGTATTCGTTTATCATTTTTGTTTTAAAAAAATAAGTTTTTAAAATGCTAAAAATTTTCATGCAAACATGAATAAACGAGAGCTCATTAATTATTTTTTTATAAATCTGTCCATGATTATAAATGTATTGTTGATCTAAATTCAATAAAATAGACTTATAAAATTTATCTTTCAAAATTTTATATAATAAGCATAAATCATAAATGATAAGGATCTATCACAATTCCAACACCAGTAAACAAAGGTCTTTGTTAAAAGGTAAGAAATGGTTTGAGTTCTCTTCAAGTCTATATTAGAAAATGTATAAATTATGAAAAGAGGTAAATTAGATAATTATAGTCAAATAAATATTAGCTCTCTCGATTGATAACTGCTCGAATCTAGAAATTTCTCAAATTTTTGAGTTGAATTTTATTTCATTTAGATAATGAGCTGCTTAAAATTAATTGATGAAATGAAATGAATTGTTGAGCATTTTGCAAAAATTGTTTTACAAACATTTGGAAGTGTTTGTTGTTATTATTATCGTTGTCTTTAAGCATGATTGCATTTTTCATTCGTGTATGTGTATTTGAATATTTTTCGTAGTATTAAAAGTATCTAGAATTTATGATAAAAAAAATTTCATAACGAAATCAACTATTTATTACAATTTCTGTTAAAAAGGAATGCTTATACAATACGCAACAAAATTATCGAAACAAAAAATTTTATCGAAAGTTGTCAATTTTCAACTGTTTCTATCTACGTCTGTTTATTTAGATCGTATCAAGACGAATTTTTATGTGATTTTTTGAAAATGTTGTTCCTTTTAAATCCATGTACACTATGAATGAGCTCGAGTCAATATCGAGTTACCAGTAGTAGTTGACCTACAGGGCGCAAAAATAATCGTAGAGAGCTCTATTTTTTATTTAAATTTCTCGTTGAAAAGAGTACTTTGCGATGGTGTATGTTAGATTTTGATAAACAAATTACTGTAGTCCATGTACACGTTTAAACAATCAATTTTTTTTCAGCCTTTTTTCGTGTTGCGCTCAAATACTACTGGTAACTCGATTTTAACTCGAGCTCATTCATAGTGTACATGGAATAAAAAGGAACAACATTTTCAAAAAATCACAGAAAAATTCGTCTTGATACGATCTAAATAAACAGACGAAGATAAAAACAGTTGAAAATTGACAACTTTCGATAATTTTGTTGCGTATTGTATAAGCATTCCTTTTTAACATACATTGTAATAAATAGTTAATTTCGTTATGAGATTTTTTTAATCATAAATTCTAGATAGTTTTAATACTACGAAAAATATTCAAATACACATACACGAATGAAAAATGCAATCACGCTTACAGACAACGATAACAACATACACTTCCAAATGTTTTTAAAACATTTTTTGCCAAATGCTTTTTTGCGATAATTTTTTTGCCTAGTGTAATATCATTCTAGAACAGAAAATCTATCAACATGCTAATAATATTTTCACGCCCTTTAACCATAAAAAAGCATTTTTAGAAAAAATATGCATTGTTTGTTAAAGAAAAATATCGAAAGCTTTGAACGAAAGTAATGACTATATCTAATATTTAAAAAATACATTAAGAGCAACAATAGAGAGAGTACAAGTCAAAAGTAATAAAAACTTGATGCGATGCAGATCAATAGATAAAGAAAATATAGACATCGGAGAGAACCCACCTGACTCGGGGCTCTTATACACGGGATTGTGGCTTTCGCCGGGGCGGACAGTTGGGCTTTGAGGATGGGGGATGACGGCGCCATTGTGGACGCCGTCGAATTATCGTTAAGATGATGTTGCACCTTAACTGGCGTTGTTGTTGTCATCGTAGACGTCGATACAGCATTGTTCGAAGTTGTAGCTGTACCAACTGCGTTATTAATTGTAGAAGTACTTGCACATACCACAACTGGATTGGGATTAGCTCGAACAGAGATTCCTTCGTAATACTTAGAATTGTTGATACCTTCGCTTCCAGAATTTATTCCACCAAATACCGATCTGTGAAAAATATACAGATTTACCAGTTTTATTGTAAAAAATCTTTTAAAGATAAATTAAAGTAACATCGTGAAATATTACGCACTTTACACATCTTGGAAAATGTGCGGGAGCAATGACACCTCTTCTTCCCGATTGCGTGCAAAAGCTAAAATATTTTTTATAAACTTCTTCTTGTTCAACTTTTCCTCCCACAGCGGGTTCATAATTAGCTCGAAGAAAGTTGACGGCAAATTGGTCATTTTCTTCAATAACTTGCCGATGGGAATATTGTTGCTGTTGAGCAGAAGCTGCTGCTTCTGAAAAAAAAACAAAATCAATTATGTAAAGTTTTAAAACGTAGAAAAATGCAAAATAATAATTTATATAATGTCAATTTACTTGCTGCAGCCGTATTTTTGGGCGTGGAGGGTCTAGAATTATTGGCAGTGTTACTATTTTTAATCGGCGTCGTCGTTTGTACTTGGTGCACTTGTTGCGTTGACGGTTGAGTAACAGTTGCTGTATTCGTAACCTGTTGCTGAGGCACTGTCTTAACAGCCATGTGTTGCTGCTGAGAAGCAATCAACGACGAAACTGATATCGTTTGGTGAGGCGTAGGTGAAGGGCTACTGTTAGAACTCACACTTATAGCCGTCGGAGCCGCTGGCACGGTACTGTGTTGTACGGGCACCGTAACCACTTGTTGTGAATGAGGTGACGGGCCATGCTGACCTATTGTAGCCTGAGGAGTTTGAGGCGTCGATGGTGTCTGTGGTTGCGAGCTTGCTGGTACAGACGACACCGTTTCGACTACCTTCATGAGTATACATGCTTTAGGTCCGTAACTTTGAGCTTCCACAGTAACAAGCGCTACGAGCGTATCGATAGCTCCTCTGACTCTAGAAACACTCGTGCAAGGACGCTCACCCAGCGAGGTCAAAGCATAGAGGCATTCGAGAGTATAAACTAACAAAGCTATGTCGCTCAAAGCCAAGAACCTGCATATAGTCTCGTACACCTGATCATCTAGACTAAGTGTGAGCATTTCTTCGTTAGCGTCTTGTTGACTGATTTTGTTTAGGACGTCCAAACAACTTATGACTATAAATCTGTCCTGAGAGTGGATACCTTTGGTTATACTTTCTAGTACCATTTTCGACATATTCTCGCCAACTTCTCGCAGTACTATTTCGTTGGCGATGTTTCCAAATGTATCGAACCCTAATTGATGAAGACAATTCCAACTTGCTCTGACACACAGCATGACGAAACGTAGCAAAGATATATTTTTGGCCAGAACAGGAGCATTTTCCGTGGTAAAACTGAGATTACGAAGTATAGTAGCTATTTGCAGAACTCTTTGACCATAAAGGTCTTGAGTGCCAAGTGTTCGACCAACACAAAACAATTCCCGATCATCGTCATCAAATTTGATGGTGCTAGCAGCGCGTTCTCTGAGTGCCGCTACAACATCGGTTTGTAAGTGAGGCGCAAGATGCTCAGAAATTATTTCAATGTCGTTATTAAGATCCCTTTCTATGTCCATAGAAGCATCGTCAAGATCGATCGAACCTTGCTCGGTGCTTTCGATACTGGTCGATATAGGATCGTTGAATTTCCTCCAACCAAAAACTTTCTTCCCGGAATCTTTTTCACTTTTCTTCATGTAAATTCTTTCGTCGGTTAGCTGAAGTAGATTACCATCCTCTACAACATCGTGCCAAAACGAGTTGATTGAGTAGTTTCGGACTTTCGAGTAGCTTTCCACGAATAATTGTCTCGTGCCTGGCGAATCGTAGACACCCGCATGAGCCAATAGGTGATTGATAATTCGTGGATAGCGATCGAGCCTAAGTAAGTGTTTGCCCTCGCTCGATAATAGGTTGCATACATTAATAGCAAAGTCTTGCTCGTTCGGCAAAGGCGAAAGCAACGAAAGTGCCAGTTTATCGTAGGATGTTGGTTTGTAGAGATTCGACGACAAGCCATTATATTCACGAAGAGATTCTGAAAAATATGAATGTCAATTTATTAGAAACTACTTTTCACTCAATTAAAATTAGATCATAATTATTGTCCATAGTTTAATAAAAAAATTAATGCAATCAAGAAATTTTTGACCGAATGAAGGCACTGTAAATGTCGCCTATTATATTAAATTATTGGTTTTATGAGCTGGTAACTTTTTTCATACATTTTACCGTGACTTTTTCGATGAAAGAGCAAGCTTAATTTTTAACATTATGCACGAAATTAAAAATAAAATATAAAAATTAGGCAAGATGAATGCAGCCTCTTCGTAAAATTTTATAGAAGTTTATGGAAATTATGGGAAGAACTATCAACTGTTCTGTAATATGTAAGAAAATACAGTGTTAAGCTCCAAAAAGAAACTATTAAAAAATACACTGAAAATGTTTTATCAATTTTTTTAAGTGAAACTTCGATTCGCGCGTCGGATATGGGAGGTCAAACCGTGAAAAACAAGCGTCCGTCTGTCCGTCCGTCCGGGCAGGAGTAAAGATTGAATGTTTTTTTTTAATTTTTACAGATAGAGATATAAAAATTAAGTGTATTTTTAGTGCCCTCATTATATAAAATATGGTATACAGTAACGCATGTATGTTTTTTAGCAGATTCAATAAAACTTGTGACAAATTTTTAAATTGTTTTTTGTTCATTTAATGTGAATTTAAGCGTCGGTAGAAGATATTTTTTTTAAACATAGTGCGTTATTTCATTTTTTCCATTTATCATAAAAGGATTAACAATTTTCTAGAGAGAATAAAACAGTTATACAACTGAATGCAGTAACAATAAACTCATAATTTTTTTTATTTTTACGTGTATGTGTATTAGACCGGGTCGTTTTTGCAAAAATTTTTTGTATCGCCTGGGCTCATGGCTGAGCTAAAAGTTCAAGGTTTCAGATAAAAAAAGCCGGGCTGCAGAAGTCAAAAAAGTGACCGGATCCGGTGTCGATAGGCTTTTGAAGTTTAAAAACGTGCTTCGGAAATTTAGCAAAATCGCTCTGAAAATGGCAATCATATATTAGATTGCTAACATTGTTCAGAAGGTAAAATTTATGTCGACAAGACGTTTTCTTACGTATTTTTGTGTGTAGAATCGAATTCCGTAGTCAGTTTTGACCTAGGAGGACGATTTCATTGAAAAAAATGCACTTTTTCGATATCTTTATTCTGCGTAAAAAACAAAAAATCGTCTTGTAAACGTTTAAAAATGAACAGAAAAAATTTAGAAAATTTTTTGACACTGCTAAAATTTAGGATTTTTTATGACAAATCCAATGGTATAAATTAGTATACACTTTGAAATTATTTTAATGCAGAAAAATACATCTTTATCCCAAAAAACGACATTACGAAAAATTGAAAAATCGAAAAGTGTATTAGTTTCTTCCAGGAAATGGCTAAGTAGAATCAACTATGGAAAAAATTGCACAAAACTATCTGATAGGTTTTTTTCTCACCTTTCCAACGCCGGTTTCAGAAGTTAAAAATTCGCAAGATTCGCTGAGATACAGCTATTTTTGTACGATGCATTTTTTAAGCTTAAAATTCAATAATTCTGAGCTAGCTCTATTCATTAAAAAACCAGCGAAGCAGAATTTAAGCTAAAAAATGCATCGTACAAAAATAGCTGTATCTCAGCGAATCTTGCGAATTTTTAACTTCTGAAACCGGCGTTGGAAAGGTGAGAAAAAACCCTATCAGATAGTTTCATGCAATTTTTTCCATAGTTGATTCTACTTAGCCATTTCCTGGAAGAAACTAATACACTTTTCGATTTTTCAATTTTTCGTAATGTCGTTTTTTGGGATAAAGTTGTATTTTTCTGCATTAAAATAATTTCAAAGTGTATACTAATTTATACCATTGGATTTGTCATAAAAAATCCTAAATTTTAGCAGTGTCAAAAAATTTTCTAAATTTTTTCTGTTCAGTTTTAAACGTTTACAAGACGATTTTTTGTTTTTTACGCAGAATAAAGATATCGAAAAGGTGCATTTTTTTCAATGAAATCGTCGTCCTAGGTCAAAACTGACTAGGGAATTCGATTCTACACACAAAAATACGTAAGAAAACGTCTTGTCGACATAAATTTTACCTTCTGAACAATGTTAGCAATCTAATATATGATTGCCATTTTCAGAGCGATTTTGCTAAATTTCCGAAGCACGTTTTTAAACTTCAAAAGCCTATCGACACCGGTTCCGGTCACTTTTTTGACTTCTGCAGCCCGGCTTTTTTCATCTGAAACCTTGAACTTTTAGCTCAGCCATGAGCCCAGGCGACACAAAAAATTTTTGCAAAAACGACCCGGTCTAATGTGTATAATTTCTTAATTTAAAAAGTTTCAGGTAAATAAATATTTCTAAGATAATTTCCCAAATTTAATATGTATTCGATCGAAAATTAACCTACTTTTAGCAAATTAATTTATTAATTTAACTTACCAGCTATATTATGTTGATTGTGATTGTAAGTCAATGGTACGGAATGAAGTGATCGAGCATTCCATTTCCGATGTCTTGAATCGTCATCATCATCGTCTGCTTGATGACCATCTTCACCAAGGAAATGTACCTTTTCGTATCTATCTAGGTACCTGTAAAGACAATCATTGTTTTAGTTCAACGATTTTATTTCAGTTTACACAATACAAAAAAGAAAGTTTACCTAAGATAAATTTGTTTGAGACCAACACCGCTATTAACACAGCCACTGGGCAGATGAAAATCTTCGCAAAGTTGCGTCCATTCATTTTTATTGTTTACCTGTAAAGTAGAGTATTTGATTTTAGTGATGAATAAATTATGATTGTAATAATATACTAAAATAAACGTCCTATTTTTAGAATTTATAATTTACAAGTTTCAAAGATGTTCATTTCAGCAATATTTGTGAGTAAAGAGATATACATAAGTAAGAGATAAGAAAACATAGAAGATCATTATAATGTATAGCAAAGAATGAACAAATCTTAATACGAGGAGCTCTAAATTATGTGGTATGTTGGACTTTATACGAATTTCAAAGTATATTTTTCTAGGAAGAATGTATTTCCTTTTCATGTTGCAACTTTCTTCACTTCATTTCCTTTACCGAATAACGCATTGAAGTAAATTTTTTAGTGCATTGACGAATTTTCTGTCATTTTTAAACTACAAATAAAAAAAATGTTTTTAAAATTCATTGTCAGCTAGTGCAAAATAATATAATATTTAGACAAAATTGCACATCAATATCTTTACAATATCTCTGCAAAGGTACTCAAAGTCTTTAAACCGTGTCGTTATTCCCATGATCTCGAATAGAGTTCCATCAAGTTGTTATATGAAAATTTTTATTTATAAGTCAATTCACAAAGCCAAAATATGTTAAATACCAAAGAGAATGAATGCTTCATCAGGCTTTTGCTTTTATTATTAACATATATTTGCTCGTGTTAAATTCAAAAAAGGTCATTTTGATTAGTAGTACTAATTCATATAAAGACCTTGTTCTTCTTTGGATAACAATGAATATATATCAGATAGATCAAAAAAGTATGTAAAGCACCAATTAGTTTACTGAGTACATTTCAAGACAAATTTCAATATATTTTGAGTCAAGACACGTGAAGAGAGTTGATTACACATTTATCACAGTCGGGGGGGGGGGGGNGGGGGGGGGGGGGGGGGGTCACTGACCCTAACACTGGATTGCCGATAAAACCCAAACAAATCGTTACCGGTTTGGGTGTTTTTTATTTAGAAAATCGAATGTCTTCAACGGTATACGATAGAGACAGATCAATATCGAGAAGAACTGTAAACTGATCGTATTATTTGGGCGTGAAGGTAAAAGATATAGAGAGGGAAGAAACTAAAATATCTTTTATTGTACACCTAAGCCAACAAAAATTAAATAGGGGCATTAAGCTGAGCTGGGGCTGTAGGAACTAGGAACGTACCATGCGGCGTGTGCATATAAACGCACGCGCATGCGCTTTCAGTGAACACGTGCGGATTATGATTGTATACTTATTATTGAAACCTTGGTTGGGCATGAAAATGAGTTGAACGTATGTAAAGTTGTGTTACGGTTAATATAAGGAATCAGTTGAAACCATTTAAAGTGATTAATTTTTTTTGGCATTTTAAAAACTTGATAGTATCAATAATTTACTTTGATTTAAGAAAAAATAAAAATTAGCGTACGAACGAATTACGAGGTACAAAGAAATTTCATATGCATTATTGATCATTTAAAATTAAATTAATATTTTATCTATAAATTTGACGAATGCAATAAGATGTCGAGTTGTCAAGAAAGCATCATTTTTTATTTGGGTTGTGGCATTTAACTGTTTCCATGTGACATTACACATCCATATCAAGCTTCAAAATAAAACGATTTTTAAGAAAAGCAAAAGGGAGGGTTTCCATAGGCTCAAACTGTTTTTAGATCTGTGTGGTTTATTTGCGTTCGATTGATTTTGAATTATGAAAAAGAAAATCTAGACAGCAATAGAAGTAACGGTAGTAACAGTACTGAGCAATGCTAGAGTCTCACTGCTATTAAGTACATTGAACATTTCAAATAGTATTAGTTACTAGAGCGCTATAGTAAAAAAATTGACTGATGGTAATAGTAGCGGTAACTAGATTTTTTGGTAGATTACACTACATACTCCAGTAATTACATAACAGATACGTTCTAGTAACTTGAACTAGAACGTTATAGTAATCTTAGCTCAGTCGCAATTTTTTCGTAGATAAATAAGTTACAAATTAGTTATATATCGAACCAAAATATTATAAATATGGGTCAAAATAATACTTTTTTACAAAACCGTGCGCACGTATGTCACCGATCTTGACGCGCTTTTGGTATGTTATAGTACATGGTAAAAAGGTCCCAAAAAAAAATTTTTAGACCCCCTCCCCCCTCCTACCCCCCACTTCCGGTATAAACGTCCATTTTCGATCTATATTTTTTCTGAGGACATGAAGCAAGTAAAAAATCTGAAAAAATTCATAAAAATACTTTTCCACAATCCAAACAACCTTGAATTTTTTCAGATTTTTTGAGTGCTTCAGGCCTTCAGATAAAATCATTGAAAATTTCAAAAATCGAGATACGGCGGTATGAGCCGATGTAGTACTCGGAAATTTTTTCAGTTATTTTTCGCATTAAAAAACATAACCTCAATTTTTTTCAGATTTTTTCAGATTACCTAACGCACCTTTTGAAGCCAAAAACCGATTTTTTTGACGAAAATAATTTTTTTAGGACAGTACGGAGCCTCGAAAAATCTGAAAAAAATTTTTTCTTGTTTTTTTCATCAAAATACGTAATCTCAAATTTTTTCAGATTTTTTAATTGAAGGCGATAGCTTCTAGGGCCGAAAAATGCTATTTTTAACAAAAAATGGTTCCTAGAACCCGATGGTTCCGGTGAAAAAATTTGAAAATATTTTTTTTGAATTCCTTGTCAAATTTTAATAAATTTTGACCGTTTCAAAAGTTCGATTGAAGCTTCCTAGCTCATTTTAGAGCAGGACAAAGATTAGTGCAAAATATCTGAAGACGTTTCTGAAGACATTAAGGAATGATAAAACTCGTTTGATGCTCTAAAATGAGCTAGGAAGCTTCAATCGAACTTTTGAAACGGTCAAAATTTATTAAAATTTGACAAGGAATTCAAAAAAAATATTTTCAAATTTTTTCACCGGAACCATCGGGTTCTAGGAACCATTTTTTGTTAAAAATAGCATTTTTCGGCCCTAGAAGCTATCGCCTTCAATTAAAAAATCTGAAAAAATTTGAGATTACGTATTTTGATGAAAAAAACAAGAAAAAATTTTTTTCAGATTTTTCGAGGCTCCGTACTGTCCTAAAAAAATTATTTTCGTCAAAAAAATCGGTTTTTGGCTTCAAAAGGTGCGTTAGGTAATCTGAAAAAATCTGAAAAAAATTGAGGTTATGTTTTTTAATGCGAAAAATAACTGAAAAAATTTCCGAGTACTACATCGGCTCATACCGCCGTATCTCGATTTTTGAAATTTTCAATGATTTTATCTGAAGGCCTGAAGCACTCAAAAAATCTGAAAAAATTCAAGGTTGTTTGGATTGTGGAAAAGTATTTTTATGAATTTTTTCAGATTTTTTACTTGCTTCATGTCCTCAGAAAAAATATAGATCGAAAATGGACGTTTATACCGGAAGTGGGGGGTAGGAGGGGGGAGGGGGTCTAAAAATTTTTTTTTGGGACCTTTTTTCCATGTACTATAACATACCAAAAGCGCGTCAAGATCGGTGACATACGTGCGCACGGTTTTGTAAAAAAGTATTATTTTGACCCATATATATAATTTTTTGACTACGGAAAAAAAATGAAAAACATATATTTCTAAATTTTAAACACATATTTGTGTTATTTGGGTAATTTTAAGCAAAAAGTGTTTCTGGTAAAATTTTCGTAAAATAATTATACCGAGATATAGAGACTCAAAAAGTAAAAAATGCACATTTTTGCAATTTTTAAACACTCGCAACTTTTAAAATAACAAAGTTCAAGCGATTTTAGACACGGCATTTTTAAGTTAAACCTTGATCTATAAGATCATACTAATATCATAAATGATTCATCATACTGGACATGTTTTTTTTGCACTATAAACATCGGCGTTTCAGAGCGTGCTAACTGCAAATAAGTACCGACCCGTACGACCGTTCCGATTCCGACCCTCTCCCCTGCTCCATGATTTAGCTGCACCTTATCAATTAAGGTATACAGTCAGTCAATAGTTATACTATAATAAAATAGTAATGCTCACTAGAATACAAACATGGAAATTTTACTAGTACGGTAATAGTGATGCTTACTAGAACCTCTTGTACTATAGCGCTCTAGTAATTATAACTAGCACAATTAGTTCTGGAGACTATTTGAAATTTTCAGTGTAGCTACTATAGCAATACGTGGATTATTCCCGTGCCGGGCGTACGCTGTCTGTCTGCATGTGTATGAGTGTACTGTTGTTGTTGCTCTCTCTCTTTTCCTCTCTCTTTTACTCGCTCGCTTGCTCGTGGCATCGAGTGTGACTCGACTCACTCGTTGGTGTGTATATTCTGTATGTACCCCGCGGCCCCCGAGTTTGTGGCTCGAGCAGCAGCGCGACTCGACCGACTGACCGACCAACTGACAGTCAGCTGATCGTCCTCTCTCGCGTGTGCCAGAGGTGGAGAGGAGGAGGAGGAGGAGGTGGAAGAAGCGCGTGCCGTGTGCTTAAGGGAGAGGGAGAAGGGGGTGTCGGTGGGCGACGTGCAGTCTAGCTCCACACACACACACACAAACACATATACCGGCCGGCATTTTGAAGCAGTAACAGCAACTCGAAGTATGTTATATATATTTGCTAGTGCTTTGCACTCGAACGTAGTCCAAAGACAGGGCAACGGCACGCGTAATCGAGATACGAGGCACGCACATGCATACAATACACACACTCCCTCAGTCAACGCGCTCGTACATGGTGTCGTCATCGAGAGGAGCGACGTATATAACATCGCCAAAGTAGATACCGGTATTTTTTGTCTTTGCGGCACTATTATAATGTCGCTGCTTCAGCCGTATTCGTCGTTGTCGTTGCTATCAGCGGATCGGTTGTTTTACTTGGCCTCGGACGCAGATACTTGCAGCTCTATGATTTTTAAACATGATGAAGTACGATTAATCAAGCTGAAAGCTGATCGAACTGCTCAAATCCACGCATTGTATAATGAGATGC